CTTGAGTTTGAATTCTAATGTTATATCATGCGAATTAAACAAAATAATAAAATAAATAAATAAATCAGCATCTCACATGCTTGAATGTTTCTTATTTTAATTGTAAATGACAAATGTAAAGAATGTTCTTAATTCCCTCCTCTTTGCAACCCTAATTTGATGGCACCTGAACTTGACTTATTCTGTATTTGTAATTTAACTTTTCACCGTTAATATCAATAATTTTTAAAATTTTTAATTTTTATCTATAAAATATGACTTAATGTGTAGTTAGCATGACTTTTGCAATAATAATTTTTATAACTTTCAACTTTGTAATGAATTATAATAATTGATTTCATTTTACAAGTTGCAGCGTTTCGTATAATATTTTTAAAAATTGAAATGTTTAATAAGTTTAGTTTAATAAATTAAAATATTTGTTGGTCAAAATAAAAATTAAGAATGCTACAAAATTAAAATAATAAAGTTGAGACAAAATTTACATGTATTCAGCAGCAAAATGGAAAATTTTAAGCATGAATAGACGTAATTATCAAATACAACACAATTATCACAAAACAAATCAATTACTAATTGATTTCATTTTAGCTTGCATAAAAATTGAACATTATGCAAGAAAATGCCAATGAAAGACAAGACTCTTTCTTGATATGAGTAATATCATTTGGATTGCACTATGCACCAAATCAATAAAGTCAATTTAATGGTAATTTAATAGTAATAAACAAGAGAAGTGACAATATTTCTAATTATTTATTGAAAAATAAATAAAATAGTGATTATAATATTTATTTATTTAGTGTATAGGTGGTCTCATACTAGTAATTAATAGATAAATTTATTAATAGATTAGTGAGTCATTTTATGATATCATACAGTTACTGTTTAATTTATTTTTAGGCCGAATATATAAATTTATTTTTGGATTTTGTTACTTTAAAATTGTGGCACTCTTAATTTTTATTTTAATTCATTAAATACTTCAATTTATAAAATTACACTTATTAAATACTTTAACTTGTAATATGTGAAAATCATTATTTCAAAACTTATATTAACTATACAACAAGTTATTATTTTACATATAAAATCGAAAAACTTAAAAATTATTGTTATTAGAGTGAGAAGATGTGCAATATTATTAAAATTTATAAATTTAATTGTACAATAAATCATGGATAAAATCTAGAGCTGCAAAGAGTTAAAAGTTAAAATTAGAGCTCCAAAGAATTAAAAGTAAAAAAATTGAGAGGTGAATTTATATATTTCTTCATTTATTTATGGTAATTGAGCCGTACCATAATAGCTTGAACACAATAAAACAGCCTATTCCAATTACGGAATCAAATGGAACGTAAGTTCAATTCAAAGCCCATATAAGTACTTTTCAAAACAAAAAGCCCATATAAGTGAAGTGTCCAATACGTGGGCCCTAAATAATATACATATGTACACTATCTTACTTTTTTAAGGTATGACTTTTCTTCAATTCGTATTTCTTGACTGACATTTTCTTTTATCTCATTGTAATATATATTTTTATTTTATTTTAATTTTTAAGTTAATTATGCTAATTTCTATTATTTATAATTAATTATAAAAATATAGATATTTATTATCTTGGAATTTATATTTTTTCTTATTTAACAATATTAGTACTTTATTTTAAAAAATTGAATTTTTATTGACAAAAATTAATTTAATTTTAATTAGATTGTTGAAGCAAATAAAGGTAATTAATTTTAATTGTTCTATATTTTTTTTTTAATTTAAGATGATACGAAAAGATCTATATTACTAACTAATGGTTCTATTTGATACAAGTATATAAAATTTATTTTTTTTTATATTATATATAGAAATACATATTTTTGTTTCCTTTTTATATTGGAACCGACAGTTATTGGAACCGATTAATTATATACTAAAGGTATATCGTTACTGGTCATCACACACACATGTATTATTATTATGGCATTATAATTAAAATTTTCGTACTATTTAAGGTGCTGTAATAAATGTATATAGTTGAATATATTAAGCTAATTTTAAGATATTTTTATTTTATTTATTCAAAATAAAATCTAATTTTGATTGGTTTAAATAATATACATATGGGTACATTACATATGCAAATATCGTTTTATATCATTTTAAATCTTTTTTATTTTTTCTAACAATATAATAGTTTTTTATTATTTAGGGAATATTTGAAGATTTATTGTTTCTATACAAAAGTAGATAAATAAAACTCGACTTAGATTATATATTGATCAATATTATTTAACAAACTATATATGTATTAAACTTGTTTTTTTTAAAAAAGTAACCTAAATTAATTATACCTGTTCATAGTTACAACAGTAAAAAAACAATCATATTATAATGATTTAAAATGCATAGTCATATTAATTATATTATAATATATTTAGTTTTTATATAATATTAGGAGCTTTTGCGTATTGTTATATGCCGGAAAACAAGTAAGGTAGTTAAATTTAGAATTGTCAAAAGAAAATTAAACTATCAGAATTTAAATTGATTGTAAGTCAATTTTATTATATTTGTATATAATATAATATGTGTTTTTCTTACCAGCTATTTATTATGAAACTTAAGTTGGATTATAATTAAAATGCACATTTTTATATATCCTTAAAATATATATATATAGATAGCTAATCAAGTGTAATCTGATCGATTTTCAATCACCTAAGTAAGAAAAAATAAAAACAAATACATATGTAGATAGTACATAATATTTAAAATTTTTACTTATCTGTCAATATATATATATGTATGTTATTAAAATTTATTGGAGATATTTTTTTTTTCTTATCCATTTAATATATAATTTAACAATAATTCTGCCCAATAACAGTACTGTATTCAAGTGGAGGGAAAAAAAAAAATCTATGGACTCGTAAATTTAATATTTTAAAATTATCTAATGAAAATGACTAATATTGAGATGATATTAAAATAAAAAATTATTTTAAATTTTAATAGTGTATTTTATAATAGTAGAGAAATTAAATAATAAATATTTTTATCCTATTACAAGTTTTGCGTAAGCTAATATTAATGAAATCATTAATCAATTTCATTTCTAATAAAAATAATCGTATTTGAATAAATTTTTTTTATTAATTTATTTTATCAAGATATTAAAAAAAAAAAAGAATAATGCAGAAAAGTTGATGTTTTAAAATGGCATATGACATAAAAGGAAAAAGAATTTAAATAAAACTTGTAATATGACAAAGGTAGTACTATTTTCATTCTATAATATTTATCATATTTGAGAAAATAATTTTTTTAAAAAATACTTATTACATTTATGGTTCAAAAAGGTAATAAATTTTTATATATCATCAATAATTATTATTTTAATTTAATATTTTTTTTAAAAATTAATATTAAATTAAAATAATATAATTAATTTTTTAATAATTTATTATAGTTTAAATAAATTTAATATTTAAAAAAAAAAACCTAAAATTTCAAATGTTAAACAGAGAGATAGTAATTCACATGATGCATCGATATTTGAAATCTAAGCCTGCAAAATATTGCCATTATTGATTGTGTATTTTAGTCAAATTGAGGGGAGGTATAAAACTGGGGTAAAAAAAGTGATGGTTTTAAAGTTAAACCGACAGAAGTTCTTGAAATTGCTTAAAGTTATTAAGGGCTTGTTTGGTTATCCACATTTATTATAAATATTTAACTGATGCAGTTTCGATTTTATTTGAGGAAATAAAAAAAATAATTTTTATTATTGAATTTAGATGATAATTTTCCCTTCAAAAAAAAAAGATAATAATTTTTTAAAAGTTTTAGATAATAAATTTGAATATTTAAGTTAATAATTATATTAATTAAATTTGACTTATAAAGAGTAATGATTTTAATGATATCTCATTTTTAGCCTCAAAGTGTAAAAAAAATATTTTATGATTCCCTGACTTTGGGCTTTCTGATTTCTTTATATTAAGTTAATAAATAATCATTTATTCTTATTTTTTCAAAATTTTATTTGTTGTGATCATGCTAGTATTTGCATTCTTTTCAAAGTTCAATAATAAAATAAATAAATGCCAAACAATTAAAAAAAATTGCATAAGGATATTTATATAATAATTCATATTTAAAAAATTGTTTTTTTATTTTACTTGAAAAATTGTCAAAAATAGTTTTTGATTTTATATATACTTCTCTTTTTTTTTATAAAAAAAATAAAATATCAATAAACATAATTTGATAATAAATACATATAAAATTCAAATATAATTTAAATAAATATATAATCACTAACTCTAAAAAAAGTTTATTTTATAAGTTCGAAAAATATATAAAAGAACTACTTGGATATATGTACTCTGGTGCAGAGTAATTGCATATATTTTTTCTAAACCAAACAGACCCTTAACTCAATGTCTTTATTTTCTTGGAGTTATCATTATCGATATATAAAAAAATAATAAAAAAAAGGATAAAGAAAAAACTCAACCATACTCTCGTCAGTATAAAATTATAGTGCTACTCTCCTTTTTATACCATGTATCGGTCAAGCTTAGTTAAATAATTGAACAAGGTGAATTCTACGTGAAAGCAATTTATAAATAAATATAAATAATAATCTATAAATATAAAGCAATTTCTTTATAAATATAAATAATCTATAAATGTAAATAAATATAAAGCAATTTCTTAAAAAAAAAATATAAATAATAATCTATATGCTTAAAAATTTATAATCAAATACAATTTCAATTCAAATTTATTATTTTCAATATCAATACCATTTATATTTTTTTTTACGAATATTTTATATTCTTTTAAAACATTATTAATAAATTATAAAAAATTTATGATTACTAATTAATTTTCGCTATTTTAATTAAACAAAAAGAAAGAAATTACATTAAATTGCACAAAAACAGCAGAAAAAAAAAAAAATTACAGCAAAACTGCACAGCTACTACGCGCAGGAGGGAGTGTGTACCTGAATTCCAGTTTTGGCGTTAACTTTTCAATTCATAATTCATTTTCCTTCTTTACCCGTTCCCAAATCCCAATTTCAGAGAAAACCTCTCTATTTGATACTCGCAGATTCGTTCTCATCCCCCTCTCCATCTCTCTCATGTTCTTTGCGCTTTAATTTCACAGATTCTTTCATTCTCACCTATTTCTTCTTCTTCTTCTTCTTCTTCTTCTTTCTGTCGAATTGTATTCATTTTTTATTTTGAATTTGCTTCCTTCCTGCATGTAAGTTGTCTTCCTTTCCTTTTTCTCCATTTCTTTTGGACCTCTAGATTGTTTTTTTCTATTTGTTTATTTATTATTTATTTATTTTCCAAAGGTAGTTCGGTCTAATTTTTGGGCCACAGGCAGGGAGGAGGCACATTACATGTAGAAATTGAAAGGGCAGTTTCAGGATCAGAAACTACTCGAAGAGGTTTGATTTCTTTCAATTTTAAATTTCATTTCTTTTTCTTCTTTGTTAATTCGTGTAATTTTGCAGTTCTTACTGACGTATAAGGTCACAATTTTCTTTTGTCTGTTTGGTTTAATAATCTGTAATTAGAGTATTAGACCCTAATTTTTCAGGGCTTAATCTAATTAAATAGTATAAGACCGCAAGCCTGTGTCTTTTATTGTTTTTAAGAGTAATTGAGGGTTCTTTATGTGATTATTTGCTTTCGAGTTTGTATGTATACATGGAATCAGTTATAAGTGGGAATGATTTGTTCCATGTAATCATAATGTTCCTTTCTTAGCAGAACTGTTAGCTTAGATTGTACAACCAAAATCGACGCCGAAGTGAGTATTTGGTCAAGAGGAAAATGACCATTACTGACTATTTTTTTCAGCAACTTGTAGTTTGTGGTAAACTATTGATGTGTGTCCTCATATATATTAGTTTACGTGTCATTGCTGATTCAGGTGTTATACCCTCAGGATTTTTGTAGCCCTGTCACCACTAAGTTATGTATTTTGTGTTGTTTGTTAGTATCCTTAAGCATACAAAAAATGTGAAAGTATTGTACATTTGGCATATAAAGTCTGAAAACATACTGAAGTATTTTACATTTTATATATATGGAATTAGTTATACCGAGAGCAGTTGTTCCATTCCATGTCATTGTACTGTTTCTACATTAGAGAGATATGTACCTCAGATATAAATTCACGATATGGATCTTACGATTCTATTCTATTTTCATGCTATACGATTCGAATCTTATGGGTGAATCGGTATTGATCGTGAATCTTACGATTCATGTGATTCGAATCTTGCGATTCGAGTCAATTCTCATGTCGAACGATTCTCTTACCAACAAAACCAGTGAAAAAGTCAATATAGAGAAAAAACAAAGCAGGATAAAATAGTTATATTAGAAGATGAAGATAACGAAGGGCTTGGATGATTTAGAATTGAAATTTATATAAATACATAATTTGCAATTAATTTTTATTATCTTTTTACAAATTAATGGAAATATATCCATAAATATATGTATTTATTTTTGATTAATTTTCAAAAGTTATACTAAATCTTATGATTCGATTCTTGATTCTAAAAAATAAAAATTTAGATTTTCAATTTGGCAACTATGATTTGACTTTTGATTTTTTTTTGTTGCTTTAGTAATTTCATTCGTTATTGGCTCCATTTGTCTCTTACTTCATCCCTTATTTGTTGCTTGAACAGCTTGAAATCTTGGGCTAAGCTGTAACTTGCAAGGAAATGGTACTTTTTTTTTGTTCCTATATTATTTTTTCCCCCAAATATTTCCCTTTGATTCTTTAATATTCTCTTTATTTATCTCTCTTGCATCCTTGAACAGCTTTATCTTTAAGCAAACTAACCCATTGTGGATAATAAGTAATTGTCAAATGAAGACATTGTTCTACGGTATTTTTTTGTTTTTCTTGTCTGCATGTGTTTATGTAAAAGATTTGTACAGGATGGGGATTCTTTTTGCGGAGAGGAGGACAATTTTGACTGGGACAGTGAAGATGAGCGAGAAATTGAAAATTTTGGGTTGTCTTCTTCTTCAAGCCTCACACTTCCTGGTGGAGAAGCTATAGCAAGCTCAGCAGAAGTAATGATTTACATTTGCTATCTGGAAACTTCTTTCTTTGTCTTTCATGTCAAAGCCTTGGACTTTTGGTCAAATTTGAAGCAACCATAGTATGGAAAATCCTGCATTTTATTAACAAAATATTACAATTTTTTTATTGAGAAAGTGTTTCATGATGCCTTTATTATTATTAATGAGTTTTCTTAATCGATGAAATCTTGCAAGAGTTAATTGAATTCTTGTAGTTTTTATATTATTGCACATGATTTTTTTTTTCTTTGAACGTGCTCTTTGTACTCTTGACTCCATGATAACCACTTTCCAATAAGCAGGAACGAGAGCAGCTATACTGGAAAGTAGGGAAACTTTGATAGAACATATTTGTAGCCTTCATAAACTTCCTTAGCTGAGATTTCTCTTGATGCAGGGGAACCATGGCAATTGGGATCTTAAGACGCAGCAAGCCCTTATCTTTTACCACTATTTATATTTTTAATTGTGATATTTTATCAAACTTGTATTCAAGATGATTTGGTCTAGTTGTTCATGCACTAATTTTCTGGCCATCTTATTGTTTGTGCTGCTGGTTATAAAGTTAATTGTGACCTGCGTGGATGGTGTATGAAAGATCATTCAAGCAATAATGTCTCCTTCTTCCACTCTATAAGCAATGGATTCATGGCCAATCTTCTTGCTTGCAAAGTAGACATTTAATGATTTACCTTTTCTTACTTCAATATTACTTCAAAGTAGACATTTCATGATTTACCTTTCCTCTACTTCAACATTACTTTATTATGCTTGTACAAAGCTCATGCCTTCCCTAAACTTCATCTCAACCATACTATGAAAGTATGTGCATATGGGTGTTCATTATTCCTTTGTTATTTATTCACCATGGTTACAGTTTATTACTTTTTCCTTGGTGGCATTTTGCTCATGCAATGGTGCATACTTAATTTCTTTTTAATTTGAGGCATATGCATGATTTTTTATTTATTCATTATTGATAAAAAACAAGATATCTGTTTTATAACTAAGCTCTGTTTGTTTGACTCTAGGCAAGCTCATCAGTAGGTTCTTCTGGTTCAAAGTTGATAGATCATTTTGTAGGAATGGGCTTTCCTGAAAAAATGGTTGCAGAAGTAATTCAAGAAAATGGTAAAAGACATTTCTTATTCTGATTTCAATTATTGCAATACATGCATGCACATACATATTTGTGCATACTCAACCACAAGTACACATATTGAAAGCTTCATTTATAACACTGCTTATTTGATTATTCAGGAGAGGAAAATGCAGATTTGATACTTGAAACACTTCTCAAATGCTCAGTGAGTTTGATTCTTGGATTATCCAAATTTCTTGTGGTTGAGAATTTATGTACTTATGAGATCAGAAGATGGATATTTGTCACGTACTGACACTTGATACTGTTTTTGCCTCAAGGCAAGATCATCTGCAAGCTCTTCTGGCTCCAAGTTGATCGATCATTTTGTTGGGATGGGGTTTGGCGTTGAAATGGTGGCCAAAGCAATTCGGGAAAATGGTAAAGGTTCTTAATTTGGTTTGCTTCTGAGCATCCTTGCTCACCTTCAAAGTTTAAACTATAACCATCTCCTGTTGAATGTTTAGGAGAGGGAAATACAGATACAATTTTGGAAGCTCTCCTCACATACTCGGTGAGATGTATTTACCTTTATGCTCTACATTATCTTTGTTAGTTGCCAATGCCACTTTATTCAGCTCGATGGTGGAGATGGTCTTGTATTCCACCGGACATTGTTCATGCATATGTTTTCTTCTAATGTTAGCCAACAACAAAGTTAGAGCATCAGTGATGTCAGAGATGAGTAGAATATAGTGCTATCTTTTGATGTAAAGAGATGTTCTCGTTATATTATTTTTTACAATATTTTTGAACTGTTCTCAAACCTGCATTTATATCTGTTAGGTTATAAAATTATTTTTGAAGCTTTATCAATACTTTTAGGTTGTTGATGAAACAATTATCCCTTCGTATGGATTGTCAATATCAAAGGTCAGCTAATCCATTGGCACTGCTGTGATTATGTTCTTGGAAAAGAATGGTAGCTGTTGCCAGATTAGCTATTTAAGTCACTTGGTGTTGTCTCAAGAAACCTGGCTGATATGGTGCTTACATTGTAAATTTTATGTTCAGAGGGGTGTTTACTCTTCATTATCTAACTCAGCCATTCAGCCAAAAAGAATAAAAGGGAAAATAGTATGGTGTTTTTACCTTATTATTAGTAGATCTGTATTGAACCATTGGTTTATTCTCTTTTGAGCTTATCTCCTCCCCTACATATATTTTTCCTCTTGTAGAAAAGATTGTTGAAGAGAATCAAAATAAGAGAAAGGAATGCCATAAACATTTGGTATTATCCTTGTTTAAGCACAATAAGTGCATAAATAAAGACATACTCCCTTCGTCCCAAAAAGATAATCCATTTTTTCTTTGGTTTGTCCCAAAATATAGTCCACTTTCCTTTTTTGCATTATAGTTAATCTTTAAATTGTCTACTATACCCTTATTAAATTTTACCTTATTATTCCATTATGCAATTAAACTAAAGACCCCTATACTGACAATCACAGATCCGTAAGTTTATCTCCTTTCTCTTCGGCTCCTCACCATAAAAGAGGGTATTACTTTCCTCATTTTTTTGTCCTGATTGTTCGGTTAATTGGTTCCCCCTTTCCCAAATAAGTAGTTTCACACTTTTTTGTTATCCTTTTTTTTTTGTGCGAGATTTCAGAGGTTAGATATCGGTTTGACATTAACCTGTTGAAATATTGAGGGTCTTAACTATAGGCGCCGCTTAATTACGAATCTCTTTTTCAACAGCATTATCTATTAGCCCTGAGAGATTTAACCCTCATCTAATGCCCTTAGTTGTATCTGGTCCACTAATATTGCTAGGACATTACGTACTATTCGTATGAGGTATTTTTTATAGATAAGGCAGTATTGATAGGGAAAAGAGAGGTTTATTTCAGTGAATATAAAGCGGCGAGTACGGTGTCTCTCTTTTAAGCTCATCATTCTTGTTAACTTTAATTTGAGTGTAGGAGAAAAGTATGAGAACATAGGTTGATGGAAACGCTATTCTCTTATCTTCTTTTGGAGTATGGGATAGGGGAGGAATTATACAATAAAAGTTTACCGGATAACACAGAAACCTTTTTAAGATTTTTTCCAACTTGTCATTGCCCCGATGCTGCGTATTGTCGAGAAGGCGGGACTTCAGATCGCATCCATCCGCGACACTTTAAGGACGGGTTTTTGGACCTCCCACGAATATGCGGGGTTTGACGGTACTTGGTGTTTTTAACTTGGCTCAATTTCATAAACCTAATGGGTACGTTAAATTTTATTGGCGCGTATTCTTCTTTATTAGCTTCTTTTTTGGAACTTTTAAGGGCCGACTTTACTCTGGAGGTTATGCATTACTATTGTGTTCTTTCTTTCTTTCCTTTTTGTGGGGCGCAAGTTGTCGGATTATTATTGGAAAAAATTCTTCCTCAAGTAGGGAGGGTTTCGGTTTAATTCTTAGTTATTATTCTAATATAATAATTACTCATGTATTATTTAAGATGAGCATAATAGGAAAGTTATATGAATAAAATTGTTCTTTAACCATATCTGTTAATTTGTGTGAAAATAAAAAGTGGACTATCTTTTTGGGATGGAGGGAGTATACAATAAAAGTACGATAAAAAATTTTGATTTTTTCCAACTTGTCATTGCCTTATTGTCTAAGGGGACTAATGAACGAACTTTGAGGTTTTGACTCCAAATAGTTAGTAACTGTGTTTAATTGCTCATCATAACTTGGTCTTTTTTGTTTCTATTCTTGGAACTTTTAGCACTTACTGTTCATTCTTTTCTTTTTGGCAGGCGATTGAAAAATCTCCTCAAGAGGAGCTGCATGTGGAATCTGATGAGTGGTCTCCAGAATGCAATGGGAGCTTTCTGGATGATTTTTCAGATTTTGATACTGAAGATGAGGTAGCTAATCTTCTAGGCTGTACTATAGGTGGTGGTTATATGGATGTGCACATAATGAATACACTAATGCAACATAACATGTTCTTGCTTAAAATGTTCGAAATTTTTACTTCTGGACATGTTATTTTCTCCCTGATTGCCCATACAACTGCAAGCTTAAAATTTTCATTAATATGTGAACTTTTTCATATAGGACATCTTTTCAGATGTCTGATAACATATGGATGAATTTGTTGCGAGATGTATGGAAAAGTGACATTTTATTCTTTGAAGTGAATTGAAAGTTAATGTTTTAATTTATGCTTGTCAGGAAATTATTGTAAAATCTGAGCCTGATGAAGAAGGGAACACTTTGTTGTTCTTAGCAAGGATGGGTTACACAATTGAGGAAGCTTCAATAGCTGTAGAGAGATGTGGTGTGTATTATATCTTGTGGTAATTTAGCAATGGCTAAGCATGTTTCTCTGCGCAGTGTGTAAGGAGTAATTTCTTTGCTTTTGATATTCCCATAAAAGGTTTCGGCAAGGAGGAGCAATAATCTCTCAATTATGAACGATGAAGAGATGAAATCTTTTATTTGCTTTTCATTTGATATATTATTTAGTAGTATATATATTTTCCTATTATAGTTGTGGTTGATGTGCTATGATTTGATTGTTTTTAGTATTATAGGCATAACTGAGGTGGAGTTGCATACAACTTTTTTGTTGCACCTGAACACAAAGTTACATGTATTGCTTCCTGTTTAGGATATTGACATTAAAATATAAGAAATGGGTTGTACAAGTTCTATGGCTTAATTTGTGCTGAAGTTGATGAGTACTTCAATGATGTGGATGAGATCAACCTTTTGTTTTGGGGCTCTTTCATGTTTCCTCTTGCTATTTTTGGATATCTGTTTATGGCAATGAAATATAATTTTAGTTGTGAATGACTCTCTGAATCTTTCTAGTGAGGCAAGTTGTCCTAAGATCCTTTTTAGATGTCCTGAATGGGAACTTCCCTTTTCTTTTTCTTTCTCTGGAATGCTATGATAAGATACTTAAATTTGCTCTCTCTGATCTTAGATCTTTTAATCAATACAAGACAATTTCTTTGAGCCAAACTAGCAATTTTGCAAAGTAAAAATTAGGAACATCTGTCTAGTGCTTACAACCACAGTATTTTATTGATGCTATCAAATAGGCGACATTTTACTTTTTGAGTTTTTGCCATTTTATAGGAGGTGCAAGATCAGTGAGAAGACCTTGCTCTTTGCAATGAGCTGTTTCATTTTACCCCCAGAATTCAGTTCTCTTACATCCTGTTACAATGCTTGGATCAAGGCACAAAGGATAGTTCTTTTGATAGTGCAGAGCAATTCTCTAAAATTTGCCTCTGACCATTCTGGTGTCTGCCATTTTACTTTATAAGTTCTCTTTATTCTGTGTCTTGATGTGCCATAACAAGTTATCAAATGAACTGCAGGAATATTTATTCACGGTGAATTCTGTGTTGCTTTCTTATTTTCTCTTGCCTTGAATTATATACAATTCAAATGTTGCAGGATCAAATGCAACTATTGCGGAGCTAACAGATTTCATCTCTGCTGCTCAAATGGCGAAGGCAGCTGATGCTTCCTTTCCAGAAGAGAAGGTAAATTCTATCTCCTCTTATCTGGAATATGAGTGAATATATGATGGAAATGAAATTTTTCTAACAAGTCGAAGTTATTTTGTACTGATTTTGTTTAATTATCTGTATCCAATTTAATAGCCAAGGATAAAGCATTTTGATGATGATTATCCTAAACACAAGAAGAGGAGTTATTATGAGTACGATATGTGGAAAAGGAAAAAGCAGATGAGATTGGATAAGAAGATGCTGCATGGAGAGGATGAGATGCTTCGGCTCCCAAATCCAATGGTTGGATTTGGTGTCCCCAATGAACCTGCCATTGTAACTAATAGAACACTTCCAGAAGCTGCTGTTGGACCTCCCTATTTTTATTATGAGAATGTAGCACTGGCTCCTAGAGGGGTTTGGCAAACTATTTCAAGGTTCTTATATGACGTGGAACCTGAATTTGTTGACTCAAAGTATTTCTGTGCAGCTGCCAGGAAAAGGGGCTATGTACACAATCTTCCAATTCAAAACAGATATCCCCTACTTCCACTACCTCCATACACAATACATGAAGCTCTACCCTTAACAAAGAAATGGTGGCCTTCCTGGGACACCAGGACAAAACTAAATTGCTTGCAGACCTGCGTTGGAAGTGCAAAACTGACGGACAGGATCCGCAAAGCCCTGGAAGACTATGAAGGAGATCCACCTTTAACTGTCCAGAAGTTTGTTCTTGATGAATGCCGTAAATGGAATCTGGTCTGGGTTGGCAGGAATAAAGTTGCTCCACTTGAACCGGATGAAGTAGAGATGCTTTTGGGTTTCCCAAGGAACCACACAAGGGGAGGTGGATTAAGTAGGACTGACAGATATAAATCACTCGGTAACTCATTCCAGGTAGGTTATTTTGTAATTTGTAGTATAATATATGGCTATCTGTGAAATTCTCCTGTGCAAAAGGGTGACCCAGTGTACGAAGCATCCAACATTTGTGGCTCTGGGGAGAATTAATGTATGCAGCCTTCCCCCTTCTTTTGAAGAGATTTTTAGCCATGACCTCTAGATCACTAGTGGAGTAACTTTACCGTGACACGAAAGTCACCCTCTCTCTTGTGCAACATATATCGCTGAATATTTCTCAACTTCTTTGTTATTAATTCTCATCAATGATCTTATAAGATTTGTTGCATGCTTCATTTTCCCCCTTCAGCATGTTTTCCAAATTTTATAGTATTTCCTAGTTAAATATTTTCAATTTGTTCCTATATATGGCATTGTGCTTAGAGAGTAAAGCTGTTTCAGGTCGACACTGTTGCCTACCATCTTTCAGTTTTGAAAGACATGTTCCCTGGAGGTATCAATGTTCTCTCTCTTTTTTCGGGGATTGGTGGTGCAGAAGTTGCTCTTCACCGGCTTGGTATTCGTCTGAAGAACGTAGTGTCAGTTGAGATCTCAGAAGTAAATAGAAATATTATGAGGTGCTGGTGGGAACAAACGAACCAGAGCGGAACTTTGATTGACATTGTAGATGTACAACACTTGAATGCTGATCGGTTAGAGCAGTTGATGAACTGCTTTGGTGGGTTTGATCTTGTTGTTGGTGGGAGTCCATGTAATAATCTTGCAGGTAGCAACAGACACCACCGTGATGGCCTGGAGGGTAAGGAATCTTCTCTTTTCTTTGATTATTGTCGTATTCTAGACCTGGTTAAGTGTATAATGACTAGAACTTGATGAATTCAAGTATGTAACTAATTTTCTGGTACACGTACGGAATTGATTTTTCAAAGTTACCCATTTTTTCGAACTTAAATATTGATTACAATTGTTGGCAATTGATGCAAGCTTATACTTTGAAGTTGAAATAATGGTAATTCAACTTTTGGAATTAGAAAATTTGTTTTGCTGCTATCCTAGCTAGTTTGGGATTAAAACTTAATTTCTTGATTCGCCTGTATGATCTGTTCTGTGGAAAGTTAGTTTGCTTGTTTTTTCACATGTTTGATGCTCTGTTGTGATTATGTTTGATGCTCATTATTTAAGACAATGCCTATTTGAAGGGCGATTGAGGTCCAGTAAATTTGGTTTCCGAGTTAGAAGTATATTTTGTTTACAACAGGTTTCAAAATATATCTAAACCAGATTAATTAGTCAAATTTGTATATTCAATGTGACTATAAAAGTCATTTATTACATAATGATAATACATTACCATACGGATGCCCAGTCTCAATTTATGAATTATTTTTTAGAGTTCAAGAAAGAATTTATTGCATGTTTACTTTTTTACTCTTATTTATTAAATTCATAAAAAAAATAAAAAATAAAAAGGGGAAGAGTTAGTGTAAAAGATATCAAAAGAGGATTACTAAAAACTTACCTTTGCACCCATTTTGGATAAATATATAGGAATATATTATCTACACATAGATAGTATTATTAATTAAATAGTTTTTTTTATTAGGTCCTGCTGAATTTCTTTTTCTTTTTGGGGTTATCCCTTCCTTTGTATCCAAAAAAAAAAAAAAAAATTTTTTTTATTAAAAGAATAAATTTGATAATTAATTTAAAAATTTTCAAATTGAATTATTATTAAAAAACAAGAGTATAAAAAATGAATAATACCATGTCTAGCTATTTAAAATTTTGGGTTCTACTTGTTTTGTTTGCAAATAAAAGTCGTTAAACATTGTCATATGATAATAAAAGAATAATTAATTTTCTTAAATTATAACAAAACATTTAGTAACTAAATTATCTTTTGTTTTATACCATTAATTTAGAAAAAATTATTATTTTATTCATATATTTTGCTACATTATGTAATATTGCCCTGTATTTATAGAAATATATAGTTTTGTTACTAATTGTTTGTCTCCATTACGCAGTTAGATCCTTTGTCAACCTTTTGTATTTTTTTCATCAATATATTGCCTAAATTAACTAATTTATCAATTTATTTATTGATTATTTTATTTTTATATTTTATCAAAATTAATTTTTTCCTCCTTATATTTAACCGGAGGGGAGTATAAAAACCTAATAAAGTACATAAACATTTAATTTAACTAAAGACGATTTTAGAAAATTGTACAAATATTAATATGTTTAACGTATGTAAAAGTAAAATTGGAAAGGCCGATTTTTGGTTCTATCTTTATTCGGGTCATTTGAAAAAAAAAAAAAAAAAAAAGGTAATTTAAACTAAAGACGATTTTAGAAAATTGTACAAATATTAATATGTTTACGTATGTAAAAGTAAAATGGAAAGGCCGAATTTTTGGTTCTATCTTTAATTTCGGGTCATTTGAAAAAAAAAAAAAAAAATAAGGTGGCGATTGAATTCTATAAATTTGAGAGCGAGTTATTTGTAAAGAACTCTCCACGTCCAATAGAAAAATCTAGCCGGGCCTGAGCTTGGTACGGGACGCATTGAGTTCCGCAAAAAAAAAAAAAAAAAAAAGGTGGCGATTGATTCTATAATTTGAGAGCGAGTATTTGTAAAGAACTCTCCACGTCCAATAGAAAAATCTAGCGGGCTGAGCTTGTACGGGACGCATTGAGTTCCGCCTGTGAGCCAGCCGGACGGTCGACACGTCTAAAAGAACTAACTTACTAACCAGAACCAAATGACAGCTAAACCAAAAAAGCAAAGCCCAACCATCTAAGAGGCGAGGGTTTAAGAAAACGGTGGATTCGATCCAAATTAAAACGATAAAATATAAACCGAACTTTTCTTGCAACAAACCGAATCGAAATAGGCACTGATTCGAACAACAAATTCGGTTCAAACCGAGCCCTCCTTTAACATCTGACAGAATCGAACGGAAATGAGTCGGTTCGGGGTAGTTTGGCACGCCCACCAGCCCAGCCCCCATTCAACTATAAATATCTATCGTTAACGCAATTCAGTTTTCTTCCACTTTCTCTCTTGCGTTCTCTATCCTCCGTTATCTTACTTTACCATTTGCAAGGGATAGAGGATCAACGAGAGAGAGGGTCCATCACGTTTTTAAAGGGCCGGCGCATTTCTTGATTCGTTTATTGTTCTCCACAACTCTCGATACGATACCGTCAGGTACGATCCAAAGAGAAAGAAAAGAAAATTTCAGCTGATATTTTTGTAGATCTGAATCTATTTTTGTATTCGAGCGCTCGTTGATGATCCAACTGGGTGGAATCTAGGGTTTCTATGGTCTGTTTGGTTGCTGATAAAACCGTAGGAAAATTTTTATGAAAATTCTTTTGAATGTTTGCCTTTTGTCTTCTTAAGATCTAGGAGGAAACCACAAATTTGAAGGTTTATACGAATTTCGTGTGCGATTTCTGCCTTGTTGTGTCAATTTGGATTTTACTTGGAAAGAGTTGAATCTGTTATAAGGTAATATAGTTTTATCCTTGTTTGAAGCCATGGATAGCTTCGTTTAGGTTTTTCTTGTTATTGATGTTAGGTTTTGTTATATGATTTGCTTTTGTTTATCCTGTGCTTTGTTTTGATGCTAATTGATATTTTTTCATGTTTTGTTTTTCTCATGCTGCTCTTGGTTTTCTACAAAATTAACTTTGAATGTAGTTGTTTTTAGATGTTTGAATCTCTAGTTTTCCTTTTTTGTTATTTTGAAATTTCAAATTTCACTCAAATCCATTAGTTATGTTTCTTGAAGTCAATGCTTGTGTGTTCTTTTTTTAATGTTACCTGGTTGGCTTTATGTTGGAATTTCTTTTATATTGATTGCCTAGTTCAGTTGCTGCTTTTCTTTTTCCTTCAAATTATTATAGACTAACTCAGTCGTTTATGTCTAATAATTTTCTTATTGTAGGCTTTTGTTGGTGGGTTCCTGTGTTAAGATGGCTGCTACTGCTGGTCCAAGATATGCACCAGAGGACCCTACTCTCCCCAAACCATGGAGAGGCTTAGTTGATGGTAAAACTGGGTATCTTTATTTTTGGAATCCAGAAACTAATGTCACTCAGTATGAGAGGCCTACTGCCCCTGCTCATCCATTGAAGTCTTCAATGCCTATAAGTTCTTCAGTTCAAGTTCAACAATCTTCTCATCGAGGCTATAGCCCCATTAAAGAAGATGATAAGTACGGCAGAGGCAATAATGGTGGATCAAAACCTGATGCTGGAGCAAAGAGTAGTCAGGTATTTATTCTTTTTCATTTTGTCTTTCCACCTGTTACTTGACCTTTTGAGTAGTATTGCGATATGATCAGATCTTTTTGTGATAGCTCTGGTTCTAAGCTGGCTACTGCCTTCATAATTTCTTGTCTATAGGAAATCGAAAGAAGTATAGGTTTGCATATGAAAATTTGAACACCAAACCATATGTTGCCTTTAGCTTTCTTTGTGAGCACCATGTCTTTTGCTACCTTGGGTTGTGGTCAATTTTCTTACTTTTTCACCGATTCTTCATATCTGAATCTAAAAAATAGAATCTGAATGGTATGCAAAAAGGATATGTAATATTAATCCATGTGACACTTCAAGCATTTATGCATTTATTTTCATTGATAATATGTTCAAGCATATGTGCGTTCAGGCCAAGAAAAAGGTAGTAAGTTCTAAACTGGAGATTAAGTTGTACTTTGTCTGTGCTCTACATGAACTGATGTCATACTCTTAATTTTGCCCAGACTGCAAGAGTTGGACCTGGACAATCTCAAACTGTTCCAAGTGACACAGCTAATGGGCCTGGTGGATTGTATGCTAGAACACATGGATCATCAACTGGAGGAAGTGGTCTTTCTGCAGAGGCTTATCGTCGACGCCATGAAATTACAGTTACTGTGAGTTCATATGCTTTTTGATTTTTTTATTGGGTGTATTTCAAACATATAGCAGTTTTACTTGATTTTCTATGAGACATGAATAATGGGCAGCTTTTATTTCTCAAGTAAAGAATTCACTTAAATAAAAACAAGGGTGTGCAATCCAAACACAAAAGAAAGAAATTCAATGACACAAACATCAGGCATATTAGCTAAAATTCTTCACTATTCCAAAATGAAGGTGGAGCCTAGTAGTTAGTTTGAATATGGAAACTGCACTTTTAGTAACAACTTACTCTTCTGGCAGTATTCTTCTAATAAAATTCCGATAATCCAAGCGTATAAAATATGACTGCTGTGCTTTGCTTGTTTGTTTGGGACATTATGCCATTGCTGTGATGTTCTATGATGTAGAATGTATATGTAATTCCAATAATGGTTTATGAAACAGAGTTAATACAATGGCCCCTTTATTAGCTGAAATTTTCTACTCTTTTTTCTCTCTCTCCCCCCTCCCCCAAACTCTCTTTCTTACTTCCAGTATTTCTAACTTATTCTGTCTTATTGGGCGTCCAAATTATAATGCTTAGGGCAGCTATCATTGGATTGGGTGTAACTTCTTTTGTGAATTACCGTAGTAGTTGGTTGACTGGCTGGTGAATATTCTTGTTTATTGCATTTGCAATCTGTCTTCATTCTTGTTAGGTTTCTGGTGGATATGTTTAACTGTTATGTGGTTGCTGATTTTTTTAAATCCTGATGGTAGGGAGATGAAGTTCCCCCACCTCTTATGTCGTTTGAGGCTACTGGCTTTCCTTCTGAGATTTTGAGAGAGGTATTGATTTCTGCTTTTCTTTATTGTTCATTTCTGCATGCAATTCTGTTGAGCCATTGTTCTTGTAAGTTAGAAACCTATCAACTTAGTTTTGTTGTTCAAAGTTCTGTGATTGCTGGAGGTCTAATGTTGATTTTCAGATTCGTTAATACTTTTGCCATCTGTACTTTTGTCGCAGGTGCGATATTTGCTCCTGGGAGGAGCCAATGTCGTACGCTGTGGTGCCCTCTCTGTGGGGCCTTGCATGTAATTTGGAGCGCCCTTTTACGATCAACCATTTTTGGGAAGGGCTTTCTGAATCACCTGAGTTCGTGGCTGGGACTGCCGTTGGTGATAATTTGTCTGCCACTCGGTCCAAACGGAAGAAGAGGCCTCCTCCTGCTCTAGCTTGCATCAGCAAGCATTTGCCGACTGCATATGGGGGATGATGCTTCTTCTGCCATTAGCCACTCCTGTATAAGCTCAAAAGAAATATCAACCAAAAATCTTGAAGCCAGTACCTTGGCTCATGGGAGTTGCTGGATTTTTGCTTTTTCCAGGTACACAGCGCGGGGTTTTCTGCCCCAACTCCAATTCAGGCACAATCATGGCCAGTTGCTCTGCAGAACAGAGATATTGTAGCCATTGCAAAGACTGGCTCAGGCAAGACCTTAGGTTACCTAATTCCTGGATTTATTCATCTGAAGCGCTGTCGAAATGACCCTCAACTGGGTCCTACTGTATTGGTATTGTCACCAACAAGAGAGTTGGCAACACAGATACAGGATGAAGCTGTGAAGTTTGCGAAGTCATCCAGAATTTCTTGCACGGTATGCTACCCAAAGGCTCAAATTTTATATATTTGTATATAAAGTTATTTTGCGACACTTTTATTTGGCAAACATTTACATCATATTCTCATCTTCTGCCTGCTGATGTTGCATGAATGCATACTGACATAAAAATATGACTTGAAATGAAGAAATGTTTCATGTACACAGTTCTTTTGAGTGTGTCTTTTTATCTTATAGTGCAATTTGGATAAGGCATTACAGCCTGATATTTAAGTAATACTGTCTTCTTATTTCTGCATCTTAGCATTATAGTAACATAAGAAAAAAGGATTCAACTGAAGCAGTTTCCACTAGTGTTGAGGAAAATTAATTATATTGGAATTCAGAGCATCCATGCATCTTTTAATTTCTTTTAGTTATTTTGTAATTGATGAAACATTGATTTTATAGTTTAGATATTTCCTACCATTATCAATGGTAACGAATATCTTTTTAAATATTTTATTGAAGTTTGGTAATGATATGTTGTGTTGAAGTGCTTGTATGGAGGAGCACCAAAAGGTCCCCAGTTGAAAGAATTGGACAGAGGAGCAGATATTGTGGTTGCCACTCCTGGCCGTTTGAATGATATTCTTGAAATGAGGCGAGTTAGCCTCAGCCAAGTTTCTTACCTTGTACTAGATGAGGCTGATCGCATGTTGGACATGGGTTTTGAGCCCCAAATACGAAAGATAGTAAAGGAGGTGCCTGCTCGTCGCCAAACCCTCATGTACACAGCAACTTGGCCAAAGGAAGTTCGGAAAATTGCAGCAGATCTACTTGTCAATCCTGTTCAAGTTAATATTGGCAATGTTGATGAACTTGTGGCAAACAAGTCAATCACACAGGTATGAACTATTGCCATTCTTGATACAGTTCAGAGCAAAAGTAATATTTCTGCTATAGGTTTGAAATATTTTTCTGTCTTGTCTATCCCGATTTCCCTATTTCCTTCTGGGGTAACATGATAATGTTTAAATGTCATATTGATTGAGTGCTTCATAAATTTTGTTTTCTTGCAGTATATTGAACTATTGGCACCTATGGAGAAACACAGAAGGTTGGAGCAGATATTACGGTCTCAAGAACCTGGGTCAAAGATTATTATTTTTTGTTCAACGAAAAAGATGTGTGATCAACTTGCACGTAATCTTACACGCCAATTTGGAGCTGCTGCTATTCATGGAGACAAGTCTCAGGGTGAGAGGGATTATGTCCTTAATCAGTTCCGTACGGGGAGGTCTCCAGTGCTTGTTGCTACTGATGTCGCTGCTCGAGGACTGGACATTAAAGATATAAGGTTGGTCACCTTGATATGTTAATTTTCTGTATTTGTGCTAGAGAGTTGGCATTGTTATTAATTAATCACTTGAATTTTGATATTGCGGATCCTGTGCTTTTATTGTATACTTGCAGATTGTATAGTACTGTTTTTCTCCATTTTAGGACTTTTTATCACTCTCCGTCTGTAGATGAACAATCATGACAGTTTTTAATTGAAATTTTTCTTGATATGGTACAATGGAGCAAAGATTCCATAAAATTACCATATGAAAATTGTTTGGCTAACCTTTTCTACCAGGGAAATGGAAGGGAACATCAATGAGAAAATGCATCTTCATTTGCATTACTATCCTGTAAGAAGTGAGAATAGGGGGAGCTATTGTAAGCTCTCTTAGATTTGTTATCCTCTCTTATTATTTGTTCTTCCCTTCTCTTGTGATAACTTAAGGCTGCATTGTTTCCATGTCCATTCGTTGATTTTCTGTCTTGTTATTTTTGTTGTGGAGAATGTGGAAATAATTGGTGTCTAATCTGTTACAGGGTTGTTATCAACTATGATTTTCCTACTGGAGTGGAGGATTATGTTCATAGGATTGGGAGGACTGGTCGGGCAGGTGCTACTGGAGTGGCTTATACATTCTTTGGTGACCAGGATGCTAAGTATGCTTCAGATCTCATTAAAGTCTTGGAAGGGGCAAGCCAACGGGTGCCTCCAGAAATTCGTGATATGGCTTCTCGTGGTGGTGGGATGGGCAGGCCTAGGCGTTGGGCCTCTGGTCCTGGTGGGCGTGATGGTGGCCGCGGTGGGCGTGGCGATTTTGGTTATGGTGGAAGGGATGGGGGAAGAGGTAGTTGGGGGATGTCTAATTCCTCTTCTGGAAGGCCAGAAAAAGGTGGAGGCCGTGGATATGACCATGAGACACGAGACAGGTACATGTGCACTGTTTTTTTTTTTTTTTTTTTTGGAAGGGATGGGGAAGAGGTAAGTTGGGGGATGTCTAATTCCTCTTCTGGAAGGCAGAAAAGGGTGGGGCCGTGGATATGACCATGAGAACACGAGAACCAGGTACATGTGCACCTGTTTTTTTTTTTTTTTTTTTTTTTTTTTTTTTTTTTTTTTTCCCGATTTTAACTTTGAATTTTCTTTTTCTTGGACTAGCTTGGTGACCGAGTGAGTTAATATTTAGTTAAACGGTAGCTTGGCTCATCCTTATTTTCTCTTTTCTGGTCTCCCCTTCGACCGTCTCTTCTTCTTGTGTTTTTATTATTTGGATGGGCACAGGAGGATGTGGGGGGTGACGTAGGTGGAGTCCACCTTATTCTTTAGTTAACTATAATTGTGATTGAATTGATATTTTGCAGTATACCAACTGTTACCTTTTTCTTGGTCCAATTTTTTTTTTTTTTTTTTTTAATTTTTCTTTTTCATTCTTATCATCAAACTTATTTTCCTTGCCTTTTCTTGTTGAAGTTGAATTTTTTAAAATAGATAATGATTTTCAGCTATTTTCTTTTTATTTTAATATTTTTTTTTTGGGCGGAAGAGGTTTGAATTTGGAATTTCCTTCTGAAGGAGAAAATATGGTACCAATCCGGTTATTTCTCTATTTTTGCTGTTTTGAAAGTTAAATATACTGCTGCATATGGACAGGTATGATCGAGGGTACAGCAATGGCTATGATAAAGGCCGTAGTCGCAGTCGCAGCCCTGATAGGGAGGCAGGTTGGGGCAACTGTAATAAAAGTTTGAATCGTGATCGCAGCCGCAGTCGCAGCCCTGATAGATATAATGGGGCTAAACGGTCCCCAGTGCGCAGTTTTCACCAGGCAATGATGGAAAGAAACCGGGCATCGTCACCGCCTCAAAACCAGCGGGAGAGGTCAAGATCCCCTCTTGGCGGTGGCAACAGTTTTCACAAGGCATCAACTCGTGAACAGTCTCCAGCGGGCAGTTTTCACCAGGCAATAATGGGAAGGGGTCAGGGATCGACACTGACAGAACAAGGAAGATCACCTGCAACTGGGCAAGAGAATACAGGATATAATGGTGGATCCTATTCTCATTTTGGGGAAGACGAAGAGGAAGGCATGATTCCGGCTGACAATGAAGGCATGTCTCAAAGAGCAGATGGCCATTGATTTCCTTGGCCCATCCTACCTGCCCCTCTCTCTTTTGGTTGTATTTTTGGGGGGGTTATCTTTTTAACCTTTTATTTGTAGCTTAAAATAGGTGTAGCAAAGGGGAATTATGGTGATTAGTTGATTTTTGGTGAAAAACTCCTTTTGGTTTGAAGGAGAGGGTTTAGAAAGTGAAGTCGCTAATTCTGTTTTGTGGTCTTTGTTAGAAAAGTAAAAAAGAAGGAAAATGCCGTTTTAAGTGTATTTATCACGGGAGGGTGAAATGTAAGATGGAACTGTGTAATGAACAATATATAGTTTAAACAGTTAATTTGGTGAAAAATTTCCTCGGTTATTTTATTTAGCTTAAATCTTTTGGTTTTATTGAGCTTAAGTTTGCTACTGTTATAATAATTTCTAATTAATCTAAATTTTGCGTTTTGAAACAATAGCACTTTCAATCCTACTTAACTCTTCAGGATCCACTTGTAACTATTTGTCATAATAATTTGAAATTGTTCAAAATTAGTGAATAAAATATAATAAATATAGATCCCATAATGCCTATTTGAGTTGACCCAAAAAATGAATTGTCTAAATTATATAATATACCAAATTTTGGCTGTTGTAACAATTATATACAAAGCAACTCTAATCCTTAAATACCCTAATTTTAATTGTTGTGACAAATGCACCCGAATTCAAACTAAGGGTCATATTTAATAAAATTTCATTCAAAATTCAAAATTTATCTTATTTTTATATAGAAATTCTAGATTATCAAAAAAGAAGCGATTAATAGGAAATGAGTTCAGAATAAAGTAAAACACTCCGCAATGATTTTATAAAAGAGGTTGAAGAAATATACCATTTCACTACTTAACCAACTTTTCGAATTAAATTGACCTAATGTGTAAACGTGTAACTCACAATTTCTATTTTCATTTAATAAAGTTGCCGTAGATTGTGGTCATGGTGTTTGGAGGTTTAAGATTATTTTTGTGATACACTATGTTTTCTCAAGTAATTTATAATTTGTACATCAAAATGAAATGAAAATTTGAATTTAGCGTTTAACTATGATCACATGTTTGCCATAATTTTCTTTATTACGAACTCATTTCTTCTTGGTTACTTCTTTCTCTAATAATTTGTTCTATTAAAAAATTTGAATTTAGGGTAAAATTGTAATCAAATGGGATCCTAAATTAATCCAAGATGCAATTATGACAAAAAGTTAAAATTATGGTATCTAAAGGATTAGAGTCATTTTGAGGTTAGGTTGTTTATAATAATCAAAGTTTGGGGTATTATATAGTTTAGCCAATTTATTTCTTAGTTTAAGTTAGCTCAAATATGAGTTGTGAGACCTACATGTATTATATTTTATTCAAAAATTTTGAACAATTTCGAATACGATACAATTATGATAAAAATCGCCAGGGATTAAGTTAGATTTAAAGTTTAATTGTTAGAAGACGCAAAATTTAAAGTATTTTTAACGATTTACTCATTTGAAATGATATTTAAATTAATGTTGTAAAATAACTTCAAATTTTAAGTGCATTTATTATGTCTAAGTGCCGCATCAGTGGACTTGAAATGTTTTCCTGAAATAGGAAAAACGAGCAGAGTGAGACTTGAAATGTTAATTTCATCTTTGAATTTTCTTTGTCGTCAGTCAGTCGGTGGTAGGAGTAGGAATCTTTTTTCTTTTCACCTACTAATTTGCTCTCTTCTTCCTTTGGGTTTCATATCTTCCTCGAAAACGTCACCTTTACAGCTTTCAAATTCTCCCTCTACAAACTAACTCGAAACAATAACTCTGAATCCAAATCTAAATAATTTGTCCAAGAACGGCTTTTACTTTGCTCCCTTGAATGAAATCTTTAATTTCAAAATCCAAAAGCTGAGATAATAATTTTATATGTGTGAATTTATTTCTTTAACAGAGAGATAATTAAGAAGGAACAAAAGAAATTTATTTGATATGGGTAATGAGTACCCGATCTTTGAATCCAAATCTATATTATTTTTATTACATGAACACATCTTAAATATATTTATTCACTACCAAAATCCGTTAAAATCAGATTGAGTCGGACTGGGTACCTGGTAAAATTGACATCCACGCTCCTAGTTTAATTGTTAGGGACTTTGCAGTAATTAACCCCCAAAAAAAGAAATAGTTTTGTCACTTAAAAAAAAAAAAAAACTTTCAAAACTGAAATAATAACAAAATTAAGGAGAGATGGCTTTTCGTAATAGTAAGATCCTAAGAGCATCTCCAATGCTAATATAGATTGTGACTGATGTGTCATGTACCAAATTGTGTGAATAGTGATGTGATTTAAAGGTTTATTTATAGATAATAAGTTTTAAAAACCTTTCTCCAATACACTAGTTTTGAATCTTCTTCCGTCATCTTATTTTTCCTTTTCTTTTCTAGGTCCACAATTTGATATGCAACGAATATGTAAAGCAATAAATATCCATATTGACTAAGAGACCCTCTAGAAATAGAAGGGGCTATTTATTTTTTTGACACCTCAACTTAACACATCAAATAGATATTAGAACATTTACGATGTTAATATGGATTGTTCTTATTTAATTGCCACATCAGAAAAATAAAAAGATTTTTTTAAAAAATACAGTCCAATGCTAATGTCTATTTGATATGTTAAGCTCAAGTGTCAAAAGAATAAATGACATTTTCTAGCGCACCTTCTATTTTTAGAGGGTCTCTTAGACAATGTGACATTTATTGCTCTACGGTAATTAGTTATATATTAAATTGTGGACCCAAAAAAGAAAAGCAAGAAAGATGATGCAAGAGAATCTGAAAGTAGTGCATTAAGACATCCCAATGCTAATGTAAATTGTGGTTGATGTTCATATAGAATAGAATGTGTGAATAGTGATTTGGCTGAACGTGTATTTATAGACGTTGGATTTTAAAAATCTCTCTTCAATGCATTATTTTCAAATCTTCTTCAATCCTCTTTCTTCTTTTCTTTTGTTTGGTCCACAATTTAATATATACTAATCACTATAGAGCAATAAACTCTTTAGAAATAGAAGGTATGTTAGATAAGGTCTATGTATTTTTTTGACAACTCAGCTTAACATACCAAATATACCAAATAGATATTAGCATTAGAGAGTATTCTTTAAAAAATCTTTTTATTTTCTTGATGTGACAATAAATAAGAGCAATCACATCAGCTTTGGAGATGCTCTTAGAAAGATAGATTTTTAAAATTCAACGTCTATAGATAGACATTCAATCATGTTACTATTCATACCTTCTATTCCATATGATACATCAACCACAATTCACATTAACTTGGAGATGAGAGAACAATTTTCAAAAGATATTTCCGTTTTTCTAATGTAGCAATAAAATAAAAGCAATCCACATTTGCATTGGAAATGTTCTTGCAGGTTGTGGTTGGTGGCTGATATGTCATGATCAATAACTTTGCTATTGTAAATACAATATCCATACCCACAACATAAGCAAACCCACCTTTTCATGAAAAATTTAGATTGATTTACAAAAAAATCTGCAAAGCTTAAACTCGTTCCATGGATGAGCTGAATTTTAGTATTTTACTATTTTGAGCAACAATAGGATTTTTCTTTGTCCAATTTCATGGCCAATTTAATTATAAAAAGAAAAAAAAACCCTTATTTTGCCAATTTGAATAGATTAGAGGTTCCAACATGTCAACATTCGATTTTGATTGGTCTTATTTGCAGCCTATCATATACTCTAAAGGTTCTATAGTCTACCAGCATAATTTATGTTTAAAGAAGCAATTGATTTTACTCTTAGTATGCTTTTGCAGCATCATATATATATATATATATATATCAATTTTATATCTTGACGATCTACATTGAATAACATAAAACAATAAATGACTGAGGAAAAACAACTTATTTTCTAAAAAAAAAATAATAAAAGAAATTACCGTTGAAAGAGTTTTATGAGCATGGACATTATGTGTGTGAGCTAAAAGAAAATAAAGAAATAGTTGAGAATAGGAAGAAAAAAATTGTTTATGATTTCTAATCCTTGAAAAAAGTACTTATGAAGAGGATAGTCACGAATCTTGAAATGAGATTAGTCTCGTATCCAAAGTCATATTAAGTACACCGTTTAAACCGAAAAAAAAAAAGAGATCTTACAATTTAATTTTAGTTCTATTTCTACCCATAACAAAAGCACCTAGCTAGCTAGCTATTTGAAACTTGCTTCAATTAAGTGTTGACAGACTCGTCTTAAGGAGAAAAATTTAAGCCTATAGATAAGCATTCTAGGCTTTAAACATGCTCCACACATATAACTAAAATACTTAAAACGCTTTAAAGAGAACAAATTATGTCCAAGAAAAACATTCTTTATATAATTAAAGCAGAAAATAAAAACATAAAAGATAAAATATTCTTAAAAATGTCACTCATAGATTTCATGCAATCCATGCAAGCAAACAAGCAAGCAAGCGCCACCAAATTAATTCTGGGTTCCTTGTGTGATAAACTCTACCAAATCCATCTCCTTCATGGCTTGATCACTAGTAGTAGAACCCTTAATCAAACTGTCCAATTCCATCGCCATCTCATACTCCATTTGGCTCTCTTCAACCCCAAACCCATAACTATTATCATCAAACAAGTTATTTGCCTCCAGAGAAACGTTTAATGCTTCGCTGATATAGTCATCGTAATCTGTCGGGGCATTCAGTTGATCTGCGACGAATGGGGAGGAAACTGAGCTCTCATTGTAGTGATTTTTCTGGTCTTGTTTCTGAGTAGTTAAAGTCTTAATGTAGCTCTGCAATAATGTGCCTCTCGAATTCGATTCCTTCCCTTTTCGCCTAATTGAGAGTTGCCTTCTCTTCGTTGCGTTCCAATGGTTCTTTATAGTATTTTCTGTTCTTCCAGGTAATCTCTTGGCTATTTCTGCCCATCTGTTCCCAATTTGCTTATGAGCTTCAATTAGAATTCCATCTTCTTCTTCACTCCAAGCATCTTTCTGTACATTTATCACATTACCAAATATCTTCAATCTAGCTATATGGTTATTAATTGTAGCAGAAAAAGAAAGAAAAAAGTTCGAGCCGTGGGTGTGTACTTATGCACATTTTATGATCTAATTACAATGGCATAAATAGAAATTAATCATATAATTAATTAAGGTAATTATCATTCTTTGATTTTGAAAGGATATGACAGTTATAAAGGGGAAGGGGGTGTAGGGATTTTAGTTTACTAACCTTGCTATTATGCATATGTGTGAAAGCATTTTATCTTGCTATTATGCATATGTGTGAAAGAAAGTGTGATAGTCTTATAATCATGTGGTAATGGTCAAATTAACTAGAAATAGACTTGCATGTAAAGGAAAATAAAAGGTTTTCTAAGGGCAATTTATCATTTTATAATTTATTCTTCTAACAGAATCTGTTTTAAATAATCTCAGTCCACTCTGTTACTGTGCATGTCAATCTGTTGTCAATTTCGTAAAGACAAATAATTAACAAGGCAAATATTCATATAAGGCCAATGTCATAATCTCCATTTATTTATGGTCACGTGTTAATACGCTGTTTTATTTTCAGTAAATGAATGATGATTTAACCTAAAATAAACTAAGTATATATTCATATATTTGAATTTCATTTATATTTTTATATTGAAATATATTATGATTTATATAATACTTGTCCACCGGTGTACCGGTCAACCAATAAGGTAACCAATAATTAATTGCCAACTAAGAAGAACCGTCATAAGTTATTATCTTACCCTTTTTTTTTCTAGTGAATTTACACAAATATCATGGTTTAAACCAAAAAATCTTGTTTGGTTGCTCTAATGTATGACTAGAATTGGCAATACTTTATTTTTATTATTAAAAAGAAAAGAAAAGAAAGAAACATGAGAAGAAGATGAGAAAAATACCTTGATATCTGGCCTCAAATGGTTGTGCCATCTCTCTCTACACTGTTTTCCTACTCTTCCGTCCAGCAGCTTAGCGATATGAGACCATTTCTTAATCCCAAATTGTTTCACCAATTGCACTAACAATCTGCAGATAGAAAGAGTCGAACACAATCGATTCATTTCATTTTTTTATCAGCATCAATTCAGTTCATTTTTTATTATCTATAAATCGAAAAATACTACATATATATATGCCAAACCTTAATATTAGGGGTAACCCTAATCATCATCAAAAGGAATTTATAAATGGGAAAAAAAAAATTCATATAACATTTCTTGAATTGCCAAATGAAAGAGAAAAACAGAGCCAAATTTGTCTTTACAATCCATGGATTTTAGCTAGAATCTCAGTCAAAGCCCAGTCTTTTTTTTTTTAAAAAAAAAAAAAAGAAAAAAAGACAAGAGAGCGAGAAAAATGGGGGTTCTGATAAATGCAGAGATATATACATAGATTATAGGTACCTGTCTTCTTGAGGAGTCCATTGACCTTTGATTATATGGGATTTCTTTTGAGGTTTGCCAACTTTCTTGATTTGATGAAGCTTTTTATCGTTTCTATGATCAAATTTCTTATTGTGCCCACGGTTATCTGCTGTTACGCATGAGACTTGATCTTGATCTAAAACCACGTTAGGACTCATATTCTGATAATATATATGATTTTGATGATTAGCTTCAATTTTTGGTAATTGGAAGCCATGCAAGAGCCTGTTATTATAATCTCCGCCATTATAATCGGTTGCAAATACAAAAGCTTTATTAAGATCGTTAGTATTAGTAGTAGTAGTAGAGAATAAACTATGATCGCTACCATTTTCAAGAAGAGAAGTCTCGATAAGAGGATCAATACCATTTTGAAGAAGAGAAGTCTTGATAAGAGGATCGATATCGATATCGAAATTTGTGCTTGATGAAATCCCCAAAAATGGATTCTTTGAAGACCCTTCAAGGGCTATAAAATTATCAAGATTGGTTGAATTATTGAAAATTGACCCGTCTCCATCAATAGGATAATCAAGATTTTGAAACATTCCCTTCTCATTAGGAAATCCATTTGCTATCACTTCTTGTTTTAATGGATAGTCAGAAAGAAGGCTTGAAAGGTAAGGGAATTCCTCTCTCAATTTTCTTTCAAGCTCCATGCAAATGGAGAGAGAGAGAGAGGAAAAAAAAGAGAGAAAGATACACAAAGAGAGGGGGGAGAGGAAAGAGAGAGAAAGATTGAGTGAGTGAGTGAGGGAGGGAGTGAGAGCTATCAAGAAAGGAAGGATGGTTTAATGTGTTTAGACATAAATAATAAAAGGTTAATCTCTTACAAGGGTAAAATTAAAATTGGCAATAGAATGCACATTTGGCAAATTTTTAGCCCTTGATGAAATTATAATGCAAGGGTTAATATTGCTTGTTGTTAGAAACGATTGAGCTTCTATTTTTTTGTATTGTCATACTTAGGGCTTAAAAAAAAAAAGAAAAGAAAGGGACTTTATAATCATTAGGTCGTTATAAGGACTTGTATTTTAGGGAAAATTTAGGGTATTTCTAGGACATTTGTCTATCTAAATGCAAGGGTTATATTGACTTCTTGATTGCTTGTTGTTAGAAACGATTGAGCTTCTATTTTTTTGTATTGTCATACTTAGGGCTTAAAAAAAAAAAGAAAAGAAAGGGACTTTATAATCATTAGGTCGTTATAAGGACTTGTATTTTAGGGAAAATTTAGGGTATTTCTAGGACATTTGTCCCACATGTAGAGCTCTTTCGTTACCTTTCTAACTGATATATTTTATAATAGTTAGCTTAACAATCTAATAGTAATATGAGAAAATCAGGAGCTCAAATTTTGATAATTTATTTTCTAAATAAAAAATAACAAACAATTGCATATATTTTTTTTATCACATGATGAAAATACATATATATTATATAATATATTCTTGGTGGGGCAGCTAATATATTATGGTTTTGCTCAAATGGTATAGTAATAATGCTTGTGTTTCTAATGGTAAGTATGTTTGTACTTGCCAAACTCATTGGCTTAGAACAAATCTTGGGGCAAAAATTTTAATTTGTGTTATTAACTCTTGCTTTAATTGCTATTTTATTACTTATTGAGGAGAGTCAAAGGAATAGAGTGGAAGATTTGGTCAAATTTTGGATATTGAGTTCATTTTGTAAAATTATTAATTGTTAGAACAAAAAATAACTGAAATTACTCCAAGAAAATTTCTTTCAAAGTGTATTTCATCTTCATATGACCAAATTTTATGAAGCTTATAAGCCTAAATCTCTATAATTTAGACTATTTATAAATAATTTCTAAGTATGTATATAGTTAAATATCGAATTACATAGAAGTAAAAAATATTTTAACTTGAAAATTAATTTTCGGAATATTCGAATCTTATCGGGAATAATCTTTTTTATTATTTATTTTTAAATATTTACTTATAATTTTTACATCATAAGTTTAATTTAGGAATCAAATTTTGTTCATTTATTTGTTTTTCCTAAGAGAAATCGGAGACATTTGGTTGTTGATTTTTGGAAATTGAAACCAAATTCTTTGTCCTTTTTCTTAAGGAGGTTGAAAAACCATTTGGAAGAGTTTTTGTCTGAAGAAATGGCTAAGCCATTTGGCAAATTCTTTCTTTTGTAACTGAATCATTAATGCTACCTAGTTGGCTTCTAATTCAATTGCTCTCACACATTAATTTCTAATTAAATAGAGCCAATTTGTTTTATAAATGTTAAAAACAAACGGTTACATTTCTGGGTTATTATCATATGTTAATTACCACTTTATCAAGTTTAAATTATTTTAAATATTGAGTAATTAACATTATTATCATAATGATAAATGGAAAAATTATCCGATCTTTATTTTTTTTTATTCATTGGAGGCAAAATAGATCGAACGAATATTGTAGACTATATACAACTTGCATAGCTATTTCTTTTAATTAAATAAAATTCATCAGAGAGGATTCGTATCGGATTCTCTCATTTTCCACGTTTATTACTTGACCTTTATTGTAATAGACAATGGGGATATATATGAAATTGTCAAATTATTTTTTTATACTAATAAACTAAATTTAATTAAAAAAATTTTCTAGTTTAAATTATTTTAAATCTTGAGTAATTATTATGATAATGATAAATGAGAAAATTAACCATCTTTATTCTTGTTGATCGATCAGAGGCAAAATAGGTCGGAAGAACATTATAAACTATATACAACTTGTATAGCTATTTCTTTTAATTAAATAAAATTCATCAGAAAGAATTCGTATCGGATTCTCTCATTTCCTACGTTTATTACTTAACCTTTATTGTAATGGACAATGAGGGTATATATGTGATTGTCAAATTATTTTTTATACTAATAAATTAAATTTAATTAACCAAACTTTAATTCTTGTTGATACGAATCAGAGGCAATAGGTTCGGAAAAGAATTATAAATACTAATAATACATTGGTATAGCTATTTCTTTTTAATTAAAAATAAATTCATACAGAAGAATTCGTAAGGGAATCGGTTTTCATTTCTACGTTTATTAAGTTAACCTTTAAAATTGGTAATGGCACAATGAAGGGTTATATGTGTAATTGTAATTATTTTATTTATACTACTAAATTAAATTTAATTTCTTTTAATTAAATAAAATTCATCAGAAAGAATTCGTATCGGATTCTCTCATTTCCTACGTTTATTACTTAACCTTTATTGTAATGGACAATGAGGGTATATATGTGATTGTCAAATTATTTTTTATACTAATAAATTAAATTTAATTAAAAAAAATTTTCACTACATGAAAGTTGCTCATGTAATATGCATACGCAAGTTCCTAACTCTTTCATAAAATCTAAATTGCGGTAAACTTTACATTGCTTTTCTTTTTCAACAGACGACAAAGAGTACTATTATGAAAAAGAATAAAGCCGAGAAGAATAAAAATCGTGTTTGGTTTTCAGGAAAAAGAAAAAATAGATGAAAGAAAGAAAAGAAAAATGCACCAATGCCAAGCAGAGCAACGTAACTAACAGATTCTTCGTTATTGTATATTTGCTATTTGAAACCCAAATTAATTTTTTTTTACCAAAAAGAACGATAAAACCATTTTCGAGCTATAAAATCATTATCGTATCAATTTCTTATTATATTTTTTTTTTCTTACATTAGAAATTAGAGGGGGTCATCGGTCAGATTTGGAATAGAATTGGACAAAAAAATCTCAGATTTAAATTAGTGCGAAAAATTCAGCTTTCACCCGGATCAAAATCGAAAGAGATTAGTTTGTAGAGCATTTGATTCATGTAGCTGCCAAATTTTATCCAACGTCTAGATTGGACTATTTGTTTAGAGTTTTAATTAAAGGAAAAATTATAAATTTATCTCCGTATCATGTTAAAATTAACTACTTTATTTCTCTATTTTTTAATATATATTATTTTGTCTTCATATATAGATTCCGTCGAACTATTTCGTCCTTCCATTGATATTTTCATTTTGTTGTTAAATTTAAAAGAAAAGACTAAGATATTCTTTTGTTTGGTCCCTTCCTTTCCAGTCCATTCGCTTTCTGTCTCATCATTGAAATGCATGATCGTTAGATGTGAGTACAAACCTTGCATTCATTTAGTGGGTTAACTCCTTTAAGTTTCTTTTTTTTGAATTTATCTAAAGTTCTGTAGAAAATAAAAATTTAAGAGGGTTTTAAGGGTATCCGTGTCTTTTCATGAGCTACTTAATGGTAAAAATTAAAATTTTTTTATGGAAGAACAATAGTTATCATATTAAAAAAAATATAGTAACAAAGTAATATATTTTAAAAAATAGATGGATATAACAGTTAATTTCGAAATTATATAGTGATAAGATTATAATTTTCCCTTTCATTCAAACGCTGAAATTGATGGCTAATTCCATGCGATTCATTTGCATCTTCAATGCTAACGTATATTGCTTTTATTTAATTACTAAATCAAAAAAATTGAAAGATTTTTTTAAAAAATTACTCGCCAATGCTAATGTTTATTTTGTATATCAAGTTGAGGTGTCAAAAAAATAAAATAGACGTTGTTTATCACACTTTTTATTTCTAGAAAATCTCTTAGACAATATGGGCATTTATTATTTTATAGTAATTGATTGTACATTAGATTGTGGACCCATAAAAGAAAAGAAAAAAGATAATGCAAGAGGATTCAAAAGTAGTGCATTGGAGAGAAATTTTTAAAATTCGACATCTATAAATAGACATTCAACTTGGATTACTATTATTTTATTGCCACATAAAAAAAAATGGAAACATGTTTTAAAAAATTCTCTCAAATTGCTAATGTCTAATTGGTATGTCAAGCTGATGTGTTAAAAAAATAAATAGTCATTATCTATTACACCTTCTATTTCTAAAGGATCCCTTAGATGAGATAATATGAACATTTATTGCTATATAGTGATTGATTGTATATTTAAATTGTGGACCCATAGAAGAAAAGAAGAAAGAGGATGCAAGAAGATCTAAAAATATTGCATTGCGGAGAGATTTTTAAAATTTAATGTCTATAAATAGACATCCAGCTACATCGCTATTCATACCTTTTAGTCCATATAACACATCAGTCACAATCCACATTAGCAATGGAGATACTCTAAATAATAGTTTTAGATTATAGGCTATACAATAGGATTTTTAACTTTTGAATAACATTCACTAAATTGATAATAACTTTTATGTATGGTGAAGATAACTCAAATTCGAGATCTTCCACCCTCTATATCTTCTACAAAACGTGAGAGACCAAACATACCATATATGATTGACGCACTTTGTTTCCATTGAATTTTTGAATATTTGATACTCAAATTATTAGCCATAATTCAGTAAAGGATTATAACTTTTTATTAATTAGTCCCTGAGTTTACTCATTATTATTATTACATCATTACTATTTGGCATAATCACCGATGTGTCTTTGAGTGTTATTAAATTATTTAGTAATTTGATTTAAAAATTGGTAATAAGGAACTAAATAGTAATGCAATAACAAGTTTGAGGGACTAAATAGTAATACCATGTTGAACGTGAAAGTTCAAATAGTCAAATATTAGTATATTTAGCAAAAAAAATTATTTGGACGAACTAAATAGTTTAATAGTGGTAGATTTCAGAAACCAATAAACCATTTTGTCAATTAGTAAAGATTTAATGATTATTTCAACTAAAGCTTAAAACTAAAATTATGTTCGACAACAATTTTTAAAAAGTAAAATGATCGATGCATCTAATTAATATCAAATAAATTGATCAAAGATTTAGGAAATACCAAAATAAGAATAAATATAAAAGAGACTATTTTCATTTCGGTTTATATATCTTTATGCTAATATATATAATATTTAAGTTGCATAGACACAGACCTGGACACGTGACATAACACATATATGAGACAGGATAAATTTTAAAAAGATAGGATACTGACACGCTTAGAATACACTACACTTAATAAATACAATTTATTTATAATTCAAATAATTATTTGCAATAAGTCAAAAATATAAAATAAAAAATAGTTGATTTCTTATTTCAATACTATTATTTAAGTTTTCAAAATTAGCATCATCATGGAAGATTATAATATCTTTGGCTTATTTAGAGATAATTTGACAATTTCAAGAATTTCCACATCTTTAAAAGATATCAAATTAATCCCCAATAATATTTCATATTTTAGTTAGTACAACATAATATTGTTGGTTCTTTTCTGATAAAAGGATTATGAATCGTTGATTTCAAATCAATATTATGAATTAGTCTTTCGATTTGACAATAATAAATATCAAATAAGTTACAAATTATAAATTATAATATAGAGTTTTCCATTCCTTTATATACTTTTTAATTTCGTATAATTTTGTATTTTAGTATTAATAATTCTCAAATATATATTTAAGGTAACAATTTACAATTTTTGTTAAAATCTTATAGAATTTTCAAAGGTGTCTCCAAAGTGTTTAAGAAGTTATGTTTTAAGAACCAGATCGTTCAGTGAACCGATGATGGCAATGGGTCACTCAACCGAACGATTTAACCGGATTAAATTCGGTTCAATTAGATTTTTATATAATAATATTTTTAAATATATTTGTTAAATAAAATTGAAATTAAGATAAAAAAAAAATTAACATTAAAAAAATGCCAAATTTGGCTTTTATTAAAAAAAGAATAAAAATTCAGTAAATAATATTAAACAAAAAAAATAAAAGATAAATAAATTTAATATTAAACCAAAAAATCAATTAATTATCATAAATATAATATCATTTTTCATATTTGGATTTGAGGCGGGGCAATTTAGTTATTATGATTAACAAAATAGGATTTCGGGCTTATAAATCAAGAGGCCCAAAAGATTACTATGTCTGGATTTTAAAGAGGCCTATATTTTGAAGAAATTCAGATTTTAAATTCAACCATAATAATTGGCGAGTTTGATTTATTGATTTTCACCGGTTTTTAAGATCCTTGTTTTTATTATTCAATTTGGGCTGACCATAATTTGATTTCTAATTAAACCGGTTGAACCGGCCAGTCTGATCTAATTTTCAAAATCATATTAAAAAGTATTGTCAGAGTGTGACAGATATGTCATTTAATTGTTGGATATTAATAAAGAAAAAAAGATAATAAGACATTTTTTTGAAGTATCTAACACGGTGTCCGAAAGGTGACGAGTATAGCAGGATACGCTGAAAGTTTGTTTTATTGTCAATAAGACAACATTTTCTCGATAAGCAACGAAGGGTTTTGCTGTGTGGAGGGAAACATCTCCTTCTAGTTGATAAACTACAGATCGTTTATTGGGCGCCTCTTTTGATACAGAAAGGAAACAACAAGCAATCTATCGTTTCCAATTTGGTTGCTGTGTGGGGAAAACTTTTCCTTCTAGTTGGGAAACTACAGATCGTTTAATGGGTGCTGCTTTTGATATGAAAAAGAAACAAGCTAGTGTCCAATTTGGTTTAGACAAACCTTCAACCTCTGCTAGTGCTAGATAGGCTAACTAAAGACTTTGAAAGCTATAACGTTTACTGTCTTTCAGTCTTTGAACGGCAGATCCTGCAGTTTGTAGACAGATTTAGGCCATCATGTAGAGTTTAGTGTTTTGACTCGGTAACATTTATATTAGTCTTTTAAAGTTTGAGGTAGCGCAGTATAAAACATTACTCCTTCAACTTTTGATGAAATCAGAGTAAAACAGCTATTAAGATGGCTAAAGACCAATGGAACTTTCAGTTTTGCCCAACAAAGCCTTAAGATGGCAAGTAGAGCTGTTCAAAATCCAAAACTTCAATTTGAATTTGGATTTTGAGAAGTCCTACTTGCTAATAAATAACTGTTTTAGTAAAAAAAAAAAAAAAAAGAAAAGAAAAGTCCAGAAACTAAGCTTTCTTTTAGACGATAGGAAAAAATATATATACACAAATACAGCATTTTTGTACGTTGTGACAAAATTCGAGAAGCCTTTGGCATTGGCTTTATCCGATTTGCTCTTGAATACAAGAACACTCCAGCAAGAGCCATTGCAGTTCCTGTCAGTTATAAATGCAAGTCAAGTCTCAGACCCATGAATTAACGAAACAAAAATAAAGAACAAAAGGAACTTCTCATTCGAATAATGGACATAATTGAGATAATTAAGTTCAACTTGTAAAAAAGTTACCAAGGGAGTTTATAGTCGATATAGGAGTTTGGAAGAATATGACTGAGGAGACTATCACAACTACACGCTTCACGCTATTTCCCACAGCATGAGTAACTGGATTTACCATATGTAGATCATAAAAAATGCTCTTAGACCTTAAGGATCACAAATTGCATGGACTAACCAAAAATAAGAATGGAAGCACAAGCCAACAAGAAGAGATCTTATACATAGGTCTTTGACATTCAAGCCATGGTTAGCCTGAAACAAGAAGGAAGGGAAACAACATGTCAACATGATCATTTTCCATAATATGGCAATTTCGATATTTTGGATTCTACTCACAGCAGACTGGAGGTATCTAAGGAGTAAACCAGATTCCTTCCATGAAAATAGCTGTTGGAGCCAACAGGATGAAAGAAATAATGGTTAGTACTGAGAAGAGATTGATGTTGTCCAAAGTTTGCTGTCAATAACACACTATTTGTTATTAAAATATCACCGATTAATTTAGAAAAAACAACCACCAAAATGGGCTACCACCGTAAGTTAAATATTTGGCAAGCTTCAAACCCAAAGGTAAGAACCCTAAGCCCAAAGATGGATATCCCAAGCCCACATGGTGTGTAAATACTTAGTACATTCTAGAATACTCCCACCCACAACATATTTTAATGAGATATCTCACCTACTCTAGAATGCTACATATAATCTCTACCGTACATTTTTATAAGTAAAATAATCACCGAGTTAATTAAGAAAAAAACAACCACCGGAAAATTGGGCCTAAGGGGACAACCTGTAAAGTTTAAATATTTGGCAAAAGCTTCAAACGCCAAAAGGTAAGGAACGCGCTAAGCCCAAAAAAGAATGGATTTATCCGCAAGCCCTGCCACATGGGTGTGTAAAATACCTTAGTACATTCTAGAATACCTCACTGCACAACATATTTATAATGAGATATCTGCACTACTCTAGTTGAAAATGCTACATATAATCGCTTCTACGCGCGTAGCGCGCCATGTTTTGCTGAAGATCGGATGTGACTACAGACGTAGTGGTCCGATTAATTTGAGCGAGTACATGATGGAGAGAGAGCGAGGTGGAAATGACTATAAAAAGCGGATACACCGCGAGGAAGGACCCACTGCATGACTCGCGTCGTTCAGTTTGATTAGACACAAACACCAGACGGCAAAAACCTAGTCCAAAAGAAGCCAGCAGATAGTAATTCCTTTTCTATAGAGACTTTTATGAAAGTTTAAGCTTCTTAACCCAAGCCCACATGGTGTGTAAATACTTAGTACATTCTAGAATACTCCCACCCACAACATATTTTAATGAGATATCTCACCTACTCTAGAATGCTACATATAATCTCTACCGTACATTTTTATAAGTAAATCATAGCTGTACATTGAAGAGGTGGAAATGACTATAAATACCACCCTCACCTCATTTGTAACCAACCAAGCAAAAACCTAGTCCAAAAGAAGCAAATAAGTAATTCTTTCCTTAAACTTTATGAAAGTTTACTTCTTATTAATATAACTTTATTAATACAATTTTATTTGGTATTTTGTGTTAGTATTATTTTAGTTGCTTTTTCCGTTATTATTTTTGGTGTTATAAATTAAGAATTAATCTTGGAGTTTATCGCTGCACTGATATCTAACATTTGTTACCTCTAAAGTTCAAGAAAATGCTATAAGAACCAGAAATTAATTATTTTGATGCAATCAGAGAGATAAATTAATGATTGTAAGTGAAAAATCAAGAGATATTACAAGCATTGTGTCTATACCTCTTTATTAACCATGAACTTTTTGCTAAGTACATTTCTAGATTGGCTAGTCACATTGGAGGCCATAGCACTGCAGAAATCGATAAGCAGATTAAGTCAAAGAACCCAATAATGAGTTTTAGTATCTCTTTTGATTGACTAGGCTTTGACAGGATATTGAACTTGCAATCTTATAGTCCTGGACGCAATTTCAGTATCCCCTAGGCAAAGCAGGCGAATAATTCTACATATTCAGCTCGATGAATATGTTTTCAAAAAAGTGAATTATGTTATCTTACCAATTGAAAGAGGACTCAGTAAACGATGCCAAAGCCACTCTACCAACTATTGGGACAAGGGAGGATATTATCCAGAAAGAAGGCGTCTGTGCATATACAGTAGCGATAAACTAGTCATTATGGCTCTAAAACCCTGATACACACACACACACACACACACACACACACACACAAACATATATATAATTAAAATACTTAAACCCTTTAAAGAGAACAAATTAAGTCCAAGAAACATTCCTTAATATTTATATAATTGAAGCAAAAATAAAAACATAAAAGATAACATATTCTTAAAAAAGTCACCCATAGATTTCATGCAATACATGCAAGCAAGCGCCACCAAATTAATTCTGGGTTCCTTGTGTGATCATCTCTAGCAAATCCATTTCCTTCCTGGCTTCATCACTAGTTGTAGTACCCTTAATCAAACTGTCCAATTCCATCGCCATCTCATACTGCATTTGGCTCTCTTCAACCCCGAACCCATAACTATTATCATCAAACAAGTTATTTGCCTCGAGAGAAACGTTTAATACTTCGCTGATATAATCATAGTAATCGGTCGTCCAGGCATTCAGTTGATCTGAGACGAATGGGGAAGAAAATGAGCTCTCACTGTAGTTATTTTTCTGGTCTTGATCATGAGTAGTTAAAGTCTTAATATAGCTCTGCAATAATGTGCCTCTCGAATTTGATTCCTTCCCTTTTCGCCTAATTGAGAATTGCCTTCTCTTTGTTGCGTTCCAATGGTTCTTTATAGTGTTTTCTGTTCTTCCAGGTAATCTCTTGGCTATTTCTGCCCATCTGTTCCCAATTTTCTGATGAGCTTCAATTAGAATTTCATCTTCCTCTTCACTCCAAGCATCTTTCTGTACATTTATGACATTACCAAATATCATCAATCTAGCTATATGGTTATTAATTGTAGCAAAAAAAGAAAGAAGAAAAGTTCTAGCTAGGGGTGTGTACTTATGCACATTTTATGATCTAATTACAATGACATAAACAAAAATTAATCATATAATTAAACAAGGTAATTATCATGCTTTAATTGTAAAAGAATATGAAAGTTGTAAAGGGAAAGGGGTGTAAGGATTTTATCTTACTAACCTTGCTATTATTCATATATGTAATAGCATATATGTGAAAGCATTTTACCTGCTATTATGCATATGTGTGAACTAAGTGTGATATTCTTATAATCATGTGGTAATGGTCAAATTAACTAGAAATATAGACTTGCATGTAAAGGAAAATAAAAGGTTTTCTAAGGGCAATTTTATCATTTTATAAGTTATTCTTTTGATAAAATCGGTTTTAGATAATCTCAGTTCAATCTGTCACTCTTTCACTGTGCACGTCAATGCGTTGTTAATTTCGTAAAGACAAATAATTAACAAGGCAAGTATTCATATACTTTATAAAATACATCTAGAAATAAGTAACACCAACAGAAATTCAATATAATGATCTCCATTTATTTATTGCCATATGTTAGAACATTGTTTCATGTTCAGTAAATGAATAATGATTTAACTTAAAATAAACTAAATATATATTCATATATGTGAATTTTATTTATGTTTTTATATTGAAATATATTATGTTTTATATAATAATTGCCTACTGGTGCATCGGTCAACCAATACGGTAAACCGATAATTAATTGCCAACTAAGAAAAACCATCATAAATTGGTACTATCTTACCTTTTTTCCAGTGAATTGACACAAATATTATGGTTGGAACAAAAAAAATTTATTTCGTTGCTCTAAAATATGACTAGAATTGGCAATAATTTATCTTTATTATTTAAAAAAAAGAAAAAGAAAGAAACATGAGAAGAAGTAGGGTGAACAAACTTCAGTAATTACCAATTTACCGAACCGAGGTTATTTGGTAAAAATGGTTTGGTAAATTGGTAAATGGTACATGGTTAGTAAATTTTTTGAAGAGATTTTGGTAAACGGTAAATAGTTTGGTAAAGTATTCAAAAAATTTTAAACTTTTGATTTACCGATTTACTCAAAACAACATTGTTTTGCTTTTTTTTTTTTTTTTTTTTTTTTTTTTTTTTTTAATGGTTACGCGAAGCGCGGAAGGGTTATTTGGTAAAGAATGGGTTTGGTAGAATTGGGTAAAGGTGGTACAGTGGTTAGTAAAATTATGTGTGAAGAGGATTTTTGGTAAAACGGTAAATAGTTTGGTAAAAGTATTCGAAAAACATTTTTGAAACTTTTTGATTTTACCGGGATTTAGTCAAAACAACCATTGTCTTTTTGCCTTTTTTTTGTTTTTTTTTATTTTTTATTTTGTTTTTTTTTAGAAAAGAGTCCAATTCTTATATGGGTATAATTGATTAAATTTGCATAAGATCAGTGCTCCACGGCTTTAGATCGGTAGAGCCTTCAGAGCGGAATGATCGTTATATAAGATGGCTGGACACTGATATACATTTGATAAGTTAGTTAGTTCCGTCGATAAGCCGACGAAAGGCCAGCTGCTGAGCGAGAAAGTACAGTGGCATTACCACGAGAGGTCAGTTAAGGTCCACAGGTGACGCAGCGGAAGCATATACGGATGGCAATCGATAGGTTCAAGCATCATACGCGAGGACAACCCGAAATACATAGACAGTCGATTAATCTACTAAGCGAGTGCAAAAGGAAATATCACGAAACCCAGCGATGCGCGTGTGAAGCACAGCCCACAGCAATGGCCTAGACGTACCGCGATCTACTCAGTTTCAGGTATCACGATGGCGAGCGAGCAGAGATATACGTTGAGGGGAGCATTGGTGAGTACAATGCATGCCGGCTTCTTAGGCTCGTGGCGCAGTTTTATCGGTACCTTCTATGTAACAGTCTCGGAATCAAGCATACGACATGTTGCGGCACGAGACCGGCAGACAGCGCGAGAGTGGGATCACTAGGCAAACTACCAGAAAGCGTGGTACACCCTCACCGTTAATCCCATAAGATGAAATCAAGTAAGGAGGTATAAATACATTAAAATCGGTTAATTCTCACCAATCTAAATGCAAATTCGGATACACACTCTTAATCCCGAACCGGATGCACGAGGATGTTCACGATAAGCGAGACACCGGATAGGAAGAACAATGAGCAGAAAAAAAAAACACCGTGAATATGAATAGACATAACAAGTACCGACAAGTTAATCACTGGTAATAACTAGATAAAGTATTATCAATCTCTTTAATTGTAAACAGAAATAAAGAAGAGTTGAAGGAAAAAGAGAATTTTTTTTTTTTTTTTTTTTTTTTTTGTTTTTTTTAAAAAGAGTCAATTCTTATATGGTAAATTGATTAATTTAATAAATCAGTCGGTAATGGTAAAGCTTCAGCGGTTAATCGTTATATGGTGAATGATACATTTGATAATTATTTAAATAAATCAGTAAATGATAAATACTTAATCGGTAAATGCAAATTCGGTAAACTCTTAACCGAACCGATCGAATGTTCACCCCTAGGAAGAAGATGAGGAAAAAAACCCTGATATGATGACATAAATAGAAATTAATCGTATAACTAAATAAGGTAATTATCATTCTTTAATTGTAAAAGAATATGAAAGTTGTAAAGGAAAAAGAGATGTAAGGATTTTACCTTATACTAACCTTGCTATTATGCATATATGTGAAAGCATTTTACGTTGCTATTATGCATGTGTAAAAGCATTTTACGTTGTCACTCTATCACTGTGCATGTCAATGCATTGTCAATTTCGTAAAAGCAAATAATTAACAAGGTAAGTGTTTATACCCTTTACAAAACACATTGAGAAATAAGTAATACCAACAGAAATGCAATATGATAATCTCCATTTATTTACTGACATGTGTCAGAACACTGTTTCCTTTTCTAAGGGTAATTTTGTCATTTTATAATTTATTATTCTGACAAAATCTGTTTTAGGTAATCTCAGTTCAATCTGTCACTATACATGTCAATGCATTGTCAATTTCGTAAAGGCAAATAATTAACAAGGCAAGTGTTTATATACTTTGCAAAAAACACATCGAGAAATAAGTAATACCAATAGAAATGCAATGTAATAATCTCCATTTATTTACTAGCATGTGTCAGAATACTATTTTCTTTTCAGTAAATAAACGATGATTTAACCTAAATTAAACTAAGTATGTATTCATATATTTGAATTTTATTTATGTTTTTATATTGAAATATATTACGTTTTATATAATACTTGCCTTGTACTGGTCAACCAATACGGTAAACCAATAATTAATTGCCAACTAAGAAAAATCATCATAAATTGGTACTATCTTATCCTTTTTCCGGTGAATTGACACAAATATCATGGTTGGAACCAAAAAGTTTTATTTGGTTGCTCTAATGTATGACTAGAATTGGCAATATTTATCTTTATTATTAAAAAGAGAAAAGGAAGAAAAAGATATATGGGAAGTAGGGTGGACAAACTTCGGTAAATTACTGATTTATCGAACCGAACTGAGGTTATTAGGTAAAAATGTTCAGTAAATTGGTAAATAGTAAACGATCGGTAAATTTTTTAGAGAAAATTCGATAAAGTATTCAAAAAATTTGAAATTTCCATTTTATTGATTTACTCAAAATGATGTAGTTTTGTTTTTTTTTTAAAAAAAAAAAATAAAAATCAATTCTTATATGGTGAATTGATTAATTTAGTAAATCGGTCGATAAATGGTAAAGTTTTATCAGCGAATGGTAAATTCGGTAATTATTTAAATCGATCGGCAAATGATAAATACTCAATCGGTATATACAAATTCGATAAATGGTTAACCGAACCGACCGAATGTCCACCCTTAGAAGAAAATGAGAAAAAAAAACTCTACTACGGTGACATAAATAAAAATTAATCATATAATTAAATAAGGTAATTTCATTCTTTAATTATAAAAGAGTATGAAAGTTGTAAAGGGAAAAGGAGTGTAAGGATTTTACCTTACTAACCTTGCTATTATGCATGTATGTGAAAACATTTTATCTTGCTATTATGCATATATGTGTGAAAGAAAGTGTGACAGTCTTATAATCATATGGTAATGGTAAAATTAACTAGAAATAAACTTGTATGTGACAGGAAAATAAAAGGTTTTTAAGGGCAATTTTATCATTTTATAATTTATTCTTCTGACGGAATCGGTTTTTAGATAATATCAATTCAATTTGTCACTCTATTACTATGCATGTCAATGCATTGTCAATTTCGTAAAGATAAATAATTAAAAAGGCATGTTTTCATAAACTTTACAAAACGCATCTGAGAAATAAGTAATAACAATATAAATCTAATGTAATAATTTCTATTTATTTACGGCCACATGTCAGAACAGTGTTTCCTTTCCATTAATTGAATGATGATTTAACTTAAAATAAACTAAGTTTATATTCATTTATTTGAATTTTATTTATGTTTTTATATTGAAATTTATTATGTTTTATATAATACTTGTCTACAAGTGTGCAGATCAACCAATATGATAAACTAATAATTAATTGCCAACTAAGAAAAACCGTAATAAATTTGTACTATCTTACCCCTTTTTTTTCTATTGAATTGACACAAATATCATGGTTTGAACTAAAAATTCTTATTTTGTAGATCTAGTTTATGAATAGAATTGGCAATACCTTATCTTTATTATTAAAAAAAAAAAAAAGAAAAGAAAAAAAAAAGTAACATAGGAAGAAGATGAGAAAAATACCCTGATATCTGGCCTCAAATGGTTGTGCCATCGAGATTGGGCCAATACCATTTTAATCTTTATTATTAAAATAAAAAAAAAGAAAGAAAAAAAAAAGTAAAACAATAGGAAGAAGAGATGAGAAAAAAATAAAAAAAAAAAAAAGAAAAGAAAAAAAAAAGTAACATAGGAAGAAGATGAGAAAAATACCCTGATATCTGGCCTCAAATGGTTGTGCCATCTCTCTCTACACTGTTTCCCTACTCTTCCGTCCAACAGCTTAGCGATATGAGACCATTTCTTAATTCCAAAATGTTTCACCAACTGCACCAACAATCTGCAGATAGAAAGATTCTAACATAATCGATTCATTTCATTTTTTTTATCGGCATCAATTCAGTTCATTGTTCATTATATATAAATAAAAAAACACTATATATATGTGCCAAACCCTGATATTAGGCGTAACCCTAATCATCATCAAAGGACTATATAAATGGAAAAATAGAGAAAAATAGAGCCAAATTTGTCTTCAAAATCCATGGATTTTAGCTAGAATCTCAGTCAAAGCCCAGTCTTTTTTTTTTTTTTCAAAAAAAAAAAGTTTTCAAAAAAAAAGCAGAGAAAAAAAGACCAATCAGAGAGAGAGACAGACCAGTTTTTTTTTTTTTTTTCAAAAAAAAAAAGAGAGAAAAAAAGACAATAGAGAGAGAGAGAGAGAGAGAGAGAGAGAGAGAAATGGGTATTTTGATAAATGCATAGATATATACATAGATAGATTATAGATACCTGTCTTCTTGGGGAGTCCATTGGCCTTTGATTATATGGGATTTCTTTTGAGGTTTGCCAACTTTCTTGACTTGATGAGGCTTTTTATCCTTTCTATGATCAAAGTTCTTGCTTAACCCATGGTTATCTGCTATTACGCATGAGACTTGATCATGATCTAAAACCATGTTAGGACTCATTTTCTGATGATATATATGATTTTGACGATTAGCTCCAATTTTTGGTAATTGGAAGCCATGCAAGAGCCTGTTATTATAATCTCCGCCTTTATAATCAGCTGCAAATACAAAAGCTCTAATAAGATCATTAATATTAGTAGTAGCAGAGAATAAACTATGATTACTACCATTTTCAAGAAGAGAAGTCTCGATAAGAGGATCGATACCATTGTGAAGAAGAGAAGTCTTGATAAGAGGATCGATATCAAAACTTGTGCTCGATGAAATCCCAAAAAATGGATTCTTTGAAGACCCTTCAAGACCTATAAAATGATTATGATTGGTCGAATTATTGAAAATCGACCCATCTCCATTAATAAGATAATCAAGATTTTGAAACATTCCCTTCTCATGAGGATACCCATTTGCTATCACTTCTTGTTTTAATGGATAGTCAGAAAGAAGGCTTGAAAGGTAAGGGAATTCCTCTGTCAGCTTTCTTTTGAGCTCCATACAAATGGAGAGGGAGAGAACAAAAAAGAGAAAGATACAGAAAGGAGTTGGGGGGGGAGGGGGAGGGGGCAAAGGTGGGAGGGAGAGAGGGAGAGGAAAGAGAGAGAAAGAGTGAGTGAGTGAGAGCTATCAAGAAAGGGAGGATGGTTTAATGTGTTTAGACATAAATAATAAAAGGTTAATCTCTTACAAGGGTAAAATTAAAATTGGCAATATAATGCACATTTGGCAAATTTTTAGCCCTTGATGAAATTATAAGGCAATGGTTAATATTGCTTGTTGTTAGAAACGATTGAGCTTACATTTTTTTTGTATTGTAATTCTTAGGGCTTAAAAAAAAAAAAAAAGGAAAAGAAAGGGACCTTATAATCATTAGGTCGTTATAAGGACTTGTATTTTAGTAAAAATTTAGGGTATTTCTAGGACATTTGTCCAACATGCTCTTTTGTGACCTTTCTAACTAATATATGTTATAATAGTTTGCTTAATAATCTAATAGTCGAGTATTTACATAGTAACATATGAAAATCAGGGCTCAAATTTTGATAATTTAATTTCTAAATAAAAAAAAATTGCATATAATTTTTATCACATGATGAAAATACATATATATTACATATATAAAAATACATATTATTTTTATGGTGTGCTCAAATTGGTATAGTAACAATGTCGGTATTTCTAATGGTAAGTATGTATGTATTGCCAAAGTAATTGGCTTAGAACAAATCTTGGGGCAAAAATGTCAATTGCCTTCAATTGCTATTTTATTATTTAGTGGGGAGAGTCAAAGGAATGGAGTAGAAGATTTGGTCGAATTTTGGACATTGAGTTCATTTTGTAAAATTATTAATTGAGAACAAATCTTGGGGCAAAAATGTCAATTGCCTTCAATTGCTATTTTATTATTTAGTGGGGAGAGTCAAAGGAATGGAGTAGAAGATTTGGTCGAATTTTGGACATTGAGTTCATTTTGTAAAATTATTAATTGTTAGACAAAAAAGGACTGAAATTACTCCAAGAAAATTTCTTTCAAGGTGTTTTTAATCTTCATATGACCAAATTTTATGAAGCTTCAAAGCCTAAATCTCTATTTAGACTATTTACAAATAATTTCTAACTATATATAGTTAAATATCAAATTACATGGAAGTAAAAAACATTTTAACTTGTTAATTAATTTTCAGAATATTCGAATCTCATCGGGAATAATCTTTTTTATTATTGATTTTTAAATATTTACTTATAATGTTTGCATCATAAGTTTAATTTAGGAATCAAAATTTGTTAATTTATTTGTTTTTCCTAAGAGAAATCGGAGACATTTGGTTGTTGATTTTTGGAAATTGAAACCAAATTCTTTGTCCTTTTTCTTAAGTAGGTTGAAAAACCATTTGGAAGAGTTTTTGTCTGAAGATATGAGTAAGCCATTTGGCAAAATTGTAAACCAAAAGCACCTTTCTTTTGTAACTGAATCTCAATAATGCCACCTAGTTGGCTTCTAATTCAATTGCTCTCACACATTAATTACTAATTAAATGGATCCAATTTTTTTATAAATATTTAAAAAAAAAGTTACATTTCGGGTTATTATCATATAGAGTATATAATTCATGTTCATTACTACTTTATTTTCAAGTTTAAATTATTTTAAATCTTGAGTAATTATTATAATAATGATAAATGAGAAAATTACCCATCTGTATTCTTGTTGATCGATCAGAGGCAAAATAGGTCGGAAGAACATTATAGACTATATATAACTTGTATAGTTATTTCTTTTAATTAAATAAAATTCATCAGTGAGGATTCGTATCGGATTCTCTCATTTCCCACGTTTATTACTTGACCTTTATTGTAATGGACAATGAGGGTATATATGAGATTGTCAAAGTATATATGAGATTGTCAAATTATTTTTTTTATACTAATAAATTAAATTAAATTTAAAAAATTTTCAAGTTTAAATTATTTTAAATCTTGAGTAATTATTATGATAATGATAAATGAGAAAATCACTCATCTTTATTCTTTTTGATCGATCAGAGGCAAAATAGGTCGGAAGAACATTATAGACTATATACAACTTGTATAGCTATTTCTTTTAATTAAATAAAATTCATCAGTGAGGATTCGTATCGGATTCTCTCATTTCTCACGTTTATTACTTGACCTTTATTGTAATGGACAATGAAGGTATATATGAGATTGTCAAATTATTTTTTTATACTAATAAATTAAATTTAATTAAAAAATTTTCAAGTTTAAATTATTTTAAATCTTGAGTAATTATTATGATAATGATAAACGAGAAAATCACTCATCTTTATTCTTTTTTATCGATCAGAGGCAAAATAGGTCGGAAGAACATAATAGACTATATACAACTTGTATAGTTATTTTTTTTAATTAAATAAAATTCATCAGTGAGAATTCGTATCGGATTATCTCATTTCCCACGCTTATTATTTGACCTTTATTGTAATGGACAAAGAGGGTATATATGAGATTGTCAAATTATTTTTTTATACTAATAAATTAAATTTAATTAAAAAAATTTTCATTGCATGAAAGTTGCTCATGTAATATGCATACGCAAGTTCCTAACTTTTTCATAAAATCTAAATTGTGGTAAACTTTACATTGCTTTTCTTTTTCAACAGACGACAAAGAGTACTCTTACGAAAAAGAATAAAGCCAAGAAGAATAAAAATCGTGTTTGGTTTTCAGTTCAGGAAAAAGAAAAAATAGATGAAAGAAAGAAAAGAAAAATGCACCAATGCCAAGCAGAGCAACGTAACTAACAGATTCTTCGTTGTTGTCTATTTGCCATTTGAAACCCAATTTTTTTTTTTTTTTTTTTTGGTACCAAAAAGAACGATAAAACTATTTTCGAGCTATAAAATCATTATCGTATCAATTTCTTATTATAGGCTACTTAAGAAGAATTTAAGGGTATTTGTCTTTTATAGGCTACTTAATGGTAAAAGTTAAATTTTTTCTACGGAAAGACAATAATAAATAATATTAAAAAACATAGGGATAAGATTATAAAAATAGATGGACAAAATAATTAATTTTGTATAATATTAGAACGATATTATAATTTTCCCTTCATTTAAATGTTGAAATCAGCGCCTAATTCTATTTATTTTATTTCGGAACTTTTTCTTATGAGCTATTAATTGTTTCGTAGTTATATTATATTTGGATACTACTAATCTCATAAAAATAATTATTCATATTTTTTTTTCAAATTAATAAATTATGTGCTTATTTTATTTATAATTATTTAAAGTAATAAATAATTGCCAAATGTTATTATAAAAGTTTTAATTAATTTTTTTATTTACATAACACTAAAGTAACATTTTCACATTTATATGTGCACATACACATACAGACCTGTATGTGATAATTTATAAAAATAGTTATACTATCAAGAGTCTTTTTTTTATTTCAACAGTAGTTTTAGATGATGTTAGAGGTGTTATGTATTTTTGGGTACAAAAACCTATATATTTTCACAAATTCTTTAATGTTTACAAATTATGTTATAAATAATAATTTTATATTATAGCCTATATAGTAGGGATAGTCCTTCCCTTTGAATAATAATTATTAAATTGATAATAACTTTTACGGTGGATGTGGTTCAAACTCGAAACCTTTTACTCTTTAGCTTTTCTACAAAACGTGGAAAGATCAAATATATCACATATGATTGGCTCACTTTGTTTCCATTGAATTTTTGAACATTTGATACTCAAATTATTAACAATAATTCAGTAAAGGATTATAATCTTTTATTAATTGAAAACGGGTAATTAACCCTTTAGTCCCTGAACTCAAGATTATTATCATATCCTTATTATTTAGCAGAATCATCGATTTGTCCCCTAGATTTAGTCTCATTAAATTATTAAGTAATTTTGTTTAAAAATTACTAATTAAGGGACTAAATAGTAATACAATAATAAGTTTGGGAGGACTAAATAGTAATATTATATTAAATATAAAGGATTAAATAGTCAAATATTAATATATTTAACGAAAAAAATTACTTGGACTGACTAAATAGTTTAACATTGGTAGACTTCAAAGACCGATAAATTATTTTGTCAATCAGTAAGGATGTAATGGTTATTTCCACCAAAATTTAAAACTAAGGTAATATGTTTGGTAACAATATTTAAAATTAAAATTATAGTTGCATCTAATTAATTAAATAAATTGGTCAAAGATTTAGGAAATACCAAAATAAGAATAAATATAAAAAAATATTATCGTCATTTGGTTTATATATCTTTAAACTAATGTAATATTTAAGCTGGAGAGACACATACACATGTCACGTGATATGGCACGAATATTAGATATGGTAATTTTTAAAAAGGTAGGACAACGACACATAACATATAATATATAACACGACAGGAATTTGAGATATGGTAAGTTTTAAAAAGGTAGGATAACGATATATGATATATGACATATGACACGATAGAAATATAAGATATGGTAATTTTTAAAAAGGTAGGACAACAACACATGACACGTGACATATAACACGACAGGAATATGATTATGGTAATTTTGAAAAAAGTAAGACAACGATACACTTAGAATACACGCATTTAATAAATATAATTTATTTATAATTCAAATAATCATTTACAATAAGTCAAAAATATAAAAAAAAAATAATTTCTTATTTTAAGATCATTAGTTAAGTTTTCAAAATTAACATCATCATTTAAATATCTTTAGTTTATTTAGAGATAAATTAATAATTTTAAGACTTGCAACATCTCTAAAATAGATCAAATTAATGTCATATTTTAGTTTGTGCAACATAATATTGTCAATTCTTTTTTTATAAAAGCATTGTGAATCACTGATTTCAAATCAATATTTTGACTCAGTCCTTGAATTTGATAACAATAGATATCTAATAAGTTACAAATTGTAAATTATAATATAGAGTTTTTCATTTCTTTATATATTTTTTAATTTTGTATTTAAGTATTAATAATTATCAAATATATATTTAACACAAAAATTTAAAAATTTTTTTAACAGTCTTATAGAATTTTGAAAAGTATCTCTAAAGTGTTTTAAAAAGCAATGTTTTGAGAACCGATGAAGGTAGGGGTTTATTGAATCGAAGAGTTCAATTGAATTAAATACGGTTCAACCATATTTTTATGTATAATATTTTTAAATATATTTGTTAAATCAATTATAAAAATATCGGTTAAAAAACTTTAATATTAAGAAATGCCCAAATTTGACTTTTACAAAAAAGAATAAAAATCAATAAATAATATTAAACAAAAAGAATAAAAGATGACTAAATTTAATATTAAACAAAAAAAAACAATTAATTAATTATCATAAATATAATACTCCCCTATCTCATTTTGTTTGCTTATTATTTCTTTTTTGGATGTTCCAAAATATTTGCAAGGTTTTTAAATTTATATAATCAAATAATTATTTTTTATAATAACCTTCATGATTATTTATTAAATGAATGATTTTTATTAATATCTTAATGAGTTCAGGTTAAAAAAGATAAAATAATTTTTATTAACCAAATTCTTGACGTACGTGCTTTGTCAAATCATGCAAACAAAATAGGACAGAAAGAGTTTTATGTTTCATAATTGGGTTTGAAATTGGACACTTTAGTTGATTTAGTTAACAAAATAAGACTTTAGGCTTAAAAATGAAGAGTCACAAAAGTTTAAAATATCAGTAAACGTAGAGTTTAAAGAGGCCTGTATTTGAATAGATATGTAATAATTGACTAGTTTGATTTGTCAATTTTCACCGGTTTTTAAGACCTATATTTTTATTATCCAACTCGAATCGACCATAGTCCGGTTTCTAATTAAATCAGTCGAACCAGCCAGTGCAATTTGATTTTTTGAACCATATTAAGAAGTATCCTCGAAGCGCCTAAGATGTATTCTTAAAATGTTCAAAATTAATAAAATAAAATAAATAGTAAGACATATTTTTTAAAGTAGGAGTGTCCAAATGGTGATGAGTACAACACTTGTACGTTGAACCTTTGAGATGTCGATGTGACTTATCTTTGAAAAATATTTTCCAAGAAAAACGTTTTCTTTTAAAAATATTATCCAAATGATTTATTTTTTGTTATTTGATTGCAATATTAAAAATTAGTTAAAAATATTAAAATTTTAACCCATAAGACTATATAAATATTAATAATAATAGAAATTTTGTATTTCAAAAATTTTATTGTTAAATATAAGAAGACTGCAAAAAAAAAAAAAAGTTAAATTATGAAAGTTGCCGGTGACTGGTGGTGGTAGCCGACGGTGGCCTATGATAATGGTGGTGGCTGATGATAAATGGTGACTGGTAGTAGTGACTATTGATGATTAATAAATTAAAAAATATGGATTTGTAAGGTTATAACAAGTTTGTCAATGTGGTGCTAAAAAAAAACAAATTTGTCAATGTCTGAAAAATATTTTACGCTCATGAAAATAGAAAGTTATTTTCCTTAAAAATGACTTAATTTTCTTTTGATCAGGAGAATATTTTCCGTTGACTTATTTTCCTAAATGCACCAAACAACGGAAAATTGTAGAAAATATTTTCTTTAGTTTGTTTCTGAAAAATATCTTGCAGAAAAATATTTTTCATAATTTTTTGTTGTTTGGAGTGCTCAGAAAAATAAATCAACTGAAAATATTTTCCTGGTCAAAGAAAAATTAAGTTATTTTTTAAGGAAAACAACTTCCTTTCGAGACAGTAAAACATTTTTCGGATATTGGCAAACATTATAAATGCATATTTTTTAATTTATTAATCATCATAGTCACTATCACTAATCTCTAACTACCACCGACCACCACTACCTATCACCATCACCGTCCACCACCACCGGCCACTGGCCACCAGCGGCCAACACCTGCTGCGTTCATAATTTATATATAACTATATATATAATATATATATATTACATTCTTCCATATTAACAAATAAAAAAATTTTTTAAATTATTAAAATTTTATTATTATTAATATTTTATGGTTATTATTAATATTTTTTATGGTCTTATAATATAAAAACTTTAATATTTTTAACTAATTTTTAATATTACAAACAAACAATGGAAAATAAGTTATTTGGAAAATAAATATCTTTCATGAAAATATTTTTCAGTAAATAATTTTTCTACAGATTATTTTACGAAAATAATCGGAGACCGAGTAACACAAATAGTTTAGTGCGCGCTGCTTTTGCTATGAAAAGGAAACGACAAGCAATCTACTTTCCAATTTGATTTAAACAAACCGTCAACCTCTGCTAGGCTAGCTAGATACTGGGAAGCTATAATGTTTACTGTCTTTCAGTCTTTAAACGACAGACCGTGCAGTTTGTAGATAGACTTTCGCCATTATATAGAGTTTAGTACTTTGGCTCCGTAACATTTATATTAATATTTAGAATTTGAGACATCACGTTATAAAAAGTTACTTCTTCAACTTTTGATGAGATAGAGTAAAATAGCTATTAGGATGAGACGACAGTAAACAGTTATTAGAATCGCTGAATTGACTGCTGAAACTCTTAATTTTGACGAACAATTTGTTAAAATCGCAGTAGAGTGGTTCAAAATCCAAAGCCCTTGAGAAATCCTACTTGGCTAATAAATAGCTGATTTTAGATTATTAAAAGGATAAGATTTCTTTTAGACGATTGAAAATAAAAATTATATATATACACAGACACAACATTTTTGTCCGTTGTGACAAAATTCAAGAAGCCTTTGGCATTGGCTTTATCCGACTCGCTCTTGAATACAGGAACACTCCAGCAAGAGCCATTGCAGTTCCTGTAGGTTATAAATACCAGTAAAGTCTCAGACCCATACAAAAATAAAGAACAAAAGGAACTTCTCATTTGAATAATGGACATAATTGATAATTAAGTTCAAGTCATAAGAAAGTTACCAAGGGAGTTTATAGGCGATATAGGAGTTTGGAAGAATATGACTGAGGAGACTATCACAACTACACGCTTCACACTATTTCCCACAGCATGAGTAACTGGATTTACCATCTGTAGAATCATATAGGAGACCTGCACAGAGTAAAATATACACATGTAACTAAGCATGATTCGGGAACGAGTTGAGGTCGGTTATATGAATCATTTGTTTACATTCCACTTAATTCATTGCTACATCATCACTGATAGCCTCATGATATGCTTATCATATACGGAAAAATATGTATACATGTATAACTTAGGGTATAAAGCACAGACACAGACACGAGACAAGGTTTATAATAAAATACAAATGCAGGTTGTGTTGAAAAGCATCCAACAAAATATGTAAGACTCAAGTTTCAGCCAAGTACTAGTGCTTCATAGAAAGTAGGGAACCTGAGCCTATGCGCCTATTGGATTAGTTCCACATTGGTCGAGTGTATGTTCTCTAGTGCAAGATATCATATGTTCACACCTTTACAGCCCTATTTTTCCTTGAATTTCTGATGTATCAGGAGGAAAAAAAATGCTTTTAGATGTTAAGAATCACAAATTTTATGCATTAACCAACAAAAAAAATGTCTAAAACCTCACTTGTTGATAAGAATGGAAGCACAAGCCAGCGAGAAGAGATCTTATACATAGGTCTTTGACATTCAAGCCATGGTTGGCCTGAAACAAGAAGGAAAGAACATGTCAATATGATCATCTTCAACAATATGGTAATTTCAATAATTATATGTATGGAATCCCAATCAAAATTTTGGATTCTACTCACAGCAGACTGGAGGTATGAAGGAGTAAACTTGATTCCTTCCATGAAAATAGCTGTTGGAGCCAACAGGATGAAAGAAATAATGGTTAGTACTGAGAAGAGATTGATGTTGTCCAAAGTTTCCTGTCAAGAACACACTGTTTGTCAACTCCAAAGTTCAAGAAAATGATATAAGAACCAGAAATTATTTATTTTGATGCAATCGGAGAGATAAATTAGTGGTGGTAAGTGTAAAATCAAGAAATTGGGTATCTTCAGTTTTATACTAAGATACTTTGATAGTAAAAGCATCGTGTCTATACCTCTTTGTTAACCATGAACTTTTTGCTAAGTACATTTCGAGATTGGTTAGTCACATTGGAAGCCATAGCACTGCAGAAACCAATCCTGTTTTAAAACAGAGTAGTTAAGCAGATTAAGTCAAAGGACCATTCAACTTCAAACATTAAACTCGTAAGCAACAACCCAAGAATGAGTTTTAATATCTCCTTTGATTGACTAGGCTTCGACAGGATATTGAACTTATAAACTTATAGTCCTGGACACAATTTCAGTATCACTGAGGCAAAGCAGGCAAATAATTCTACATAGTCAGCTCGTGAAAAGAGTTCTTCATGCACTCATCAAAATGTTTTTCAAAAAAGTGAATTATGTTCTCTTACCAGTTGAAAGAGGACTCAGTAAATGATGCCAAAGCCACTCCACCAACTATTGGGACAAGGGAGGATATTATCCAGAAAGAAGGCCTCTGTGCATATACAGTAGCGAAAACCTAGTTATTATGGCTCTAAAAATATCAAATATATTATAACATGAACTAAGCTAGCTCATTCCTTTGTACTTCTCTTCACATAAGAATGAAGCGAGGACTTCAATATGAACATACATTTGTACCATGTCACTTCAGACACTTTTATTCTGTTTCTAGGGCTGATCACTACTCAATTCAAATTGGAAAAACAACCGAATTTATGTTTTTCGGGTTGGTTAGATTCAGTTTAATTTTGACATTCAAAAATTTTGGGTTATTTCAACATTGCTCAATTTTACACCAAATCAACCAATGCTCACCCTATCTGCATCAGCATCCATGCATCATAGTTGGAGACTAATTCAACAATTGAACATTAATTTGTCTGTAGAAATTAACATCTAAAGAAATGCATTTATTGTGAACAGAATATTGAAAAGAAATAAGGCATGTAATTTCTCACCTCACCAAGAAACAGAGCAGCAAATAAAACTGTGAAGAAGGGTTCCATAGCTTTGATGGTATGAGTGAATGAAACAGCAACTTTTCCCAAACTAATATTAGTCAGAACGTTTCCCATTGTGTGCATGAGAGCGAGTGGCAGGATTACAGCGAGCTGAAAGTGAATTTGTCAAACCAAAAAAATTAAAAAAAAAAAAAAAAAAAAGGAAAAAAACCTGTGAACGAGTCAGTCTTGGTCTATGGTAAAGATTTAGTGACCACATTATGATAACCATCAGCATCCCGCAGCCACATTGAAAAGCAGTAACTGTTGCTGGAAATGGATACACCTTAAGAACCTATACACAAACAGCAAATGCAGATTCTTGCACTCTTGAGAGAAACTTATCACTTAAGACATATCACTGAAACAACAGACGCGGATAAAATAATAAGGAAATTTGGAAAAAAAGAAAGAAAAATTTGAACCTGTTTGTTGAAAATGTTGTAGTAGATGTTCAAAAGATACCAAATTCCAAGCATAGCCCCTAATTGTGTAATTTGAACCAAATCACCAGTCTCATTCTCACTTCTGCTCCCAGGAACTGAGGCAGCCCTTCGCTTTAAACTATGAAATCCAGGATTTGAACATAGAAATGAAGTATTAGAGAGTTCAGTCTTGAAAAACTGACAAGAAGAACCCAAAAATGAGGTTTGTCTACATGAGGAGCCATGAGAGCAGATGGGTTGGAGTGGTTTCAAAGAAGTAACTTTTAAAAATGGGTTAAGTTTGGGGTCAGAATTTCCATATAGAAGTTTCTGTGGATTGAGAAATGGGTTTGAAAGAGACAGAGCAAATGCTGTGTGCATTTTGAGGTCGAAGAACAAGCGAGAGAGACAAAGCTGGAGATTGTTTTCACATTCTTTCCTTCATATTTCTCTTATATAATTTAGATGTTGCATGAATAGTTAATGTAGTTTCATAAGCAACAGATGTTGGGTTGGTTGGTTACTCATCAAATTCGGGGTGAATGTTATAGGAGGTCAAATAAGTTCAGCCGTTAGACAAACGGGAAACGCTTCTCTAGCTCTCATTTTATTAGTGAAAATTAGCACTGTAATGTTGGATAAGACACTCAAAATCAAAACTAATTAACATTTGATTAGCAAAGGATCTATTTAATTAATTTAGTAAATGCAGGTAATGGTTTGTAAATTCAACTATTGCAGTTGATACTCAACATTGAATATTATTAATTAATGACTAATGGTAGTAAGATCAAGCACTGAAAATCAAAAATAGCAATTTTCAGCATCATATTTTAGACCATCGAAATTGTAATTAGCAGTTAATGTTGAAATTTTTAGGGATGAAAAAATGGGAATGCACAAGATGATTAACAATGTTTAGCACACCTTTGAATTAACAAGATGATATACCTATTTATAGGCTTATAAGTGAATCAAATAAAACCTACAAATACTTCTAAAAATCATTAATCCTAATAACAAAAAAATCAAATTCTATGTAGAAAATCTGCACTAAATAAAATTGAAATCTCAAAATATTTTTAATAATATTATTTTGAATTAATCCTAACAATTTTTTAATAATATTATTTTTGAATTAATCCTAACATTCCCGGCTTAATTCAACATAAGTATTTTTATGTACATAATTGACAATGGAGAGTTTAATAAATCTAGCATTTGAGTCACATCTTTCAAGTTAACTTTGTGTAAAGCACATCTCGTCCAACTCATTTTCCTCCCATATATTTTGATGCCAACTTCTGCATATTCAAACTAAGCAACAGGCACATTTAATTTAATTTTTTTTTTGCTAAGACTTCTCTTCACACATATTGATGCACCTCTCGTCACTTTTTATTTTGGAGCACATCTCTCCGAATAGTTCCTCTTAGAGACAGCATCTCTTTTCTAATACTCAAAAAGAGTTTCTTCCTCTGTTAAAATTTTTAATCTAGCATTTGAAGCACATCTCTTCAATTAACTTTGTTGAAGCACATCTCTCCAACTCATCATTTTGATGCACTTCTCATCAAACTAGCAAATGAATTTTAATTTTAATTTTTTTTTTTGAAGCACTTCTCTTCAAATATTGATGCACCTCTCGTCACTTTCTTTATTTTGGAGCACATCTCTCCAATATTCTCTTAGAGCACATCTCTCTAATACTCAAAAAAGAGTTTCTTCCTCTGATATTAGGGTACGACGTAGAACGGGAACTTCCCTTATGCAGGTTCGAATCTAAGGCTCTGATACCATGTTGAAATTTTTAGGGAAGAAAAAATGGAAATGCACAAGATGATTAACCATGTTTAGCACTCCTTTGAATTAACAAGATGGTATACCTAGTTATAGGCTTACAAGAGAATCAAATAAAACCTAAAAATACTCATAAAAATTATTAATCCTAATAACAAAAAAAATCAAATTCTATGCAGAAAATCTGCACTAAATAAAACTGAAATCTCAAAATATTTTTAATAATATTATTTTGAATTAATCCTAACAGTTAATGATTAAATATTAGTAATTAGCAAAAATTAGAAACTTAAAGTATAAGTTATCAGCATTGAATTATAATTTTGAACCATTAACAGATAAATAAACAATTTTTTTTCAGACTTTCTGACCCAGCCAACATTTAAGAGCTTTGATGGAGTTCCATATTCGGTAAGTGGGTCACGTGCATAGCAAGTGAGGAGAACAACAGTGGATGTTGAAGGGACCAAAAGACTATGGAAATAAGGGTTGGAAATAGATAATTCATCTTTTCATACTAATGGCTTTACTGTTTCTATCACAGGTTGGCTGTTGCTACAAGTTAAATATACAAGAAGAAATCTAATGGTGGATTATTGAATTTAGCCAGTTTATATTTTGGATGTTTGTGTAGACATTGTAGCTATCAAGCGTAATGTATGGTGTGAATTTAATTGCAGAAAAAGATGTGGCAGGCAATGCTGCAATTTTGGGTCTGCATCTTTCTACCATATATACATAGACAGGTCCATTTGACAAAGATTGAATCCAATAATAGAATTTTGTTATGTTTAATACCTACAATTCTAAAATCACTGCAGGTTGAATCTATTTTAAAAGTTTCTGATGGAAACACAAAATTCCCCTTCTTCATATTGTATTTGAATTCTGCATACAAGTCTAAATCCAAATCCATTGCCACTTATGATGCACAGAAACTCTCGGTCATGGCGTTTCTGAGTGTTTTTAAAAATATATTATTAAACAGGTTTAATTTTTTGGTTACAAAAACAGGTTTAATTTGTTACTTGATGTTTGAAGATAAAGAAAATTTGCTACATGTAAAAATTGTAAGATGATGTTAAATAAATACACGAATCAGTAAATAATAAATACCGGATGGACCATTATGTGGGCTGCTAAATGCCAATCTTCATAAAATCCCATGGCTTCTCTGCCATTAAGAGAGCGAATAGCAGCCATTAGATATCATTATTTTAATGCGTTTTCTTCTTCAATTTAACATCAAAGGAAAAGACATATCTAGATCAATACCAAAGACCAAAATTTCTTTCCAAATTTTCACAACTTCAACTTTATAAAAAAAAAAAAAGAATTCACTTCACAATGAACAGGGCACAGGCCACACAACCAAATGTGAGGACAGAACTCTTCTAACCTAAAAAGTGGACGGATCCAACCACATTCCTCATGATAGACACTTCAGTCTTGCAAAAGTCAAATAGCCAGTGTGACCTCTCGCCTCACCACATGGTCTAGCCATGATTACAGAAGAATTAGTACTGCCCTGCACATTAGTTCCTTCATTTGAACGCTGCCTTCTTTTATAAGGAGGAGATCCCAGAGAAAGACCTTCATCACCCTGGCCACAATCCATTTTCCATTCACGAACTTCATATGTCCGTAGGAGCACCTCAAATGTCCTTATATCTATATGCCAGGACAAGATATATATATTAGGATCCATAACTTCTTACTGAATGGGGATTAAACAAATTGTATTAAAAAAATATTTCAGAAAGTACACATACATACACTTAGTTAAAGTGAGAGGAACAACTGATGTGCTAAATTTACCTGTAAAGTTTGATCTCAGAGTTTCGCAGGAGCGTTGTACTTGTTCAATGCACGGTGAGAAGGAGCACAAAATCCCATCTTGTTTCAACATTTTCCCAGCTGAAGGAATGGCAAGCCATGGTTGAGGAAGATCCAAAAATACAGAATCAATCAATCCAGAATATTCGTCTGGAAATCCCTCACCCTGAATGTCTCTAACTCCAACTGTGACGAAGTTGCTTACTCCTGTCCTTTCAAAATCTTCCCTATTTAAAAAATTCAAAGAAAAAATGAAAACAAAAGAGTGAGGTCCTTAGACTCGATTAAATTGCATAGGTTCAATCTCGTGCAACTATATAAAGTGCCAATAAATATTGTCTCCCTACTTTTAAATTTGGCATTTGCCTAGTTCCCTAACTGGAAACATGCTTTTTTGAGTATGTTAACCAAGCATATCAACTGGTTCCTTTCTGATGTGAGAAGATGAGAACAACCAATTTGATATAATTTGACATAGACAGTGTAAGATCTAGATATTTAGATCTTCAATTACAATTACAGGTTTGATTTGTTATAAACTTAGTGTTTTCATTACAAAAGAAAATTCCAACTCCATTTTGGCAACAAAACAAATTTATACTAATAAATACAATAACCATAATTTGTAAAGCAAGAAACATTATATCAGGGAGATTCCATTTCTTACCTTGCTGAGGCAGCCCTTTGTTCATGGAAATCAAATGTATAAACATGTCCGGTAGGAGCAACAGCTCTTGCAAGTGAGGTTGTTAAAGATCCACTACCAGTGCCAGACTCAAGTACCAAACATCCAGGAACTAACTCAAAGTATGTAATTATAAAGGAAATATCAGCAATATAGAGAATCTGAGTCCTGTGACTTAAAACTAGGGTCCATAATTCAGGAGTTGGAGCTAATAAATATACAAATCCACCCTTGTTGCTAAACACTTTGGACCCAAAACGCTTTCCAATCCAATCTGAATGTTTAAACATACCAAAACGGTTCTGAAGTGTTGAAGTCTCACATACTTTAATGGCCTTCATTGTATCATGCTTCTCATAGACAATAACCAAATCACCATCTCTAATGCACCGTGCGAATGATAACTTATTTGTTGGGTCAGTTATCAACATCTTTAAATTTGGAATCCGTTGATGTAGGTTTGATACAAGCACAATCTGTCATGAATCAAACTTATATAAGAATAAACAAAGTAACTAGTGAACCCAATATAACTATCTGAATGAATTTTAAATAGAAAAAGGAATCTTATAAGCCTGTATCAATGTGAACAGAGGACTCGTGAGCAGTTTTCATAGTTGTGCAGCAATGAATGTAAGTTTATATCAATGATTAAGGATAACAAAAGTAAAAACATGATAAATAAACTTGCTAAGTAGAAAAGGCATAGCTTAATTGCTAGCTTCACGTCTTCTTTTAAAGGTCTTATATTCAAATCAACCACCTATTCTCCTCCCCCCCAGAAATTAACATTAGGACTTCAGTTAGCATAATAACTCTTCTGTTTGAACACTCCAAGGACATTGGATGGTTTTGGGTTAGCATTGATGCATTGCTTTCATTCCCTGAAGCCACATTCAAAAGCGACACTAACAGGTTCCCTTTTCTTGTACCTCCAACAAAGAACTCAACACAAATCAATCCGAGTTCCAAACAAGTCAACTCACATGAATTTGCTTTCTCCATTCTTTTATTTCAAAACTAAACTAATATAACCAAAACATGTATTTGTCTAAAACCAAAACGAAGCTTATAAGCAACACCAATACTAAAAAACCCTGAAAATTATATTCATGAAAAGAACAAATTGCAGGGAAAAAAATGCTCAATATGTATAAGAAAAAACCCAATTCAAAACTATATCTACAGTTCTAAAATTAAACTGAAAACACCATGAAAGTTGGCTGTTGCAAAAGAAATTGAAGAAAATAAAGATGGGAAATCAAATAAAAGAATCAAAAATTAGATTAAAAATAGATTCAAGATAGACTACAGAGTAACTAAAAAGTTAAATAATCAATCCAAGAACAAGCTAAAGCACAACGAGAGCAAAACAAAAACAGATTTCAAAAAAGAAAAACACATAGCGCGGCACTTACATCATGCAACTGATAATGACGAGCAGGTAAAGGAGGAGTAGCTAACGGCTTTTTTGGTAGGAGTAGGGTTCTCTGCTCTGTTTTTCTCTTCCGATAGTGTGTGTGTATCTTCACTGTATTTGCTTTCCGTTTTATTTTTGGACTATTGGCTCCTCTACAGGAATTAGGAATCAGTGCATTATGGCCCAAACTTTTGTACTCAATTGAGCCTTTTAGCCCATCTACATGTATATGTTAGTAGTTTCTTAAGAGTTAGTGGGGAAAAAAAATAAAGAAAGACTGAATTTGCAATAGTGAAAATTTTATTGTTATTCTTATTATTATTATTATTTATCTGTTTTTGTTTTTGGATGATATAGTATCGCCAGTTAACCTTTATTTTTGAAAAATAAATTTATTAAAAAAAATTCAAATAATACTTTCTGTTATTTTGATTGCAATATTGAGAATTAATTAAAAATTTTAAAAATTTTAATTTAAAGTATTTATTCTAAAATTTTACTATTAAATATAAAAATAATATAAAAATAATCAATATTATTTTGTTTACTTGGTTCGATAAAACACACATATTAAAAATCTAGTCAATAAAAATTATTTTTTCCCTTTTTTACCCTTAACTTATTAAGATATTAATAAAAGTCTTTTATTTAATAAATAATCATAAAGGCTATTACGAGAAAAAATAATTATTTAAACATACAAATTTAAAAGTCTTACGAACATTTTGAGTCATCCTAAAAGGGAATAACAAGCGAACAAAGTAAATAAAATGAAATAAGAGAATAGTACTTATTGACAGGGGAGAATTGTACTTATTGGTGATTGATACTGGTGGTCGACAGTGGTTGGTGACAGATGATGGTGGTTCGTGATTATTGACTATTTCGTATAATCAATAATAGTAATTATTAATGATCAATGGATTAATAACAATGTCTTCATAAGATTTTTAAAAATTTTTCAATATTCAGAAAGTTTTTGTTCTCTTTTTAAGAAAATGGTTTGGTTTTGTATTAGTATGCATTTAAGTTATCAAATTGTCTCACTTAAATTTGATATACATTAATTGACAACCAATAAGATGACAAATTTAAGTCAAAAGTTTGATTATACTTTCAAATTGTTGTAAAAGCTGATTTTTGTTGGTTATGAATCTTTTTTTTTCCTAAGAAATTCTAATTAAGGGCTTATAAGATAGGATGATGAAAAAGCAAACCTTATAATTATTGATCAAGTTACCAAATGGCTTATATATATACATATATACACACATATGTGTTTTGTGTGTCTAAAGATGTCATTTTCATAATTTCCCATCTCAAAAAAAAAAAAAAAAAAAAAAACTCTTCTTATAGAAAATGGTTTGGTCTCTTGTATTAGTATGCATTTTAAGTTATCCACATTGTTCTCACTTAAAATTGATATTACATTAATTGACTACCCAATTAAGATGTGGGACAACATTTAAGTCAAAAGTTTGATGTATACTTCAAATTTGTAGAAAGCTGACTTTTTGTTGTATTGAATCTTTTTTTTTTTCGCTAAGTAATTCTAATTAAGGGCTTAAGATAGGATGATGAAAAAAAGCATAACCTTAGTTAATTATTGATCAAGTACCAAAGGCTAGATATATCTATACATATATACCACCACATATGTTGCGCCTTGTTGTGCTGTCTACAACGATGTCACTGTTCTAAGTTTCCCATTCTCAAAAAAAAAAAAAAAAATAAAACCAACCCCTTTTATCTTCTTTCACTATGACCTATTCAAGAACTAACCAGAGTCACAAACTTATTTATATATATATATATATAATTATATATATATAATGGAATTATTCATGAGAAGATAGAGGTGATGCCTTTGGGAGTTTCTCAATGCACTATATATACCCTTCACTTAGGAGTGAGTCTATGGATAAAAGCCACTCCCTTCCTCTTTACTCACCTTGCATTAAAATGTTTATACATGGCCAACACTAAATTATCTCCACATAACTATCTTAAAGCATACTCTTACACTTTTCAATTACCTCTCACAAAGACCACTTGTAAAAAAAAAAAAACACAAAATCAAAATGTATTCATGAACGCATCATCACCTTCGCTATGTTCCATGCACCCTTCATACCAAATATATTTAGAATTGGATAATATTTACTTATCTTAAACAAGCACTATCTAACAAAATGCTTAGCATACTTTTGAGATATCTATCCTATATATATAATGAGTATTATCACTAGAAGATGAGGTGAGGCCTTGCTTGGATTTCTCATGCACTTTTAGCCCTTCACTTAGATATCTATGGATAAAAGCCACTCCTTCCTCCTTTACTCACCTGCATAAATGTTTATACATGGCCAACATAAATATCTCCCACATAAATATCTAAAGCAACCTTCACTTTTTCAATTACCTCTCACACAATACCCACTTGAAAAAAAAAAAAAAAAAATCAAAATGTATTATGAGCATCATCACCTTCCTTGTTTGCATTGCCAACCACAAGAATATATTAGAATGGTAAATTTCTTATTTAAACAACACTATCTAACAAAAGCTTAGATACTTTTTTAGAATCTTTCCTTCTGTTTGTATATTGTACTTGCTTCTTTTTATTACTATTATTACATGGTATTGTTATATATTTAGTAGGAATATCCCTGCAAAATTATTATTTTATTATCTTAATTGAATGATTCAATTCATAGGTTCAACATTTGATAGAGAGGTGTTTGCTCTTTCACATGAATAGAGATGATTGTGTGAAGGCACTTGCAAAACATGCTAGTGTTCATCCTACAGTCACTTCTACAGGTTCATTCTCTTCTTCTTTCTTCTTCTTCTCCTTCTTCTTTTGACAATTTTTTTTTAGCAGTGTGGAAAGAATTAGTCAGAGAGAATAAGAGTTTCTTCCAAGGATACTTTCATGCTATTTCACCCAAACACCATACCAGTGAGCTATCAACTTATATTCACAATCTTAATTACAGTTCTATGAAACTATTTAAGGATAAATTTGCTAAAATATTTTCTTTTTGCAGGCAGGCTTGCTAGGAGAGAACTTAACTATAGAAGAAGAAAGCATTGGAAGACTTTTAGAAACACTTGAAAGCAATAGATCAGCTTGTTAAATCAATTTACCAATCTACTAATAAATATGGTAAGTTCAAGACTTTTATGTGAAAAATATATAAGTTCTATATATGAAAAACATTTTTTCTGAAGCATATAAAGGTATTAATTGAAATTTAAAATTTTTAAATGCATAGTTGATGATATGAGTTTTGTGAATACACAGAAGGGGAAAGCTCAATGTACATTTGATCCTATGAAGTTGGTGGTATCAAATAATAATGATATGAGCAAAACGATGTTTTATATATATTGTTAATAGTCGAAATCATATTTTTGTACATTATCATTAAATAATGCTGTCTAGAGATAATTATGTTGCCAAGGATGACTTAATTTTATAATATTATGTTTGATTTAAACATTAAAATAAAAAATAAAATCCAAGATTGATGCATGATTCTTTCTTGTCAATAACAACACAATCACACATGTGCAGGGCAAGAAATGCTTATGCTGCCATTTGATCTTTGTTACAAATAAAGAACAAGGCTTCCTACCGATAAGACGTAATGTAATATAGTTAAATGTATTTCTAATGTAATATTTATATTGTATTATATTACATTAAAGCTGACTAAACCAAGCGTAAGTTCAAATGTCAAATGCTAATTTTTATTGAACATACAGCTTCTATAGAAAGAAAAGTTGAATCCGACTCCCTATGAACTCTCAAATGCTAATTTGTATTTTATTTTATTTGTTTATTCTATCATCAGAATAACTAAGATAAAAGATCGATTTCACCTACCATTTTATCAGACTTGCTACAGAAATTAGCTAACTGAAAACTGAATAGAAAACTGTCAAGCTATTCAGCAAATTGCAGAAGTTTATCACAGTCATGCATCCTGATAAGTAATAACACTGTCAGCAGGTTCTATGGAAGGCAAGAAGGAAAAATACCTGCATTGGATTTATGAAAACTGGACTCTTTGCCTCATTTGATCTCACTGAAACCAATTTCTATGTGCGGGCTGTGAGAAATCTTTGGCCAATCTTCCCCTTTCTCCTTTTCACATCTTTCTTCTAACAAAGGACATATACAAATAGACAGACAAGACAGTGAGGAAGGTAATCCCTCCTTTGGCATGGACTGGAGCTTAGGACAGTAAAAGATCTCCAATTCTCGAAGAGCAGTGAGGTGTTGAAGCCCCAAGCATTCCAAGGATTTCAAATTTTGAAAATCACAGATTCTAAGAAAGGTAAGAGTGACGGGCAGCAGTGTCTCCTCTGGGAATGATTCAAAATCTGAGCAATCAAGTTATACAAGCCTTATATAAAGTTGTTGGAGACTAGAGAAAGCTTTGTTTTTATTTGCATAAGAAATCCACTCATGCACTGCGCCATCCTTTCAATTCTCAAAATTTGGAGAGATTTGAATGGCTTCTTCATAGATGCATGACTTCCATAGAACTCAGGACCAATACCCAAAACACTATCAAATGCTATAATTGAGAGATCTTTTAGAGATGGTAACCGCCCAAGTGGAGGTAAGTAGGCACAGTATTTACATTCCATGAGCTTCAAGAGACTACATTTGAGAAATAAGAGTCCCCTACCCAATTCGGAAATCGTGTACCCCCATACCCAACAATGAATCATCACGTTCTAGCCTAAAGCAAAACTCTCCAGATACAGATTTAGCCAAGTTATTTATAAGGTCATTCATAGTGTAGCATGATTGATGGACACTCGATCGTTGGAAAAATGACCTGAATACCAGATCAAGGAAGTACTCATCACCTAGTTCTTCCATCTCCTTATTTTCTCTGGGTCGAACTAAAAAACCTTCGGCCATCCGTAAAAGTACTAATTCCTCCTTTTCGAATTCATAACCTTTAGGAAATAATGCACAATAAGCAAAACATTGTTTTAGATGTGATGGAAGATAATGATAGCTTAATCTTAATGCTGGAAGAATGTTATCACGCGATAAATCCCAGATACAGCTCTTCGAGATCTTTTCCCATTCTGTGACATCTCTTTTGAAATGCATTAGACCCCCAACAGTTTTTGCTGCTAAAGGTAACACTTCCTCACTATTTCTCTACCGATCATCGTCAAGCATAAATGCAAATCTGAATTCCCATCATCAAATGCATGCTTTGCAAATAAGAACCAGCAATCATCATCAGTTAATTCCTTCAAGCGATGTATTGGAACATTGCACATTGTGGATGCTACACTTTCATTCCTTGTTGTAACAATAATCTTACTTCCTCTAGCCCCTGATTTGAAAGGTCTCCGTCAGATATCCCAATCAGCATACTTATCATTCCAAACATCATCTAAAACAAGCAAAAACTTTTCCCTTCAGTCTCTCCTGTTGCTCGAGTTGAAGCTGATTTGGAGTTTGCGTCTCACAACCATCAAACTCGCCTCCTTAAGAATACGTTTTGTTACCTTGAAAACATCAAATTCTTCTGAAACACATACCCATGCTTCAAGATCAAACCAGTTCTGTACTCTGATATCATTGTAGACAAGCTGAGGAAGGGTAGATTTGCCGATTCCACCCATACCCACTGTGGTATTATATCTAGGTCATTAGCACTTGCATAATCTAATACCAATAAATTCATTATAGCCTCCTCTTTATCCCCACCATACACACAAGATTCGTCAACAAGAGAAGTTGTGGGCACTTTTGTGATATGGGTTATCTCCAAAACCTTCTCTCAAACTAAGGGCACTCTTCTGTCCAACCAAATACTCAAGTATCTCTTCCGACCTAGTTTCGATCCCCTTTTCAAAAGAATTAAAAGGAAAGAAAAAGTTCCTCTCCTGATCAATGATGGTTTGAGACCCAACTCCAAGCTCTAATCGCATACAACTGTAAAGAGGAGGACTGTCGAGAATGACAGAGAAGGAAAACAATAATAATGAAACTCAATTGTGAATTTAAATTGAGTAAAGAAAATATATTTGGAATTATAATTGTGATTTACATAAAACATTTATGGATTGTTGTGCAACTTTCGCAGTTGCCGGTTACACTTTTTACATAAAAACATCAAATTGTAACTTTGGTTAATGCTTATAATTTTTTTTTTTTTTGGAATGTAATTCAAAAACTTAATTGCTATACATTCTATAATGAATTTAAAAGGAAAAATTTAAGGTTGAAAATTTCCGATTTTTAAACAACTCTGTATATCCCGTGTAAATCCCAAAAAAAAAAAAAAAAAAAAAAAAAAAAAAAAAAACTTAATTTGCTATACATTCTATAATGAATTTAAAAGAGAAAATAAATTTAAGGTTGGAAAAATTTCGATTTTTTAGAACAACTCTGTATATCCGTCGGTAAAATCCCAACAAAAAAAAAAAAAAAATAAAAAAAAAAAAAAAAAAAAAAAAAAAAAAAAACAAATTTAAATGGTTGGTTTAACGTATGTGTAATAGATAAATAATTAGTAGCCTAATTAACAAATCTAATACCAAAAGAAAAAATTACACATCATTATCGGAAGAGCTGTCAACCGTTTGATTAAAAAGAATCGTTAAGCCACACTTGCCACAGCAATATCTGTCAGAGTGATTAGCCATAAAAATACCAGGTCCACACTCGCTACACTCCTTTCTCAACCTCTCCACTTTACCATCTTCGTCATCCACCTTATAGTACTTCAAAACAGCTAGCTTCTCCTTTTCCTTCTCGTGTTTCTCCTTCTTAGGAGTCGTAAACACCTTCCTCTTCTTTTTCTTGTTGCCGCCGCCACCGGGAAGCCTAAGCAAGAGGTAGAGAGTGGATTCGTGCCGAATATTATAGAAAGCTAGGGTTTGATCGTCTTCGAGTTGGTTGACGGTGAATATTAAGCGCTGTTGGTCTTTTGGGATTTTTGCTTTGTTTTGAATATTGATTTTCATGTCGGTTACGGTGTTCGCCGGCGAGACGTCAAGAACTAGGGTTTTTTCTGCTGGGATTTTAACAAAGACTTGCATGGTTAGTTGAATTGATAGACAATTGCAAAAGTTGATTTGTAATTGACAAAAAGAACATAACAATTATGCATAAATTGATCTTTAATGTTGCTCCTACCGAACTTAAATAAGTTGAGTTAAGGTCGGTTTTGGAATTAAAAAAAAAAAAAACAAGGGTTGATTTGGTCATTTAATGTAAATCTGGCCCATCGCGTTTTAATTTTAATTAACAAAATATAAGCCCAATTCTACTCAAATGTGCTGGGCTTTGTTACCGTTATAATTTACAAATTCTTTCGTTCATTCATAATGGGCATTGACGAGAACAAGCCCAATTATATATATAACTTGAGAGAACAAGCCCAATTATAATATATAATATAATATATATATAATAAAATTTAATATAATATATATATATATATAAATAAATGATGAAGTAGGTAAATTCATTTCCAATAATATATAACACCATACGCTTACACTATATTTGAGTAAGCTTATAAAAACATAATATAATATAATCAAATATATTTTTAATAAAATTTTATAAATAATATTATATTACGTTTCCATTATAATAAAATGTGAAGTAGGTAAATCATTTCATAATATATAACACCATACGCTTACACTATATTTGAGTAGCTTATAAAACATAATATAATATAATCAAATATATTTTAATATAAAATTTTATAATAATATTATATTACGTTCCATTATAGCTTATCCAACATAAACATTGATATTTAATATTAATAAGATCGAGTACTATTGAATTTCATAAAGTTTAATTTTTACAGATAAAATATATATTTATCCTGAGCACTTAAGAATTTAACTTTTAAATAAGCTTTACTAAACTAAATAGGAATTAAAAGATATTTTTAGATAATATAAGTTTTAGGAGTACGGTAGAAACTATCTAAGTCCTTATTAATACTACCTTTATTGTTTATAGTGTTTGGTGGTATAATGTTTATAATAGTGTTTAGAGTTTAAAGAGTAGATTATGAAACGTTACTGTAATAAAGCCTTTACATAAACAATGCAAAATAAAAATATAGAAATCTAAAGTTTGTTTTAATGTCTATTTTAACTTGTTCCATAATCACTTCCTTCCTCTCTTCGACTTCTAATATTTCCATATCTTCTTTCTCAATTTTGATTTCTTGTTATTGTATCTAAGTATTCAAAAGGATAATTGAATGCATAAATATGCTTATAAATTTTACAGAAAGTTCTAAAAAGCTTTTATTTTGATCTATTGAATATATTAATTTATAAATATTTTAACTTATAAAATCACCATTTTAGACATTTCAACTTATAAAAATTGTATTCATTAAATACTTATTAAATATGCAATGACATACAAATCGTTGGTTAATAATTTATGCTAAATCATGCGTAAAAAATTATATTTATTAAATATTCATTATGGAAAAAAACTACTAGAGGAAAATAATTTTTTTTAAGAAATATAATTCATTAATAATAAAATAAAGTATTATAAATACTCAATTAGATCAGACATAAAACTTATTATTATAATTAATAGAAAGTTTCCTGATCCTTCAACAACAAAATAATTATCTATATTCTTTTGAATAATAAAACTAAAACTAAAAGAAATAATATTGAATTTTTCCGTTTGAAGATAACTTTAATGGATATAAATTTTTATAGTAGCAAGTGATCTTTTAATTGATTTGGACAATAAAATAACTTCTTTTGGATCTTTTATGCTTATATTGCTTTCAAAAACTTGTTGTGTTTGTGTATGACGTACACAGATGAGTTCAAAGCACTATATGTTTATAGCATCAATGGAGGAACGTGCCGCACTACTAGACTCCATCGATCGAATATACACATCAGTAAAACAAGATCTAAATTCTCTAACTGAATAAAATCAAATATCATATCTTTTAAGAACAAACCTTTCACAAAGAAGGAAACTAAACCATAATGGATAAATGGATAAAAGAACTCCAAATATGAAGACAAAACAACAAGAAGAAAAAATAAAGAAAAAACAGATATATTAAAAAGAAAATTAATCTAATTTTATTAAAAATAAATAAAAGATTAGAGGCGAGAAGAAAAAAGAAAAATAGTAGTCTACCGCTGATTAACAACGACAATTCCAAACAAAAGCTAGACTAGAGGAAAATAATGTATATCATATTAATAGCTATTTTGACTAATATAAATTACAATATAAATAGAAAAATGTATACATTATTATATTTATAAATATAGAAAAAATGTGCAATATATACACACATATCGAAACATATATATATAGTAACCATAATCGCCAATTTTTTTTTCCAAATTGTACGACATGACCACAGATGAAAAACCAAATTAGTTAAATTAAATAATATAATTATGCTCAAACAAAAACAAAATCTCTGTTCATTTTAGTAAAGCCGCCAATGATGACGTGGCCACATAAGCAATCAATTATTGTCAAATATATCAAATCAATTTTTTTATTTATTAATTTCTTCATTGAGCTAATAATATAATTGCTTCAAATAAAACCTTCCCAAGGTAAATTTATAATATACCTTGGGAAGGTTTTATTTGAAGCAATTATATTATTAGCTCAATGAAGTTATATGTATATATATATTAAATACAATTTTAAATAATTTTATGGAATCGTGGATAAGTGTGCAATAACAATAGGGGCAAAACAATTTTTTATATACCTCTCTGCATCTAAGATTCTAGTTTTTACAGATAAAATATTGATTTAATTTGTGATTAATATAATTTTTAAAATAATAATTTTCACAGTTTTTAACTATTTAATAAATATTTAATTAAATAAATTTTATAAATTAAAGTGTTTAATAAAATAATTTTGTAAGCTAACGGTTTAGCAGGTACAATTCTATGAGTTAAACTATTTAATATTTTAAAATAAAACTAAAGGTCTCACAATATTTTATTAAATTATAAAATGATGAATTTATGCAATTGACCTATAAAATTATAAATGGTGAAATTTACATAAATCTAAAGTATTTACTGAATAATTAATTTCTCATGAAATTCTTGTGTCACATGTTTAAGAAATATTTGGTATTCAACATTGTTTATTTATTTATTTTAATTTGCTTAATATTAATCATTTATATATTATTTAAAATTTTTAATTATTTTAAAATTTACTTAGAATTATAAGTCAAGTATTTTAACTTAAGACTTGTACTAAATTAATAAATTAATAGGTTTTTAATACTTTTAATTAAAAAATTTACTCACTTAAATTGTTAATGCCTTTGAAATTAGGTTTTGAATTTTCAGTATTTAAGTAAACTACTTAAATAACTTGTTTCCATGACTTAAAATGCAAATTTTCCACCCTTCAGTTATCAATATGAAAAAGGAAAAGTATGAAAAGCTATCCTATTGTTAGGGCATATACTTTTAAATAATTGCAATTGAATATCTAAATTATATCATTTACGTTTTAAAAATAATTATGATATTCCTAAATTATGTATTATTTTATAACTGAATTATTCCATTCAAAAACCGATTTTTTAAAAAATGAAATATGCTCAATTTTTAAACGGTAAGAAGACATTTTTCAGTCATGCTGAATAAAAGAGGTCAGAATTTCATGATTTTAAATGCTGAAATTTTATGAAAAAAACTTTAATTATGGGCAGCTCCAGTTGGACAGCAGAGACTTCTGTGAGTGGTGACGTGTCAGCAATCAGCAGGTAAATTGATTTTGATTAAGATCTCATAAGTCAAAGAAAACTGCATTGACTGGGAAGTTTTGCCATTATCGCTTGCATATATACTGGGATTTCAAAGCCAAGTTAATTAAGCAGCCTGATTGGTGATTGGATAGCAAAATCAAATATTAAATAATATTAAATATTTTTTTAAATTAACTCATAGTGATTTTTAAAGATTAAAAGTCTATATATCAATTAAAAAATAAATTGAACCAAACATAATTGAATAAATTATTTTATAAATTCCCAAAATTCAGTTTCTGCTTTCAACCCTATGCTATTCAGTCTTTCTAGAAATATTCAATGACTGAGGAACTAAATTCAACACTTCACTTACCATAAAAGTAATAAAATAAATTCAATCGGCAGCATCATCTTTTATATAGACATTATGCTTTGGTAGAGAAAAATTTGAAGTATGGAATCATTAATAAAATTATTTGTGCCTAATTCACCATTTAAAAGTTAGCTAAAAGGAATAAGAATTGTCTAATTTTTACTTGAATAATAATAAATTGAACTAGAAATAATATAAGGTTCTTTATGACATTTTATAACTATTAGCAACAAGTATCAACTACGAGCTTTCGTTGACAATAAAATCAAACGGTCCTTAAAAAGGTTGTTTAGTTGAGCTAATTCATGCAACAATTAAAAGTTTTAGGTGTTTGGTATACACATTTTGGAGTTTTTACCGTAATAGCCGGTAATTAACGTGTATCTATATTATATTTGGATTTGATTACCCTTATACAAATAATTGCTAATAACTTTTTTTTTCGAGTTAATATTTTCTATGATCATTTTTCCATACTCATTTAAAAATAATTTTTTATTAAATATTAATTTAGAAAATTTAATTAATTTTTTATATATAATACATTAAAATAAAATAATATATTTAATGCAGCCTAAACCCACCCCAGATTCACCCTCGAGCTGCAGAGATACTGACTATGTTAGAAGGAACTCTTTATGCAGGTTTTATTACAGGAAATCCTAATCACCGCCTTTTCACCAAGATCTTAAAGCCAGGAGATGCGTTTTCATTGACTTCCAATTGAATATTAGCAAGACTCATGCACTTGCTCTAGCTGTATTAATTTTGCACCAAATGGCAGTCTAAACCCACCCCATATTCACCCTCGAGCTGCTGAGATACTGACTGTGTTAGAAGGAACTCTTCATGCAGGTTTTATCACAGGAAATCCTACTCACGGCCTTTTCGCCTTGTATTATAAAAGTTATTGCAATCATAATACAATATACACACATTATACATCATAATATATAAAAACAATTATATATTTTAATGTTCATTTTATATTTAAACAACAACCTGCTATCAAAATTTTACCAAACATTTATATATTAGCTAACCACTAGCTGTATATCAGTAATCATTATCAGTTATTAACTGATATAAACCGTTGAACCAAATAACTAATTAAATAGCTTTAGCAGCCATAAAGTTACAGTAATGTAACTATTTATAAGTAGCCCACTGCCTTTGAAAATCTAATTGTAGCCAGGGGGTAGTGAAATTATTATTATGACATATGCCAAATAACAAAAAAATAATTTTGGATAAATTGATTGTCAAATGTCAACAAAATATGGCGACAATTGTCTCTTTGCTTATCAAACTGAAAGCCTTCATCTATAAATAGCCATGCATTCCATGCAAGATTTCTCACACCTCATCCAAGCAAATAACAAGTTGTAGAATTCTAATTAAGCAATAATGAGAACTGCTAATTTCCTTGTAGCTCTTGCAGTCTTGGCTTCGGCATTCTCTTTTGCGATGGCTTATGACCCTAGTCCTCTCCAAGACATTTGTGTTGCAACCAATGATACCAAATATGGTGGTAAGTGTGAGCTAATTGTGTTTCTTTCTTTCCTTTGTCATCATCTTTAAGTATGCAACTAACTACACTCCTTTCATGCAGTGTTCGTTAATGGAAAATTTTGCAAAGATTCAGAGAAAGTGACAGCAGACGATTTCTTTATTACAGGGCTTAACGTTCGTAAACAAACCTCAAAAGCATTAGGCGTACGTCTCACTCTCTCAACCGTAGATCAAGTTCCAGGACTCAACACTAATGCCTTATCCATAGTCCGAATTGATTTTGCACCAAATGGCAGTCTAAACCCACCCCATCTTCACCCTCGAGCTGCAGAGATACTGACTGTGTTAGAAGGAACTCTTTATGCAGGTTTTATTACAGGAAATCCTAATCACCGCCTTTTCGCCAAGATCTTAAAGCCAGGAGATGCGTTTGTGTTCCCACATGGCCTCATTCACTTCCAATTGAATATTGGCAAGACCCCTGCAGTTGCTCTAGCTGTATTGAATAGCCAAAATCCAGGAGTTGTTACTGTTGCCAATACAATATTTGGAGCTAGCCCATCTGTAAATCCTGATGTTCTGACAAGAGCATTCCATCTTGATAAGGATTTAGTGACTAAACTTCAAAAAGAAGAATGGGTTGATCCAGATCAGCTTTATTAATTAATTGGGTTTTAGTTTTAATTAATCCCTGAAATTCTGCAAGCAGAAAATTAATTAATATCCTCATAAATAATTCACTAAATTGTAGTAAATAAAAAGAGGATATAATTTCTTGCTTTTCATTTTATTACGTGCATGCATTTTTTTTTTTTTAATCTCAAAAGAGTGTATTGTAGCATAATAAAGGCGAGGATGCTTAAATATATGCCTCTCTCACCAATTTCATGTTATTTTAAGTGATGTGTACTATTGCAAGTTGTTTAATTAGTATATGTTCTATTTTTTCTTTTTCAATTTTTGAGTTAAGTCAGTCCAACATTGATATGTTTGATTTTTTTTTTTTTTTCAATTTTTGAGTCAAGTCAGTCCCACCAACATTGATTCCTTCATACGTGTATCGGGCAAATGCGCCCATAGTGACTAGTTTGGAACTTAGAATCCCTATGAATATGCCATTTTGTAGCATTGTGTCTGGTGAAGGGAGGAAGGACTAGGGATAGCTCGCCGTGAGCTCAAAAAAAGAAAATCCAAATTTACTATATTAACTTACTTGGATTTTCTTTTTACTCTAACATAATAACTTGAATTATTGGTTCAATCGGTGATTATTTCAAAACTTATTAAGGATATGGCATAAATGTGTTAAAAAAGAGTAATGAGAATATATATTAATTACTACCACTATTTGAAGTAGTATTTAGTGTTTTGATTGGATCAAAACACTATCTTAATTAATTATAGCGTTCGATAATATAATATATATCTTAACGTTTAGAGTTTGAGACATTGTTTCATGAAACGTTATCTTCATTAACGTTTAGCGTTTCATAATTTTTTAATGACATCTATACTCATTACTTGTCTTTACCTTATTTTCTGCTTTCATATTTTTTTGTCGTTTTATATTAAATAGCTAGTCAAATAGTTATTTGCACAAAACACTTTTATTATAAGTCGCTGTATAAACGGCTAACCATTAACAGTTAATATCTAATAATTAATCACTAACAAAATAATTGACGACTATTAAAACAGCTAATAACTACTAGAACAGTTAAAATTACCGAACAAATCCTAAAATATATAAAAAAGCATCAGTATTATCGATCTTATATTCTAAACCAATTTATAACCCTAACCCTAAAACGTAGATCTTATCATACTATGAACCAAGCTATGTCGGGTGTAATTTCTCATACTTAAGTCTTAAGTTTTGTCCGATTTGATTGTATGGATTTATTTATTTTTCTAAATCTAACCCTGTGAAAAATTTTAAACTTAGAGTCTAGCTTAAACATCTAATGTCTTTGATTTGGGCTGAATCACCCATAATGGAAAGCTCAAGCTCAGCCCATGAATCTTGATGCAATACATGCATTGACGTGCAATTTGAACGGGAAAATTTCAAAAATACTTATGAAAGTGTCCTTATACCAAGCAAATGATTGATTTCTATATGAAAAAAGAGTTATATTTACCAAGACGGGATCCAAAAGGTAAAGTCGGAGCTGGTATCAAGCAAGAGGTTAGAATTTACGAGTGAAAATATGTGATATAGGCTTTTTTAGAATTGGGCCAACCAATGCTATATTTTCACACTTTTTGTGGATTTAATATTTAGACGATGTTAGATTTTTAATCATAAGCTAATCTTATTTTATTACATTACATAATATTTAGTTATATAATACACAACTATATATAGATCTTTATGTTTAAATAAAAACTTTTATCTCTATATTTTCAAATTTATTAGAAGATTTTAATATTTTTAGTTACAGTTTAAATTTAATCAGAGCGCATATTGGACATAAAAGATTCATATAAGCAATCCAAATCAGTTTAAAAACTACGACTTAATTGTTGTTGTATTCAATTTTAATTATGAGTATATTTTTGTAATTATAATTAATATATTTGATTATTTAATTTTGACACTTCCAATATCCATCATCGATCTATTATTAATTGTTTTGATTGACATTGAAAGTTCAAGATAAGTAATTTGTTTATGTAATATGGTTATAATAATATAATTTCGTGTCATTGTTAAAAGGCAAATGACAAATTTATTCATTTTCGAGAAAACTAAGATATTTATTTGATTAAATTTCAATTTGATACTTTGATTCTCTAAATGAATATATTAAATACAAGCTGTCGAAAGATCAATCTCATATAAAATAATGGTATAAGTAATTTGAAGATTTATAAGCAAATAGGAGTTAAACTCAACCAAACTCAAGTATTTCTATATATATATAAGATAGTTTTAAATATTTATTTATTTATAAGTCCATGTAAAATTTCAAATTTATGGGTTTTGTTTTTTTTTAATCCTTATGCAAAATTAGTTGATATATACAACTCGAATAGGGTAGCTCAGTGACAAAGAACACTCGAGGTGATCACCATGGTTTAAGTCATGGGTTCGATCATCCATAATGCAAACTTCTTGAGATCAACTCTTTTACCTGTAAGGGCGAGCTGAGATTCGTCGGAAATCTTATTGGATCTTCCAATTTATTCATTCACATAATAAGAAATAAACTTATTTATTTAAGTTCAACCAATAAGTTATATAACTTATTGAATAAAAAAATAAAATTACTCATTATAATCATAAAATGATACTCATGTCACTTATCATTCAACAATAAACTCTTGATATCACTTCTTAATCATATTCAAAATTTAAAATTTAGTCCCCACAAAAGATCCCATAGAGTTATTTAAGTTTTTTAAATTTTATTTTTCGAACCACCTCGATTATTTTTTTAAACAGACGACGTTCCTTTCCATCCTTTTCTTTATTTTATATAGTTCTTTTCAATAATTTTCAGTTTTGTTCAGAATAAATATTGCATTTAGTCTCTCACATATGATATAATTGGTATAAATCTTGAGCATTTGTGGTATTCTCTTAATAGGATTATGTTTTTGATTTATTACGTTTTCTCCCCTTTTATTGGAATTGTTCCTCACTAATAAAAAGTATATATGTATGTTTTTTTTTTTATGGATTATAATTTTCTTAATATTGTTGGAGACATTAAATTTTTAAGTTTGAGTTTTTTTTTTTTTTTTTTTTTTTTTTTTTTTTAAATTTATATGTAGCATCATTAAAAATTTTTAAAATATCCAAAATTTTTGCTCAAATCTCTCAATTTTGTCGATATAAATTAATTTCTTAAATATTGTTTGTAATAAATATGCTCAATAATTTTTTATATTAAAAAGACTCATCTAAAAATTCATATGTTAATACCAACGAGTTGGGACATCCCTTCGAAAACGTTTTGGTCTTTTTATTTTTCTTACAAAATTTAGCCCAACTTTTCATTATAGCAAGTGTCCAAAAGGACAAAATTGCAGAAAATTTTTCTTATTGTTCTATTTGAAAAATGACTAGTTATTACTAGAAACATTAATTTTATATATCAAAATCATCTCCAAACAGAAATTTCAATTTTCTAAATTTATATTTCTTATTACTCCAAAAATATTGCAATGTACTCATATTATATTATTTAGTAAACTAATTTTCTTTTTTTTTTTTTTGAGAATAAAGAGACTGCGCATTTTTGTCAATACTGTGGCTTTTATCCGCGAATCCAGTGCATCCAAAGAGGATTAATTGATCATAGTATTTTTTTTTTTTTTTTTTATATAAAAATTTTTTATAGAAAAGTTATATATTTATATTTTTTTTTTTTTTTTTATAGAAAAGTTATATATTTATACTCGCATTTCAATATGTCCGCTATAGAAAAAAAAAAATTAAAAGTTTTTGTTTTTTTAGAAAAGTTATATATTTATACTCGCATTTTAATACGTCGACTAAAGAAAAAAAAAAATAGAAGTTTCTGGATCCGCCGACATTAATATAAACATTTTTTTTTCAAAATTTTGTTTATCTAATTGTTAAACTTCTTTTTTGATCCCCTTTAATTGAAGCATAGCTTTACAACAAAGAAAGACGGAAAGAAAAAGGTGAAGCATGATCCAAAGTATATATGAATTATTGTTGCTTTCGTTTATATCTATCTCTTGGCTGTGCAATGTGCTAAGCTAGGTCCGTATCTAACCCCCTTGTTTATGCATTTTGACAGATATAATAATGGGCAGAGATGTGCATAACCACCGATTGGACCGAACTGAACCGAACTGATCAATTTCAATTTGATCAGCTATTTAAGGGAAGTTCAGTTTATTCAATTTGAACTGAATTTGTTATTTAATTTAATTCGATTTAATAGAAGTTCATCGGTTGAGTTTAACACCGAACTAAAATGATAAAATTGATCAAATTGGTTGAACTGATTGATTTGGTTCGAATCAATTTGGTTTAGATGTCAATTTCAGTTTGGTCTCGTCCAAAAACTTCAATCTTGTATTTTTCTTATTTTGATTCGATTTAATTTGAACTAAACCGACCGTTTTCTCACCCCTAATACTGGGGTAGGAATATATGTCAATGATTGTTACTTCGCATACAACATTCTTTCAATAGCATATGGTTAGGTGCCCATTATCCAGAGTTCAAATTGGTTGAATCCAGGAGTTAGGAATTTTTTTTCCCTTTCAACATAAAACATTTTAGTTGAAGCAAATAAAACTAGCAGAATTGTTTTGAATCTGGAATTAATTTTTTATTAAGATTATTTGTATTCTTTTTTTATACTTACAATCAAGATATCTCGAGTCATTTTATGTGCAAGGAAATATTAAAAAATGCACTCTCCAGTTTCGCAATTCTTATTTCTTAAGTATTCAGTAAAAATTGAAATCTGAATTTGGACAATTAGGAGTTCTTTTTATATCTTTACCAATTTGACTAATTTTGGTTGAGCAATTAATTTTTTATATTATGAAACAAAAATTCAATAACTGAATTGCTGAGCTTAATGGTAGAGGTAGCAAGTTTGTGCATTGAGCTGGATTATATTGATTAAGGACCAATTAGAGGTCAAAGGAAACTGCATAGATTGGAAACTTTTGCCCTGCTATTTGTGGACATTAAGGAAATCATGCTTGTATTATTATAAATATGGTGTTTCTTACGGTGAGAGTCAATCTTGATACTTGTAAGAATGCAAATACAAATTCGATCTATTAGAAGCGAACTTTACTGGAGGGGTTACAACTATTTGTGCTCTATGGCCCAAAGGGATACACCTCCTAATTATATATATATATAAAATCGTTTAAGTTAATTAATTAATATTAAGTAAGAGCAAACTACGTAATCAAATATAATATTCTCTTCAATAATAAGATGTTGGTTGATGTGATTAACAATTTCAATCCTTATAAGAGTAAGAACACAAATTTAATCCCCGAAAAGTACATTTTACTGGGAGGGCCGAACACCTTTATGCTTTACGGCTCAAGGGGATTAAGGTCATGTTTGATTGGGGGTAAGTAAATACGGAAAATTGAAATTAGCCATATGTTTGGTTGCTACTAGAAGAGAAGTTCCCGGGAATTTAAAAACCTCACTTCCTTGACTGTATAGGAAGTTACTTCCTCCCCTTGCTCTAATAGATTGTTTGGATGGAGGTTATTTAATAGGTTTGGATAGTAGAGTAAGGTAGAGGGGAGAGTTATTCAGTCATTTGGGAAGAGAGTTTGAGTTTTTGAAAGTTATTTGAGGGGTTGTAAATCCATTTAAACACCCCACTTTTCAACACCCCGAATTGAGGTGTAAGCATAGCTAAAAAATTTAATTTTCAAAATTATATTTATAAATCTTCCATGGCAAGGATATTTTTGTAATATTTATATTTAACACTATCTTTTTCTACAATCAAACCAAACAAAACAATGTTATTAAACCTTAATTTACCATACCTTCCCCACAAGCACAAAAAATACATTTATCATACTTTAGAGTACCATACTTTTACTATATCTTACTTTAACGATCCCTTCCTCCTTTCATCCAAACAAAGCGTAAGGAACTTAACTTCTTGAGCTTAAAGTATTATCACTTTCTATTTTGTACCTTTCCTTTTTTTTGGTTTGCCAAAGGTTTTATGTGAAGATTTTTTCTAGTAGTGGATTTATCATTTCTAATATCAAATATTATTAACACATTTTTATTTTCCGAGAATTTAAGGAATCAATTAAACACAATTATATTATACTTTATGGGAAGTTATTTTCTTTGAATTATACTTCCCCAAAAGTCAACTTCCTGAGAAGTAAGTAAATTGAACCAAATGAGGCATCAATCTCCTTGTTATATATCAAATGAGGCATCAATCTCCTTGTTAATATATATATATATATAATATATATTTATATATATATTATAATATAATAATATATAAAGAATCTGGTCCCTCCAATAAAGAATCTGGTCTCCAATTGATCTTGCGTAATTGGACTTGGTCTCAGAATTCCATATAATATCAAACAGTATTCAATTTCTTTTATTCGTAGGTAATAATCTAAATAAAAAATAATTTTTGAAACATTGAACCATTTACATTTGTTTGTGTCTGCAAATTATAATATTTATTAATTCTGTTTGGGTAGGGAATACTATATTTATGTGGAGTTTGGAACATGGGCGTGTGGGTAGCTAATGTTCTACACATACCCACACACCTGTTTAAAAATTAAAACTAAATTTAATAAATAAAAAATAACAAATAAAAACAACTTTTCAAATATCAAAATTTTAAATAAGAAAATAAAAATAGTGAAAGCACCAAATAAATAAGTACATAAATTTTTGTTAAAAAAATGATAATGCTGAATTAATAATAAAATTTCTTCTCTTATTTATTTATTTTTTTTTTGGAGTATTGGGGAGGAGATATTCAAACCTAAATCTATTTTGTCATGTCGTATATGCTCCTACCCCTAGCATATGCCTTGGTGTGCAAATAGTAACACCACAACTAACAAAACTCATACAACACGGAACTTAAGATGCAGATTCTATTTATTTCAAAATAAGATAATTACAGTAATATAATAAAAATAAATAAAATATAAACAATATTAAAATGAATCTACCTTTTTTTTATAGATATTCACAACTAAGTTTGAGCACACATTAAGGTTTTTATGTCCAATGAGATTGAATCACGTTCTTGTCCCATCTTTTGTTTTGGATTACTTCAATATGTTCTCAGTAATTTATAAAATTATTTTTGTAGTTTCCAGAAAAAAAAAGAAAACATTTTGTATTTCATAGTACAATACTCATTTTGGAATTTTGAAATTTAATATTTTATTTTAAAATTTGTTTTAAAACTTTTTGGGAATAGTTGAAAATTTAAATTTTAATTACATGAGTAATTTTTAAGCTTTTTGAACCATTTTCTAGTTAAATACTAGAGACTGGCGGTAAGTGATGATGGTTTCTGGATTCCAAACACTGTAAGGAAATTTCGGTAGTTCCCTGAGCCCCATATCCATGGAAGATGGGCGGCACACATGGTGGTGCAAGGGAGAGACGAGTCCAACCACTCCAGTTAACCCTTCGACGGCTTTTCCAACTCAAACTCGCCAATCGGACCTGTGTAGGTAATTTCAAAACCCTTAAAATTCAAAACTAGTTTCAATTCCCTTATAAAATTCCATGTTAGAGCAACAGAACTTATTTAATCATGTAATTTTGAATATTTGCTATGATTCTGGTTGCAAAGAAATGTCTTATATTTTGTCTAGGTTAACTTGAATTCTTGGTTTTGAAAACAAATGTACTTATAAGTACTATATTGATTTGAATGGAGGAGATGATATTGGATAAGGATCGACTTGGAGACATAAGGATGCATAGAGCATGTTCTGCTTCTGCAACTTTTTTTTTTTTTTTTTTTTTTTTTTTTTTTTTTTTTTTTTTTTTTTTTTTTTGATATGTTTATTGAGTTTGTGGAGCCTATTGAAGATTGTGTTTTTGCATTTCATGTTTACCTGTATTGTTATGTTATGTTTTTTTTTTCCTTTCTAACCATCCGGTGTCTAAAGCCCATTGACCCGACTAATTTGAATCGTACTAAACAGGCTCACAAAGGGGGCAAAACGCTCTCTTCCGAGTGTTTAAAATGATTCCATATCAAAGCTCGAGTTCGAAACCTTTGATTAAGAGATAAAGGATTCTTGTCATTCGATCTTATCCCTTTTGGATAAAATTAGAGATTACGTGGAATCATTTAGGGATAAAGAATTATAATGTTTATGAATTTTATGGTGAAAGATAGGTGGGGATGATGGTGTGGTTTCTTTAGGTAACATTATTTAAATATAGCACATAGTATGGGATGAGAGTTGCTCCCTAAAGTGAGGTATAGTATGGTTTCTTGCACCTAATTCACATCCTATTATTATTTGATTATATGATTGTTACTTGAGAACTCGAACAATGTGCAGACACTAGATGTCGGTAGTTGCTAATAGAACGAAGTTACGAGGTTTAAGTGTATATTTAATCTCCTTTAAGAACTATATATATACTTAATTTAAAATGTTAAAAAAAATTCAGAAGTTAGGCAGCAAAACGAAAGAAAAAGAAAATCACTATTTGATAAGTAAATTTTTTTAAAAATAAATTTAGAGGTAGGAGGGGCCAAGGTCCATGGCCCCCAAGCTTCATCACAATATTACCTAAGCAACTTTTCAGGCTTTACTTGATGGGTGAGGGAAGGTCGTGAAGAAAGGTTTTATAAAGTTATGCAAGTTAACCATAAATTTATGGCAATTTAAAGTAAGGTAGTTGTATTTTCTATATTTGGGAATAAATAAGGTAAATGAGATATAGCAATATTACAAAAATACTCTTCTCATAGATTCTCGTAGTAAAATAAAATAATGACACAATCTAATAAATTATGACTTAATTATTCATTCTATCGATAAGATATCTCTTAATTTAGTTTTTTTTTTTTTTTATCGGCAAATATAAATTTATTATTATTAGAAAATAGCTTAAGCAAGTAGGAGAAACTTCCCTAATCCAGGATTCCACACCCAAGCCAGCATGCTTTCTCTAATACACTCTCAAAGCCTAAACCTAAAAAAGAGGAGAAAAGCCTACTGCAGATACAAGAAATAAAACTGCAACCTGAACATAACTAATAAGAGGGGCTTCTTTTCATGAAGGAGGAAAAGAAGTAAGGAAGGGAAATAAAACTCCCACAATCAATTATCCCAAGAGCTAGTAGGTGAGATTAAAGCCAAGCTAAAAAAGGATTCACCTTATCAACTCCTTTAATGGATTAACATATCATGAAAAAATCTCTTTCGAACCCTTTTCTTATATATCTCAATTAACATATCATCATAATATTAATTCAACACGGTTGATTGAGATCTGCCTTCTATTTTTTTTTTAAAAAAAAAACTATTTTTTTTTTAAAAAAAAAAAAAAAAACTCAATTTAGCACATTTAAAATGTTATGGCTAAAGGGCATGAAGTTGATTTTGACAAATGAAATTTTATTGTAGAAAATTAAATTAAGAAGTGACTTAAGTGACTTAGTACGTTTGATTTCAATAAATGATATCTATACAGTTAGGAGTTTAATTTCTGAAAGATATAATTATAGAGATTCACAATCGAAGAGCTCAAAATGTGTGTAAAGATGTGAATATATTCTAAGGAAAATTTCTGTATGTTGGTTGAAATCAACCAAAAAAAAAATATCCAGAAACCAACTTTGATAGAAATTTACTTTCATTGTCCACCGTCACAATTTTCAAATGATAATGAATATTTTTGTGCAATAATTGAAATTTCAAATAATCCTCCTTGTCTATAAATAGCCATGCATTTCCATGCAAGATTTTGTCATCTCTTACCAAACAAATATAGCTAGCTAACTAGCATATACATAAAAAAAATATATCAAATTATTAACTTTTAAGCACGATGGGGATGGCTAATTTGCTTGTAGCTCTCAGTGTTTTGGCTATGACTTGCTTTAACTTTTAAGCACGATGGGGATGGCTAATTTGCTTGTAGCTCTCAGTGTTTTGGCTATGACTTGCTCATTAGCCATTGCCTACGATCCTAGCCCTGTCCAAGATTTCTGCGTCGCAACCGATGACACGGCTTGCGGTGGTATGTAACAATTAATTTCCTTTTCTTGATTTTCAGATTTAGTTTGTCTCTCATCAACTTTATTATTGATCAATAATGTTATGATAAATGAAATGATAATTATTTAGTTTGCGATAGTTATAATTGTTAACTTTCATGAATGAAAGTAGCAATGGAGGCATATAATTAAGGCGAGTAATTTTTGCCTGCACCTGATGTATTTTTATACTCTCACTAGGAGATATAATTATATATGCCCACAAAAGCAAAATTAGATGCAGATTTTTTTTTTTTTTTGTCATTCCACTGTGATTCACACCATTAGAGAACACTTGAGAAATAATATTAATATTAGTTTTTAATACATAGAACTTTGTGATGGATTATACCTTTAAAATCACCAAGTGATTAAGATTTTTTTTTTTTTATCAGCAACAATTTTTTTTTTATTAGAATAAAAGATACCATGAAACGTTAGCATTTTCAGGAATTAACCTAAGCCAATAGGTTTTCCCCAGTACACCTATTAACTAGCCTGAAAATATTATACAAAAACTTCACAAAAACAATACAGCCGGATCAGGAAGCTAGTCCTATAATACTTGTAATAATCAGTATAAAAAGACATTTATATATATAATTATTGTCAAAGTATATGCATATGCATATAATTTTCAATATTTTTTAAATCGAGTTTTTTAACGTATGAGTTGTTTAATGTTGGTAATTAATATATCTCAGTATATTTCTTTCAATTAATAAATAATGACATTATTGTTTGTTGCATTTAGTATTAGTAAATGGAAGATTCTGCAAGGATCCACAAACTGTAACGCCAGATGACTTTTCCTATTCTGGATTCAACATTGCTAGAGAACCCTCAAAACAACTTGGAGTCCGCACAAATTTATTAACAGTGGAAGAGATTCCTGGCCTGAACACCAATGGCCTCTCCATAGCTCGTATAGACTTCACTCCAGGCGGTGTAAACCCACCTCACAGCCATCCTCGAGCTGCAGAGGTCATGACTGTCATAGAAGGAGCTCTATATGCAGGTTTTATCACTTCGAATCCCTGTCACCGTCTTTTCGCCAAGGTTTTAAAGCCAGGAGATGTTTTTGTATTCCCATTTGGGCTCATTCACTTCCAAATGAATATTGGGAAAACCCCTGCAGTTGCTATAGCTGCATTGAACAGTCAGAATCCAGGAGAAATGACCTTGGCAAATGCAGTATTTGGTGCAGTTCCATCTGTTAATCCTGATCTTCTTGCAAGAGCATTCCATACGGACAGGAATATAGTGAATGATCTTATTAAGCAAGAATGGGTCAACCCATCTGAGCTTAGTGACATTATACAAGGAAATATGGATTTCTATCCTCATCCAACTTGTTAATTTAAGTTCTGGGAAATGCAAATAAGAAGAAGAGGATTTGTATTTATATATATGCATATCATATATGCTTCATGTTATTGTAATCATTCAATAAGTGTGAGGATACTACCTCTATGATTACAAGGGCGGAGCATGGAGAGACTCAGCCTCAGCAATAATTATTTTTGTTCAAAAAATTTACTTAATAAAAATAGTGCATTTTATTTTGTTTTTACTTGATTTTGGAGTCTGGCTAATCTTCTGATTATTAGCAGAATTAAATATATATTGGAATTACTAATAAGGTATTGGTTGAATTGGTTAGCGACTTTAATTCCGATAAGGGTGGAAATACAAGTTTGATCCACGGAAAATACATTTTACTAGGAGATCAAAAACCTTTTACATTTTACAGCTGAAGGGGATTAAACCTCTTGGTTATACAATATTTATTATATACTACAATTAATTAATATGATAAAATTAAATCTCTTGTTTAGATATAATAGCAAAATAAAAGAGCGGAATCCTCTCTTTATTTTCCGTGAGTCTATTTTTTATTTTCTCCAAATTAGACTATTTAAATTAGGTTGATTCAAGAAAAAGCAATAAATTGTTATTTTTGGTCCTTTCTTATTTTTTCAATTTCCTAAATTAAAAAAATTAAACATATATATTGGGAATTTGTTTAGAAAAACTTGTAATCGGATAGATGTAGAGGTCAAATAAAACTGCATGGAATGGAAAATTTTGCTCTGCTGTTTGCGGGAATTAAGAAAGTTGTCGTTTGTATATTATAGCTTGCGAATCGGGGCTTCTAATTAAGCTAATTAATTAATATTAAGTAAGAGCAAACTGACGTGATCGAATAGATTCCGGTCTCCAATTGATCTTGCGTACTTGGATTTAGTCTTAAAATTCTATATAATATCACACAGTATTCAATTTCTTTTAGTCACATGTGATCTAAATAAAAATAATAATGTTTGAAATATTGTGCAATTTACATGGATTTGTCTCTATAAATTATAATATTTTGTTTAATGTTAAAATTTATTTTTAATAACTTGAGAGTTGAAATGGGATTGTATTGATATTTTCTCTCTAAAAATCAATGATCTTCAACTCGAACTCTGAATTTAAAGTCATTTTAAACATCAGAAAGTAACTGCTTTGCTTCTTTTTATGAACTTACTTGATAATTAAACATTTCAAAACTTTTAAGTTTCAACATTTTCATAAGTTGGATTGAATCATGGATTTACTAGGTAAATCTATAGATTTGACTAAATGCCTTAACTTATATATGTGTATGTGTTATATTAATTTAATTTGATTTATAATTTTAAATATAAATACTAAATTATTTATATATTTGGTAATTCTTGCCTTTTTTAATGCTCATTCTTTCTTTAGCATAAACTTGTTTTAAAATGTTGCTATTGTAACATATTTTAGTTTAAACTTATTGTATATATAATTATTTTAATTTTGTTGGTTGTTTTTCTTATTAGAAAATTAATTAAGTTATATGATTATCATTATTTATTATTACAAAATTTATTCTGAAAATTTTGTTAGAATATATTGTGGTTCATATAAATTGTTGTATAATTATGTTTTTAAGTATATTTAATTTGTTGGTTATTTCTCTTAATAAAATACTTATATTTTATTTAAAACTGTTTTTCTTATTTATTTGATCTACAGGTTTATATTGGACTCATACCCAACTCAATCTATTTATAACTCATGGATTCACGCATTTGATGGATTGAATTGGGTTAAAAAAATCATTAACCTATACATATGGATTTAGTACCTAAATTTGATCCACGTAAGGGTATCAAAATGAATTAGCATGTCAGGTTCGACAATAATCCTCCTAATACGCAACACAATTAGAGTTAAGTGTCAACACAAATGCAATCTATTTAATAATTATGTCAAATATTTAAAAATGAATATGCCATGAAAAGTAAATAGTGATGCAAATATAATATATGTAACTCGTTTAATAAAATGGTTCATATATGAGTCAAATAATTCAACCAAATTTAGTTAAATAGGTCGTATACAGGTTAGAAACAAGACAGACATAACCCGATTAATATATATATTGTATATGAAATTATTTTTTTTATTTTTAAGTAAATAAATTAAACGAGTCAACTCATGACATGACTCATTTAAATTTATATTATGTATGAATTACTGGTTTGTGAAATCAACCTTTTTAAATATAACCCTAATTTGTTTAATTCTCGTGTCATCAACAATATTGACATCCATGCACCCACGTATTCCCTCGGGGAGGCGGGAATATTTTAACATCTTGTAGGAATATTTTCTAAAAACGTGAAATGTGAGTGATAATTGGAGACGTTAAATGAAAACGTCCTAAAGTTATATTCTCTTAAATCATTAGAACGTGGCGAGCATGTGGGAATGGGCCGGGGAGCTTTTATGCATTCCAGAGCCATTTGTTTCTAAGAAATGACTTTTGATTTGTAGCTAAAAAAATCGTTTCTAATTTTCATTTTTCATGTAGTGAAACTTGATTCCTCTGTTGATTAATTTCCATAATTTTTTAGGGTGTTATTTATTTTCTGTTCAACACATACGTATTTAAACGGGTTTAGATAATTCTAATCAGATCCAAAAAGGATTCGAGTAATGTAAATTTATTTAAGCTTGGGTACTTTATTTTATAAACGAATTAGGGTCGAATAAGGCAATTTTTGCAGGCAGCCGACCTATTGTGTACCCCAATTCCAAGCATTTCATGAAAATGTGGGTACCTACTATGCCACTAATATAGTTCCTTATCCATGGAGTGTGGGCAGCACACATGGTGGTAGATGGGAGAGGCAAGTCCAACAACTCCAATTAATTGTGGGACGCCTTTTGTAACCCTAACTCATGAATTGGATTTTGAATAAGTAATTTCGAAACCCTTAAAATTCAATTTAAAGTTCGAATTCAGATACTTGGATGTCTAAAAAATAATAAATTTTTTTATATCTGAATGATTTTGAATTTAGATGGAAGGTGACAAATATTAAAATAAATTGAGTATTTTTGTCAAAGATATGATTTATTAGTGAAAATTTTTATGATCAGGTATGACTTGAGTTCAGTTAGTTTAATGAAACGAGTTGATTTTATTGATTGATTAGTAATGGTCGATATAAATGTGATTTCGAGAGTTGTTAATTATGTACTCATAATAGTATAAATTGATTTGATAGAGAAGATGATAATTGACCTTGGAGACATAAAGATGGGTTGGGGAATGGGATGTCTGTTGTGCATCTTTTTTCTGGTTGATATGCTTGTTGAGTTTGTGGAGCCTATTGAAGATTGTGTTGTATATTATTTATCTTTTTGTCTGTAGGTATAAAATTATAATAGAAAATTCTACTGAAATTTTGGGTATAATTGTCTTAACTATCACAAATTAAAGTTCAAAACTTCAACTTTATTTTTTCTTTACACATGTAAGTGATAAGCATTATCCAATCTTTACCTGTATTATTATGTTGGAGGATCCCATCCTTGTACTTGTTCAGGACAGGATTAGGGTATGATTGTGGAATCACTTATTAGGGCAAAAGAATTATAATGTTTCGTAATGTTATTGCAAAATGGAGGTCGGTGAATGATCGTGTAGTCTCTTTAGGTTACACTATTTAAATATAGCATAGTTAATTAGCTGGACATAATCTATCCAAGCTACCAAAAGAGGTGATAATTGTAGGTTAAGAGAGTCACCGGCGATGAGAGTTGCTCCCTAAAGTGAGGTTTCTGGCACCTAATTCACATCCTATTATTTGGTTTATGATTGTTGCTTGGATGCCTTGTTTCAGCACTCAACCAATGTGTATACACTTTACATGCTGCACTTTAGTATGTATTTTCATCACTGTAGGCATTGCGGCGATCAAATAAAGTTTTTCCTACATATAATTACAAAGTCAATTAAGAGTTTTCACAAATAAATTAGTTTACGCGTCGATAGTTGCTAATGTGTTAGTACATGTAAGCATATAATTACTTTCCTTTAAAAACTATGTAGACTTAATTCTTTCTTGTTATAATAAATGATAAGTTGTTCGAGACAAATAAGTAAACAATGATAGAACTAAACGTTAAAACTAGGGAACAAAAAATTTTCAAAAGTTAAATGCTTGATAAGCTTTTTCTTTTTTTTTTTTTTTTTTTTTTTTTTTTTTTTTTTTTTTTAAATTTGAGCTAGGAGGGGCTAGGTTGCCATTAGGAATCGAATCCCTTTTTTTTTTTTTTTTTTTTTTTTTTTTTTTTTTTAAATTGAGCTAGGAGGGGCTAGGTGCCTAGACATCCGAGTCCCGGTGACAAGATTTAAACAACTTTCAAGATTTTATTTAGATGTAAGGTAAAGTTTATTGAAGTGAGCGAAATTTATTAAAGTTGCGTAATGGTAACTACATGTATGATCTGATGATAGATTCAGTTTCGAATCTCCTTATATATATAAATTAGGTAAGGTGATAATAAATTTTATGCTACCATGAATTTTCAAAATAAAGTAAGAGTATTTATATATATTTGAAAGAAAGGACACATTGTGTTGTTTAGTTTAAAGTTATTAAAGAGTAAGGTTAAATATAATACCAAAATACTCAAATCATCAATTTTGTTATTTTTATTATATAAATTTTTATGGAATAAAAAGTAATTAATCATCCCCAATTTCTCAAATTTAGTGGGCTAAAAACTTTTGAGTGGTTTTTGACCCATTAGATAACCATAAAAAAATCCTACTACTCATTAAAACTTTCATCTCGAACGATCCAATAATTTAATTTTTTATCATTGTTTATATGTCCAATGACGTTATTCTAAATTGGGAATAATATTAATTCAAATACGAAAGCTTAATTAAGATCCGACTTTTTTGATATAATATTAAATTTTATGCCTTAAAGAACCTGAATTTTTTTTTATATTAGCAAAGAAGAATTTTTAATTAAGAATTAAGTAGAAATAAATATATGTTCAGATAAAACTCAGCGATCCAAGTTACTACACCCAAGTCATCAGGCTTTTCTCAATGCACTCTATCTTATTTTGGAAATTAAGTAAAACCTGAATCCATATCCAATACATAGCCCAAAATACAAGTGACAGAAAAATCAAATTGACTTGTATTAGACTAGTGCATCAAAATTAATAACTAATGTTTGATAAGTTGAGTACTCTATTGGATTTGATAAAATTTTCCTTGATTTTATAATTTAATAAAATAAAATATGAAGTGTTGACAAAAAAAATACTAACAAATGTTTATATTATTTTGTAATAATATTTTAATAAGAATCCATTTATTAATTGATATCAGTTGTTAAAGTTTTTTAGAACTGTGATAATTTGAAAATTGTTTGAAAAATTCAGGGCAAGCAAAATTGATTGGCCATAAATAAATTATATCAATACCAGAATGTAGCTATCTTGAAGCACAAAAATTCAGAGTATAGTTATTTTCAAGGTCTCATTTTCTTACATTTTCAAACCTAATTTTAGGAATTAATAAGGAACCAGTTAAATAAAACAAGGCAAATTTCTACAGAAATTTCTGTAAGGAAAAATTTAATTGTATCTCTTCATTATAATTCAACAAACAAAATCGAAAATAAATTCTAGATAAAAAATGTACTTTCAGTAATCGGTAATAATGCTTGAAAGATAATAAATATTTTCGGTGCAATAATTGAAATTTAAAATTTTCCTTGTGTATAAATAGCCATGCATTCCATGCAAGATTTTGTCATCTCTTACCAAACAAATATCATAATACACAAGAATTCTAATTGTCACTCCTAAGTATAACGAAAATGGCTAATTTGCTGATAGCTCTTGGTGTTTTGGCTATGGCTTCCTCATTTGCCATTGCCTATGATCCTAGCCCTCTCCAAGATTTCTGCGTCGCAACTGATGATTCTGCTTCCGGCGGTATGTACATTTTGCTTTTCCTTTATTTTAATTTCCTTTTCTAGGATTTAGTATTTCATTTTCAGACAGTTAGTTTGTCTCCCATCAACTTCATTATTGATGAATAATGTTATGTTAAAGTTTCATAAATAAAAATAGACATGGGTCAGGGTGAGCAAAATTTGGCTACTTCAGATGTATATTATATTACATTTGCCCATAAAAGACTTATGATCTGAATTTTGGTTTTAAGATCACCTAGTAAGATAATTTAGTTTTGGCTTGGAAGATGATCCTATATTAACATTTTAATTTTTTGGTGCTTTTAGTATTCGTAAATGGAAAATTCTGCAAGGATCCAGAAACGGTAACACCAGATGACTTTTCTTATACTGGATTCAACATTCCTAGAGAAACCTCACAACAGCTTGGAGTTCGCACAAATCTCTTAACTGTGAACGACATTCCTGGCCTTAACACAAATGGTCTGTCCATAGTTCGTATTGACTTCACACCTGGAGGTGTAAATCCACCTCACAACCATCCTCGAGCTGCAGAAATTATCACTGTCTTGGAAGGAACTCTATATGCAGGTTTTATCACTTCGAATCCCGATCACCGCCTTTTCGCCAAGGTTTTGAAGCCAGGGGATGTTTTTGTATTCCCATTTGGGCTTATTCACTTCCAAATGAACATTGGAAAAACCCCAGCAGTTGCTATGGCTGCATTGAACAGTCAGAATCCAGGAGTAGTGACCTTAGCAAATACAATATTTGGTGCAATTCCATCTGTTAATCTTGATCTTCTTGCAAGAGCATTCCATTCGGACAAGAATATAGTAGGTGATCTTACAAAGCAAGAATGGGTCAATCCATCTGACCTTAACATCTATTAAGATTATTGATATTATGCAAGCAAATATATAATTTTTGCCCTCATTTAAATTGTTTAATTTCAATAACATATAAAGAAGAAGATAATAAGGGTGAGGATGCTTAATGAAATGCCTCCTTCACTTAAGTTGTTTTTAATTTCTAGCAGCAATGTACTATCTAATATTATTCAAAGGGGATGGCTACCCCTACTGTGTAGCCTATAATATTAGACGGCCATTAGCCGCTTATAAGTCAAAAGAATAATGCTATTGGCCTTTGTTTCATTAGAGCATTTCTATATCTATCTTTACTACATGTTGATCCAGCAATCGACTTAAGTGCTTATAAGCTCAAATCAACAACTAACAAGGGTAGAACTAAGTGACACTGGGGCTATAATATAGTGAAATTTTTCTTTACCCTTAATTTTAATTTTTTTTATTAAATTATTCAGTATCTCGCACAGCTGATTAATCCAGATTCAGGTTCGGGTTCTACAAAAGCCCGTTATGGGGTGACCCTCCCAACCCAATTTTTTCCATTCACAATGCTAGTACAACTATATATACTGATAATCCAGATTCAGGTTCGGGTCTACAAAAAGCCCGTTTTATGTGGTGACTTGCACCCCTAATAAATAGCATACCGCATACTCCCAATCCCAATTTTATCCCCATTCACAATGCTTAGTTTACAACTAATATATATATAATAATATATATATTATATATAGATATATATATATATATGACAAATTAAATACATAATTAAGGTCCCTAATGATATGAACCAAATATATATGACAAAATTAAATACATTAATTTAAGGTCCTAATGATATGAACAATTAAATTAATAAGAAAAATGTAAATAGCACAAGAAGCACATGATACAATGAAATTGATAGACAAAGAACACTAAAGATTTTTAAACAAATAGAAAATGTCTAAGCTTAAAATTTAGAAGCTATATTTGATTTGAGAAACCAAATTTAAGAATACCATGTAATTGATTGTTTTTTTATTTTTATTTTTTATACATGCGAGGAAACTAATAGAAATTTTATTTTTATTGGATCTATTAATTATATATTTTTTGGTTTTCTAAAATATTTAGGTTAAATTTTATAGTACAAAAAGCCTGATTCAAAGTTCACTAATAATGAGTGATTCTTGAAAATATTAATGGGCTAATTAAATGCATTTTAACTTTGTGTATGGGTTAAAATCCTAATATGATGGGCTAATTATATATATCTATCGACGTCGGTGGAATATGAGAGGAAGAGTGGCCCTAATTGTCATAATGGTATTTTTGGCACAATTTTTTTTTTTTGAAAGGTGGTATTTCTGGGACATTAGACACTTAATTGAAAAAAATTATTGTGATTAACACTTAACTATAATAAAAAAATTCTCCATCTACACCAAAATATAAAATTTCAAACATGGAAAACACTAAAATCAAATATTTTAGTTTTCAAAATTAATTGATTGAGTACTCCAATTTATAAATTGTATAATTTGAAATCTTATAAAAAAAATTATTGAATAATAAAGTGTGTTAAAATGCAAGCATAAATCGGATTCATTAAATATTTTTACTATAATTTGAAATCTTATAAAAAAAATTATTGAATAATAAAGTGTGTTAAAATGCAAGCATAAATCGGATTCATTAAATATTTTTACTGAATAGTAAAAAATTTTAATACAATTTACTTGTTAAAGTATTTAATATTTAAAATATTATATCTATTAAAAATATATAAAAAATGATAAACTTTTAAATTCCTGAATAATGAAAGCTAAAAATAATTGCGAATGTCATCAAATGTCATCAGACAGGGAAAAAATAAAAATAAATAAAAATTGTTTTCACGTGTCCCCGTTATTTCCCATTTCTAATAAACAATACAATGATACATATCTTATAAAGTTATAATAATACTGTTGCTGGCTTGTCAAAATATGATGACGCAATCCTTTATGTCATTTCGACAAAAAACGCGGACGAAAGTGATCCAACGGTAATAATTTGTCAAAAGAAAGTCTAACTTATTATTAATCTAACGTATTAAATGAATTATTAATGGATGAATGCATAACTTCCTTTTTTGAATTTTCTTCAAATTATCATTTTTGTACTCCTTAATTTTGCGAGGGATCGCTTGTATATCTTAATTCGTTTTTTTTTAGCTTTTCTACCTTTAGCCAAATTGAAGTTTGTGTGTGAATTACACTCTCGTTGACTGTCATAAGCACTTCAAAATGTCATCATTTGAAATGCTATGTTGATTTCCACATGTTCAAGAACTAATGGAAAAGAGAAAAACGAAAATTTAATTAAAGATTTTAATGCCTCTTGCAATAAAACCTGAGAAGAAAATAAAAAAAGATAGAGATAACTCGCAACCCAGTAATGATCATTGTTGATATTGTAGCCACTTATATATCGCTTAAGGTTGTCCAAAGGGTTTTTCCTTCGCGTTCTCTTTGCTGCCAATGTCATATCTGAGTTGAGTTTGAGGTCTCTTCATCAAGATGCCTTCTCGTTTCCCGTGACACTGTTCCATTCTCACTTTCACCAATCTTTGCAATCACAACAACTCAGATATGAAAGATTAGATTTTTTGCAATCACAACAATTCAAATAAAAGATCAGATTTTTTTTTTTTTTTGAAAAATAGAATTAAAAGAAAGAAATATCTAATCCCTGTCTCTTGCTTCTAAAGAGCTATTTGATGGGAGATTTGGCTTTCTTTGTTTTGTTTATTGAACACTTAATGCTCTGGTTCAGCTTGTTTAAGAGAGAAGAAAACAATAAGCGGATGGAGAATGACTACATGCTTGATTTAAGCAAATGGAGTTCAATACGTCACCGTCTCTTACACATAGGATAAAAACATTACTGTTTACACTCTGTACAGCAAATTCATTCACGTTCCACTGATCTAGCGTGATAAGGGGTAAAAAAAATTAAAAAAATGAGTTAAGGTACAAAATCGGTCCCTCACAAAGTTATATAAGGAGCATAAATGGCAATTAAAAAAAATTCAGAGGGGAAATTATGTATTCCGCCAATTATTAATTGAATTTGACTAATAATTCTTATAACCTACATTCGTAACAAAAATAATTAAAATATTTATGACTGATATCATGCATTATCATCATTATAAGCATTACCATCATCATATTAATTTTTCCTTTCATAATATGTGCACATGGTTAATTGAAAATTTTTACAAATAAGTTTAGATGATAATTAGTAATTGCTAATGCAATAGAATTAACAGGTTTTGACCTTTTCAAGCTGATTATAGATGTATTGGAAAACCTATTTACTTGGTAGATTTCTGAAAATGCTAAATTTTTTCTAGTATTTTTAATTTTAGTAAATTTTTTTTTTGCTGATAAAAAAAAATAGGTTTAGGTTTTTTTATCTCCTATAAGAGTTACATGAACTTAATTCTCTTTGTTAACTTAATACTTTATGAACTTAATTCTCTTTGTTAACTTAATACTTTTGCAGAATTTGCAGCGGACAGTTAAAGAATAGCGCAAAGCAATAAAAAAACTATTAAATTAAATTAAAAAAGTCACGATTTCGTAATCAAATTTTAAAACGAAAACAGACTATCTTAGTTAATCAGCACGTAAATATTAAGACAAAAAAAGGAAGACCAAAGAAAGCGTACGAACTACGAAACCCTCTGGAAAGTTGACAATAATTACGTGTCAAAATAATGTAGCCAGGAATGAGAAATTCAAACAATATACCGCTCTAAACAATATACCGCTTCCATTTTATATTCTAGTAAGGAAAGTTTCTGCGCCATCCTTGAAATTCAACGAACAAAATCGATTTGGATGGAAAACGTTCTTTCATTATCCACCTGTAATAACTAAAATGTCAAATCCTCCTTGTCTATAAATAGCCATGCACTCCATGCAAGATTTTATCATCTCTTACGAAGCAAATACTACTAAGTTGTATACACAAGACTTCTCATTATCACTTTTTTTTTTTAAAAGCTTCTCATTATCACTTTTAAGCACAATGAAAATGGCTAATTTGCTTATAGCTCTTGCTGTTTTGGCTATGGCTGATCTTTGCATGTAACTTCTTGATAAAAAGCATCTTTCAAATGATTACATTCTGTTTTTAACTTTCTGAGATCCTTCTTTAGAACCTTATGCATTTTAACAAGCTTTTCAAATTCAGTGCAAAGGTTATAATAAGTATCTAAAAGATCATTTTCAGATTTAGATTCAAAAATACTTACATTGCTTTCTTCAAGCTTTTGGCCCATTGCATCTATTTCATTACTTTTAGCTTTCTGTGTTGAAGTTAGAGTGTTGATTTCCTTGGAGTCAGAATTGATAGTGGCCATTAGACAAATATTTGCAGTTTCTTCTGATGAACTTTTCCTATTCTGATTAAAATTGCTAAGAGAAACCTCCACAACCAGCTCGGAGTCCGCACGAATCTCTTAACTGCTAGAACAGATCGCCTGGCCCTTAACACCAATGCTCTATCATTGTTCGGATTGACTTGCTCACCTCGCGAGGTTGTAAAACCCTCCTCACCTACCATGCCTCGAGCTGCAGGACATCACCGTCATAGAAGGAACTCTATATGCAGGTTTTATCACTTCGATTCCCGATCACCGCCTTTTCCGCCAAGGTTTTGAAGCCAGGAGATGTTTTTGTATTCCCATTTGGGCTACCATTTCAACTTCCAAAATGAATATTGGAAAAAACTCCTGCAGTTGCTATAGCCGCCTTGGAAATAGTTCAGATCCAGGAGTTGGTTTGACCTCAGCAAATACAAATTTTTGGTGCGTTCCATCAGTTAATCTTGAATCTTCTGGCAAGAGCATTCCATTGACAAAGAAAACACAGTGGGTAATCTTACAAAGGCAGGAATGGGGTGTTAAATCCATCTGACCTCAATGCCTATTATTATTGATATTGATATTGATATTGTGTAAGGAAATATAGTATATTTATATTTTCATTTAGATTGTTTGATTTCTATAAGATGTAAATAAGAAGAGGATGTAAATTTATACATTTACATATCATTCTTAATGTTATTGTATTCATTCATTCAATAAGGGTGAGGATGCTTAATTAAATGCCTCCTTCACTTAAAGTTTTTTATAATTACTAGTAATAATGTATTCTTGAAATTTGTTTCAATTATAGCATTTCTATATATCTCTTTCTTTAATACTCCATCTGTTTCAAAATAAATATTTTTTTATTCTAAAATAAATGCCG